CCATACACAACAGTTAGAAACAGACTAGTGCATCCAAAAGACAAGATACCAGCAGGACTTAAATGTGGAGTAATTTACGAAATCCCATGCAAACTCTGCAATAAAACATACGTAGGAGAAACCGGACGCCAACTCAACACACGAACAATAGAACATAGAAAGGAGTGCAAGAAAGAAACAAGTCGAAAACACACAAGAGCAGCAAAAAAAGAAGCAGAAAGTACAATAAAGAAGTCAGCCGTAACAGATCACTGCACAAGAGAAAACCATATAATGGACTGGGACAACACAAGGATCATAAACACCGAACTACAAAAATACAAAAGATGGATCAAGGAAGCAATAGAGATAAGGAGACGTGGATGTGGGACCATGAACAGGGACGACGGAGTTTACACGCTGGACCACGCATGGGACTGCATCGTCGGAGAGGGGAGAGCGGGCAGCAGAGGGCGACAACGTCCTCTGCTGCCCGCGGATAAACGGAGAAGGAAGTGACGCGCCACCATCGGCGTCAGCCTGAAGAAGTCTGCAGCCGCAGACGAAACGTAGCGTCAAAACAGGTAACGAAACTATTTCTGTGTTTTAAAAAGAACGACAGCATGAAGTTCTTATCTGAATCTGGTGCCCTGTGAGGCTGAAGTGATTACTCCCCTTCAGAAGAAATGTGGAATGCTGCCGTCGCCATGGCAACTCTGTCTCCCTTATCCCAGCCTGGGTGGGACCGCGACCGGTGAAGGCCGTTGAATCGTTCCAGGATTCACTGTGCTTTATAAACCCAACTACCTCCCTCCCCAGTCCAAACGGAGGTGACGAGCGCTGCTTATCGTGGCTGCATGCACTGACGTGAGGACACTTATGTTGCGTAATGTCTGAAGTCTGTTGCATTTCTGTCTGAGGTGTTTTTTTTCTGAGCAAAGCTGCCCTCCTTGTGGAGGGTAACTCTGAAGTGCCTTTTTTTCCTCCACCTGACCCTATCCTCATGTAACCCTCTTATCTCTATTAAGGTAGCGCGACTCGGGTTGCGAATGACCACAGTCACCAATTCTTGTCATGTGTCTTGCCTATGTATGTCTGTCTGATCTCAGAATTGTGTGTACTGAAACTCTAATTTCCCTCTGGGATTAACAAAGTATCTTTGAATTTGAATTGAATAAGCGGTGCAAAAGGGCCAAGATCAAAATAAGAAAATAATTACCAGTGATTGCCCGTGGCTCAATAAGGTTACCGTGGTCTGCACTCTTCGTTGGAAAAACTAAAATGTAGGGCAGAAATGAATGTTTTTTGTTTTCTCCCCCGGCTCGTTCAAACCTGAACCCATCATCACCGAGGGGTTGCACCCCATAGCCTCCCTGACAAGGTCTATGCCTGGATTTGTAGAGAAAGTCTGATATGTGGTTGGCATTTTCTCCTCAAGATGGTTTCCTCCCATATACAGGCAAAAACATGCTGGAGACTACTGTCCCTAGGCGTGCGTGTGTCCCGCTGACGGACTGACTGGAGACTTGTCCAGGTTGTCCCCTGCCTTTCCTCAGCTGCTGGTGAGGATGAAGCAGTTAAGATCATGTGCGAGTGTGAATGAGTGTTTCAGACTTGTCCAACTTGGAGACTTTGAGCAGACCCTGTCCTCACAGCAGGTCCAGGAATGTATGTGCTGACTCTGTTGCCCCAGCAACCAGGTTTCAGACAGACTGGATGGATGGAGCTAGCCAGTTTCTGCGCTCTAAAACGATCCCAACAGAACGAGACTGTTCTGCTGCCGTTTCTGATCAACTCCACTGAGGCAACGCTGCTTGTTTACCGTTCAGCTCAGCGTTTGCCGTTTCTGTACTCATCATTTAGCGGGAAAGGTCCGTAATTATTAACAGATGCAGATCCGTTCGGGGATATGAGCGCTGCTGTCTTGCTGTGATCTGATTCCAGACAACATGTGGGGGAAGTGTCGTGTTTGCTCTCCTGCTCTGGGTTCCTGCAGAGCTCCACGGTAAGTGCATCACATTCATCATGTCTGAATAAGTTTGGAGTTAGTCCCAGAGGCTTTTGCTTCAATGCTGTTCTTGATGTTTCAGCTCAAGATACAGAGAAGCCTTGCAGTTACGGACAGGAAGGAGTCCCATCCACATGAATAAAGCACATTATACACCTGTGATGAATGTGTGTTTATGTAACACACACCCGTGTTTCCTTCCACCTGTTGAAATAGCAATCCTCTTGCCCAGTGTTCAGGCAGCGTTTTCATTCATTCACAATTTAACATCAATGTAAACAAAATGTTTAGCATTCATCTGAGGCAATTATAACAATAATGATTCAACCTTTGATTTAGTTTTCCAGATTAAGTTCGGAGCATGCTTTACTTGCTCCTTTAAGAGTCTGACCAGGCAACCAGCAGCTGTTAGGAGACAAAAAATTTAAGGATTTATGCAAACGTATTTGTCTGCATCCATCTGAACAAGAGGGTTAGGGTCACAAGCACCGTTTAATGGAAGGGTAAAAGCAAGGAAACGTGCAGGAAAAGTTTCCGTTCACTCAAAAATAAGTCTCGTTTCCTTTCTAGAGAGGAGCCTGCTCACTAGACACTTCAGAACATTCTGACATAACAAACACGAGTTCATGACGTCTGGAGAGACTCTGGAGCTGCTGTGTACAGATGTGTGGACTTTCACAAACGATGCAGTGGTCAAATGCAGCAACGGTTTTCTGTTCAGAACCAGACTAATGCTAATTTATCTGAGTATCAATCAGGTTTTAGGAAAACAACCAGTACTACCACGGCTGCACTAAAAGTGGTAAATGACACTGTAGTTGCTCTGGACTAAAAGCAGAACTGTTCATCCCTTTTCATGGATTTGTCAAAAGCATTTGACACCGTTGACCATGGTATTCTAAAACGTCGACTCCTCCAGTCAGGACTATCTGAAAAAGCAGTGGGATGGTTCTCAAATTATCTTAAAAACAGGTCTCAGTGTGTTAAATCAGATGGACTTTGTTCTGATTTTGCCACAGTCCACAAGGGGGTGCCACAGGGCTCTGTGTTGGGCCCTCCTTTATTTATCATTTACATTAATAATCTTGGCCTAAACGTGACAGATGCAAACCTGCACTTTTATGCCGATGATAGTTATTTACAGCTGTGGAAACTCTTACTCAAGCCATAGATTCAGTACAGAAAGCTTTTGTTGCTGTCCAACATTCATTACTTCAGCTTAAACTTGTTCTCATCGCAGACAAAACCAAGCTCATGCTGTTTACAAACTCGAGGAGACAGGCTAAGTGCTTCCTTCAGTAACCACTCTTGATGGTGAAGAAATATCGTTGGTTCACTCATATAAATATCTGGGTTTCTTGATTGATGACTCACTCACCTTCAAACCTCATGTGGAGAATCTGGTGAACAAGCTGAAGACAGCGTTTTTATTTTCAAAATAAGTTATGTTTCTCCTTTAATGCAAAGATGCGTCTTGTTGTTGCAACATTTTCTCCTGTCCTGGATTATGGAGATATTTTGTATATGAACGCTTCAGCTAAACGTCTTCAGTCACTTGACAGTGCATCATGCTGCTCTAAGGTTTATCACTAACCGTAAATAACCCTAACTCTCAGATGGGATGGCCTGCTTCGACCATCAGGAGGAAGTCTCATTTTTTCAGATTTATAAATAAGGCACTACATGGTCCTTCCTGTATAACTTCCCTACTGAAAATGAAAATTGCAGGTGGTTATTCTCCTCGTCTACAAGGCACTTTGCTGCTTTCTGTCCCGTTTGTACGTACTGAACTTGGAAAGAGAGCTTTTACCCATTCAGCGCCATCAGCTTGGAATGAGTTGCAGGAAAAATGGAAGACGACAGAGTTTATTTCATTGAATGTTTTTAAATCCAAACTAAGAAATCTTGAGAGCAACTCAATAACATGCAACTGTTTTATTTAGACTGTTTTTATTTTTGGGCTCGTTTAAAGCTTTAAATATTTTACTTAACTTTGTTCTTAGAAATTTTATTTGAGACTGTTTTCATACAAGTTTAAATTGTAAATGTTGTCTTGTATACTTGTGTGATGTTTGCAGCAGGACTCCCTTGAAAAAGAGGTTTTAAATCTCAATGGGACCTTTTTTCCCGGGTGAATAAAAGTTAAATAAAAATAAAATGTAAGTACCAGTCTGAGCCTTTGTATTCAAATTCATCAGTAAAGGCAATGGAGCCACGGGATGAGCAGCAGCATGTAAACAAGCAGCTCAATGCTTCTATAACAGCCACCGGCTCCCTTAAGTAGCCGTTTGAAAATCTGGCGACATCCCTGACATTTTAATAGACCAGAGAAGCAGCTCCGTTTGGTTTTTAGGGTGAAAACATCAGAGCCCGTCTGAAACTCCAACTCTCAGGGACAGCATGGCTCTTGTGGGGATAAACTAGCGAGGACGTGAACGCAAACAGAAACAGAAGAGTCTGTAAAACGTTGCATTGTCCTTGTGCGACTCCACAGGCTGCAACCGGCTCCAGATAAGTCTGGCGAGTCTTCCCGTTTCACTGGAATATTTGTTCATTAATGCAGCTATTTTGTCTGGAAGCAACAAAGAGAATCTGTGACTTCATAATGTAACTGGAATGGTTGCCCGTCTCCAGGGCATTTGCGGAGTCAGCACCATGAAGGAGAAGCTGCTGCAGATGGACGCGTCAGTGCGACTGCAGTCTCGTGATACGCTTCAACTCTGATTGTGATAGATCAATAAAAACTGTGTTTGAGTTCAAAACTCTGTACAATCCTTTTATTTTCACCGAATTTAAGATTCATTGTGATCTGAAGCGGTTTGCTCTGCAGCAGCAGAACGTTCTGGAGAACATCCACCTGAACCCACAGCGCTCACACCTGATTTTATCTGTGAGGGACATCATTTGCTGGTTGCTTTTTATACTCATAAATTGCTGTTAAATAAAGATGAAGTCATAATAAAGAGTGAACATTTGTTTGACATCTTTGCAAAATGAGATGCTAACACGTCCGTAAAGACATCTTTGGTTTTACTGAATCAAACACAGTTAGTTCATCCAGAGACCAACAGTCAGCCAGGCTTACTGTAAAACCACGGATCATTCATTTCATAATTACCAGTTCTTTTCATAATTTATTAAAAACATCATAATAAAATAAAAAACTACTTTAGGGAAAAGAAATGTTAGCTCACGACTAAAGTTGTCCATTACACGTTTTTACGGGGCGGCGTGGGAACGAGCCGCTGCGCCGTAAGAATAAACATCACGTGTCTAAAGCTGATCTTCATCCGTGAGTGTCACATGTCACGTGATCAGGAAGCAGAAAATCCATGAAGCAGTTTTGGGACGCTGCTGTGGAAAAAGCTTAGAGAACAGATTGTGAAGGGACGCAACACGCTAGAAACGCACCGACTCTTCCAGAAGTAGGGTTGTCACAGTGTGAAAATGTAACCTCACGGTTATTGTGTCCAAAATTATCACGGTTTTCGGTATTATCGAGGTATTTTTTTTAAACGTTACATTTTCAGACAACTAAATAAACCCTGTATATCAGGAAAATATTGTCCTCAGTTTGTGTCTAAATTTTGCCTAAAATGTGTTATTTTGTAATTATGTTGTTTATTTGTTTACATTTTTTCCCTTTAGTCTTTAAAATACCAATATTTGCCCATAACTTCTTATTTTTTGTCTGTTTGATGTCATCATTTTAAAAATATTAGACCAGATGATACTCAGTACTCAAGTAGCCTTCTAATCAGATACTTTTTTACCCTTACTTGAGTAATAAACCCTATATCAGGAAAATATTGTCCTCGGTTTGTGTCCTTCCAGTGAGCTTTGCAGATGTGGGAAAATGTCATCAGGCAGTAATCATTGTTAACCCTTTGATGCATGAATTATGAAATCTTCAACCATGATTTTTTAAACAATTTTTTTCATTCATCTTTAGGTGTGAATGAAACAAATTTCAACAAATTTTTTTTGTAACATTTTGTTAATTTACAAATAATTTATTACATGTCCAGCTCAGTGGACAATGTGCATTCTGAACATGAAATATGGTGGCTTGACTTACTGAAGTCCAAATGGAGGGGCTCACATGCAATAAAGTCTTCAACAGCTGTGCTTAATAGCAAAAATAAATAAATAACAATTTTGAGTACCTGTCCACTGTAGTGACCATTATGCATCAAAGGGTTAAATTCATAATTATTCTCGGAGAGAGACCAACTCTTATCTGCCCCTGGGAGCCCCGTAATGCATAGCGTCATTTCAACATGGCGGTGTCCGCGACACGGTTTATATGCAGGTAGCGGCGCTGCGGCTGCTTTATATAGCGACTCGTTGCATTCTCCCTCAACCCAAATCCTCGTATCACGCATTTTAGCTAAAACGCTAACGTTAGCTTGCCTTGCGTTGACTGTAGAGTTGTGGGTGATGGTCACGCAGATGTGTCATGAGATTTGAAGCGTTGCTGCCTTTCACAGACACTTTTTCTGCACGTGCTGCAAACAGGATAGCCGTCTTCTATCAGCTGTCCCTCGGCATTCTTCACATATCCAAAAGATGCCCGTACTTCCCACTTTGTCTTCTTTGAGGGATAATAAATGTCCTGAGCGCTGCCGTCTCCTCCTTTAGCCATTATTTCAGCTTTAGCTTCAAGAAAGTTTTGGTTGTAAACAACAAAGTGCGCATGTGCCGCCGGCAACTTCAGCAGATGATACGGTGGCTGGTAAGGGTCACCGCGCCTACACCGCAGCCACGGTAACCCACCGAGATAATATATGTTTTAAAAACAAGACGGTTATTATTATTGTCAACTTTTTTACCGAGGTTCACCGCTACACCGGTTACCGTGACAACCCTATCCAGATGTAAAGAGCGAGTCCACTCTTTGTTTTGGTGTTTACATGATCATCGAGCTAAATATTCAGACCCCTCAAAAAACAGTAAAAACGCTCAAAAACGCTGGCAGTGAATGAGTTAGCATCAGTGAGTGTGGTCAGAGCTGGTCTGGACCGATGAGGCTGAATCCAGTCCCAGCAGCGTGCCTAGGTAGGACTGCTCTCGGGGGTCCAGTATCTGATCGGACCTGACGGGGTGCACGATGTTGGCCGGCTGAGGCGTGAGCGTGTACTTTTCTAGGAAGGCCAGATCTGTCGCAGCCTGGTAGGCGGAGTTCTGCTGTGACCCGTGGGCCTGCATGTTCACAACACCTTGAGTCTGGGAGGAGTGAGACCCTGTCCTGTGGTTGCCCTGCTCTCCTCCCGCCATAGGGACGGAGACCAAAGTCACAGGTACGCAGACGTTTGTGGGGTCAGAGGAGCTCTGTGCGGCTGACTTGGGGTCAGTGGTGAAAGAATTTGCGGCGTCCTCAAAGGGAACTGAGATGACCTCGTCCTGTCGGGGGGGCGGCTCAGCTAACCGGACACTGTGCACGTGATCCACGTGGTACTTGAGTTTGTCTTTGCGTTTGAAGGTGGCGCTGCAGTGAGGGCAGTTAAAAGGCCGCGCGTCTGAGTGGATCACCATGTGCTTCGTTAGAGTCTTCTTGATCCGAAACGTCTGATGGCACTCTGGACATTTGTGTGGTTTCTCACCTGCAGCACAAGAAGTATACTCATGTTATTTGCTGCTTTCATGCCTTCTTTAGTCAGAATTTGATGGTGAGCAAGAATGCCACATTGATTTGGATCATTATATTTCCAGGACGGATGACTACTAAATAACACGATGATGTAGGGCTGCTCAATTAATCGAATTTTAATCACAATTACGATCTGAGTTTTGAACGATTATAAAAACAAAACAAGCCGATTATTTGCTCCTCCCACTTGCGCTGCCCCGAGTTGCAAATGAAGCGCTCCTCCCACAGTGTTGCCAACTTGGCGACTTTGACGCTACTTCTAGCAGCTTTTCAGACCCCCTTCTTGACTTTTTAAATCTTAAAAGTACCTGTTGAACACCTCAGAAACATCTCTGGTAACCCTTAGCTACTTTCTGGATAACTGTCGTCGACATTTCCTGCAGGTTAGCTAAAAACTCCGCCTGCGCTCCGGACCGTTCTTCAGGACATTAGGAAAGGGAATGATGTAGTGATGTGTCGGTCGCTAAAGAAACGGCTCTCGGAGCCGCCCTGCTCCCTGTTGGATTAACCAGAGTGAGTGACACACACACCACACCTGTGGACTCCTGAGCCACTAAAAACGGCTAAATGTGCGCGTGCGGTGTGCTAAACACGTGCAGCTTGCCCCGATTGCCGAGACCGGGTTGAGGGGTGGGGGGTGCAGCTGTGGTTGGGACAATTATTACATTAACTGATGGACTTGTAAATAAATAGTTAATAAATAAGGTAGAAATAAGTTCCTCATGCTGATAAATAATAACTAATCTCTCTGAGGACACGGTGCTAGTGAACGCTCCTACAGCACCTTGACACGACTCAATAAATGTTATGCAACATTTTGTGAACATCAATTTATTTGCATTTCTTTGTTATAAATGCCACCGTATAATTCTTGCTGTCAGTATTTGGGTCTGTACTGGTTAGACTTACATGAGTTACACCAAGCTCTATAGCCCTAGGGTCATAGACTATGAGCTGTAAGTATATCGGTCTTTTTATACTGGGAATCAGGAGTTATTTTAGTGATCATCTTGTTTCTTATTTTTGTCCTGATTGTGCCCTGAGCAGTTTTATGACTGAATAAAAACAAAATCAACATAAATAGAAAAATCGTCCTAAATAATCGTGATCTCAGTTTCAGTCACTATAATCGTGATTATTATTTTTGCCATAATCAAGCAGCCCTACGATGATGTAGGTTTTCTCTGTTATAAATAAAATGCTCAAAAACAAATCAGTGTCTGCACACCAGATGAGACCCGGGGTTTCCCTGCGTCAGCGTGGGAGGAACCTGAGGATCCAGGACTAATGCTAACGGTTAGCTTCTACTAGCCAAGATGTTCTCTACTGTGTCCTGGCCTTCCCCGTCGTGAGTCAAGATGGGTGAGTCCACGACTGTTCAGTGACAGGGTGACGTAGATCTGTCAGGCTTTTCATACTACGTCTATTTTCAATCAGAAGCTTATGCAGGAGATAGGTGTAGGAGACTATTTTCATGAAAAACCAGAGGGACCGATTAGAATCAGAAATGAAAACATGGTTTTTCAGTGTTCCACACACTCAAAGGTGAGTACACGATCTCAGAAGTAGCTGCTGAAGCGAGCTGCATTCAGAAGAAAACAATAAAATGAATCCAATTCAAAGATGCAACCCTTTTTAATCAGGCTCCCCACTGGAGTCACAGAGTCTGATGCTGCAGAAGATGCAGTCAGATAAGAGCCGTTGCTGCTTTATGTGCTGATGCGTAGCGGTGATTTATGGTGAAAATCAGGCTTTTCCAGCCTTCTTAATGTGTCCACGCCTTCATAAGCACAGCCGCTCAGCGCCACCAACAACATGGGCAAACCGGTCATAACCAGAAATCAACCCTAGCCACAGCTGGCTCACACACTCACACGTTACACACACGGCTCTACGAAAACAAGACCGACGCCATTCTCTTTAATCCAATAAACCGGAATGGCTCGCCTGGTGACTCTTCCCGCCCGTTTCTGCGAGACTGCTTTGGGAGTGAAACCTTTGCTGATGAATGTCAGGTCCGGTTTCTTTTAACTGCACCACATCACTCGTCAAAAGTCCGAAGTCAAGAGACCTCATTCACCCGTTCATCGCCTCACGTCTGACTGTGCCAACTCAGTGCTTATTAGTGTTGATGTCTCCTCCGCTGAGCTTTCCAGAGGGTACTAAATGCCTCTAGCCTGGCAAGCCAGACTAAATAAATGTATTATTTAGTCTGCTGGCCACGCTCCATTGACGGCTCTCGGTTGTGGGGCGGGTTCTACCGTTGTCTTTCAAATGATCTCCGCATTCCACTGGACCATGAATGTGACATACTCTTGTTTCACTCTGTTGCATCATCCCACCCACCAGGCATATAGAGTGCCCTGATTGGCCCACAAAGCGGATAAAGCTCTGTGATTTGTTCACTAAGCAGATAGAGCACTATGATTGGCCCACCAGTATGGACCAATCACAGCTCTTTATGTGTTTGAAACCCCTCTAGAGAGCTGTGATTGGCTAGCCAGAGTCCTGGTAGGAGCTGCAGAGGTTCCAGTGGAGCATGCCTAGACCAAACTGCAAAGCAAGAATTTGGTCTAGTTCACTAGGCTAAAATGCCTCAGCTAGGTTCCTCAAACCGCTTCACCCATCCTCGCCCGCTTACGCCGGTTGCCTGCTCAGGACCACATTTAGTTCAACGCTTTTGTTTACAGAGCCTTGAATAGTCCAAGTCCCGCTCGCCTCCCTGATCTGCTCAGACCCTACATCCCTTCCAGAACTCAGAAATCAGATCGATAGCTCCCGTGCACCCTGAAGATGAATTAAAACCTCGTGGGGAGCGGGCCTTCTCATTCACACTTGCCTCCACGCCCTGTGGTTCTGCTGTGTGTCCTTTCAAGTCGGTACTGAAGGCCTATTTTCACCGTTTAGCTTTTGGTCGATGACCGGGTTTATTATTGTCTGTACTGATTGACATTTGTGTTTCACTGCTAACACTGGTCAGCACGTCGTTTCATGTTTTATTTGTAGTCTTTGTTTTTACCCTGTTGTGATTCTTTTACCACGTTTTTATCTCATCTTTGGTTTCTGATGGAGCTTCACTGTTCCTTACCGTACAGCACTTTAGTCAGCTGTCATGCTGTATTCAGTGTGCTTTATGAATAAACCCCTGTGTGGTGTCGGTCGACAGAAATGAGACTGAGCTGCATTCAGGGACAACAGGTCCGTCACCTCAACATGTCGCAACAAGAGCAGTACCAGACTCTAAACAGAACATGTAAAAACACGCCTCTGTGGAAATTAAAACATGAAAAACAGAATTGAACATTGGCAGCCAGGTTCTGGTTTCACTTCCTGTTCAGCTGCTTCAAGCCAAGAACGCAGTCTTTGAACGCAGAGGGTTATGAGCAGAGACGGGTGGATGTTCAGATGTTCAGAGGGCAGTTCACAGTAGGGATGTAAGAAAATATCAATATGGAAATATATCGCAATATTTTTTCCTGCGTTATTATATCAATAGTCAATACCCGTATATCTCATTTTTGGAAGAATTTACACATTTTCTTTTCGTTTGGTGCAATTCAAACCGACTGCTAGGTGGCAGCAGTGTGCAACGGGTTTTGTTTCCACCATTGAAATGTAAATCCCTCTGTCATGGTTCAGATACCTCATGTTAAACATGCTAAGTATCAGTCTGGACTGTTTATTGAATCAGTAGTATTGTAAATATCGTAATACATCGTATCACCTCCCCTGTATCGTGATGCGTATCGTATCGCCATCATTTCACCTACACACATCCCCAGTTCACGGTCATTGGATGAGGATTTTCCAGGGTCATACTTTTCAGACAGGTTTAAAATTATTCACTTCGGTTATAAAAAAAACAAACGGTTGCCATCATGGTTTGAAGAGCACTTCGGACAATACCGCAAAGAACGTCCCAGAACAACAGCAAAAGCACTACCTTTAAAGAAAGGCTTTGTTGTTCTACTTTTAATGAACAATGGCTGTCACAACAAGGCGAGTACAACTACACACCTGTTATCCTGTCACTACCACATTTAGGGATGGGTACCTTTGACATTTGAATCGATCCGGTACTAATTCCCGGTACCTAGGAATCGATACCGGTACTTAACGGTACCAATTTTAGATACTTTTGAGTGTTTCATATTTTAATTCTCTTTTATAATTAAATACATATTTTTCTCAATGTATAACCATATCTGATAAATATCACTATAAATAACATACAACTGTTTGTATTTTAACGTCGTCCTTGTAGTTTTATAAGCTGATAATTAAACTGAAGCAAACATCTTTACTGTGAACTAAATTTACTGTGTATCTTCATTCCTTTTGCCGTCCTTTTTCATTTGATTTTTCCTACTGGGAAGTTAGAATTTCCGAGGAGAACGCGAACGCACCATTAGCTGATAACAATGGTGACAATGGAAGCTAACATATCAAGCTAACGTTATCTTAAACAGTTTATTTAGCTGCTGGAGCAGATTAAAACGATGATGCCTCACACTTAGATCGTTGTCGCTGGTTTCATCTTCACCCAATCACCCGTCGCATTTAGTAAAGTGAAGCCAACCTTTAGAGCGTGTTCGCGTTCTTCTAGTCGGAAATTCGGAGTTCCGAGGAGAAAGCGAACGCACCATTAGGGAAACGGAAGCTAACATATCAAGCTAACGTTGTCTTAAACATTTTATTTACCTACCGGAGCAGATTAAGATGAGGATGTCTCACTTAGATCGTTGTCGCTGGTTTCATCATCACCCAGTTACCCATCACATGTAGTGAAGTGGACCCAAGCTTTAGCGTGCGTTCTTTCTACCATGCTGCTCTGTTTACAACTGGCTCGCAGCGACCGACGACATAACGCTCTTGCGCATGCGCAGCTGTCTAGGCAAGTTCTCGTTATGAAGGACGGGTACCGGAACGAGGCACCGTTTCAAATGTCGATACTGTGGAATTCGGTCGGTACCTTAAAAAGTACCGAATTCGTACCCATTGCTAATCACATTTAACATCACCATAGGTTTCATCTACCTGAGTGGGTCCTGAAGTGCATTTCCAAACTCGACCTCCCTTTAAACTCCTTCTTGCAGACCTCACACTGATGCACAGCAGTTTTATACCTCAGAAAGAAACAACAGGACAGAATTTCACATCGTTTCCAGACTTCAGTGGATGTTTAAAGTCAAACGGGGAAATGGAAATTCGTGTACTTCTGCCAAATCTTTTCTCCCAAATGGACACTTTTGTAGTGGACTGTCAGGTGATCTTGGCGTCTGAAACACTTCCCACATTCTTCACACTGATGTGCTTTCTCACCTGGAATAACACAAAGTGCATGAAGCTACCTCTGACTGGAAAACTGAGCATTTACTCTGAACACCCACCAGAGTGTATTATCTGATGCTTGGTCAGGTGATCGTGACGTATGAAGGTTTTTCCGCACTCGTCACACTCGTAGCGTTTGTCATCGTGGTGGACTCGGAGGTGGAGCCTGTCCAAGGGGACACGTCACACAGAAACTCTGAAGCATTCAGTCTATCAAGAACAAACGAGTCATGGACCTCACACCTGTACGAGCTGCTGTGACGGAAACTTTGACCACAGATGCTACAGAGATGAGGTTTCTCTCCACTGTGGATCCTCAAGTGCTCTCTCAAGGTTGTCCTGTCAGGAGAAAAGATATTACACTACTTGAAATATTTGACTTACTTTAATAAGAATCCGGCTGCCTTATTTCAACAATCTGAAGGTTTTTGCTTGTAAACATTGAAATATGTTGCTGGTTGGAAGTGGAGTCGTTTTGGGAAACATCTCCGGCACCTCGCCACTCAGCGTCTGGGTAGAATAACTGAGGATTATGGGATTTTTTTTAAAGCATCATACTAAATTACAGAGTCCTCATTCTTTTGCTGGTGTTTTAAAATGATCATGAGAATTCTGAGTTTGGCCTTGAAGAACATACACACAGAGGAGTGTCACAAATAAAGAGTAACGTTTAAACTCGATTCAATGATCTTGTTTGACATCCGGGGTCAAACAATCACATCAGTCACGGCGACGGCAACTGGAGGCGGAGCTCCGGTCCTCATTTTGTTGTAGCCCGGTGCATCTCGGTGAGCGAGGGAGAGACACTCCTCCTGCAGCTCACCGTAACAACACTAAAGGCTGATTTACGCTTCTCTATCAGCTCAAGTGCGGAGTCGCGCCCTTTGGAGGACTCGAAAGCTCATCTTCTCTTCTTTTTCTGATGGCGCACGGTAATCCAAACAAGGCCGTAAAACACGAAGGAATAGATGGTGGGCACACCAAATGAGTGCCGGTGCTCAACAGCTGTGACTGACAACTGAGGAATAGCACAAGGAGGCTGAAGCACTCAGATCAAATCAGGTATTTAAAGGGACTTTACGGAGTTTTGAATTTTTATGCTCGTGATTGCCCCCTCAGGCCAAAAGCGTAACGGCAACTTCAATAGTAGGCTCATGCCCGAGGCACGCATGCTGTACGTGCACACTCCTTAACGAAAATAACAGCTGAGACAGTCCCTAGTGTGTTTGAGTGTGTGTGTGTGTGTGTGGGGGGGGGGGGGGGGCGGAGGACAGGAGAACATGCAGCTAATTAATTAAATAATGTGGTTCTGTAGCTTTCTCTTCAGCACAGCCGACAAAGGTTTATGATGGGTCAGTCCTCCTGCATGCTCAGATCATTCCCTTCCCTTGCTTGAAAAATTGTTCCAAAATGAAAGTTGAACCCACATCTTTTTTATCTGTGAATTCAATGCCGTTCAGCGAGTCTCAAATAAAAATTTGGGCATCTTACTGTAAAAAAATATACCATTAATGTAAAAAAGAAACTCTAAATAAACTATGTTCACATCCAGAATCAAACCCAGGTCTTCTGCACGAGAGTCCGACATCTTACTAGGTGAGCTAAAGCACCAGTGATGTCTTTTGTATCTGTAACGTTTATATCCTTGATGACAGCTGAAACAACGTCAAACCAAAGAACGGTTCGGAGTGAAAATGGCTATTTTGTTGCTAATTTGCAGGAAATATCTAGAAGAAAGTTCTACAGAAAGTAGCTAAGGGTCCTCAGAAATGTAGCTAGCTTTGTCACTAGGCGTTAGGAACAGCGACAAAGTGGCACTGCCTCTCTCTCTGCTGCTAAAGCTACGGATAGCAAATGCTACGGGCGATGCCTGAGCGTGAACGCGCATGAAGCAGCCTGCTCGACCCGAGCATCTCTCTTTTTCTGTGATTTTACAGAAAAACAGGCAATCACAGTAAAAATGCCAGGGCTCATTCTACAGGACCAGGGCATTGCAGGAGAACGTATGAAGAAGACATTTATTATCTCTATACATGTTTTGGCTGTCAAACTTACATAATGCCCCTTTAATCGGTGAGTGTAAACTAACGTTTCCACATTGCTGTCATGGTCAGAGTTACAGTTTAGATGTTCCAACCAGTTTATATACACAGCAAGCTGATCATCATACTAGTCATGTGCTCATTGGTTGTGAAGCTGAGGGCTGGCATCAGTCCAACAACAATAAATCAAAGAAACTGATCATCTTTATAAATCAACAAGCTATAGTCAAAGTTACAGTGAGGCTAAAAGCCAAATGCTACAACACAGAAACCGTGGAAATCATTTCTATCCTGCCTGTTTATTATCTTCCTGCATCTCCTCTCAATCCTAAAGAGAAACTGCTACCTGGGTTCATATATATTCACCTTATGAGTTACCTTTGAACTGCAGTTCTAAAAGATCTACCGACTGCAAAAACAGTGGAGTGCCGCTGCTCGCCGGCCGACTACAACGGGACCGTTTTTGTTGCGGAGTTCGTGCCGGAGCGGAGACAGTGGAATCTTGGGGGTGCGTCGCCAGAGGACAAAACAGGTGATGCGCCTCGCTCCGTAGCGGCGAAACGCATCAGGCACAAATAACCGACAGAAAACATGAAAGGAAATGAGCCGACATGAACGATCGCGTGTTAGTTTTTGAGGTGGCGACACCTGATTTGATAATGTTACTGTGGCCGTGCTCAGGACGCAGATGTCTGGAGCGCGTCAACGATCAGAGCTTTGCATGCGCAAACTGGTTGAGGTTAGGATGGGGGTGAGGGGGAGGTTAAATTGCAAGAGGGAAAAGGTCACAGTTTGGTTAAATGTCCGTTTTACCGCCGGTGTCAGTACCAACGCTCTGGCACAGCGCGTTGCCTCCGCCTCCCGACGCAGGGGCTCATCACCTGCTGGAGGACTGCATCTTGTTGCTCATTATCACGTGACAGTGACTAGTTAATGACAGGCATAAAAAGTCACTACAGAGCCGTGAAGTCGACTAGTCGACTAGTCCATACAACCCCTAGTTCACGTACGAGTTCTTCAACAACATTTAGCACATCTGTGGTGTTGCCTACAAATGAGGGCAGAGTCCAAACAAATGGCTTAATGAAGAAGTCCACAAGCTGTGAAAGTGGTTCTGTCGCGCTGCCTATTCCGGATACTCCTGGCTGAAATGGGGGTAATGGATGGATTTATGAGCCTTAGGTAGACCATTAAAAACTGGGCAGACTGGATGTCATCCAGCCCCTGGTGCAGCTGGATGCATAAGGTCTGTTCCAGCCCTCAGCTTCACAACCAATCAGCACACGACTAGTATGATGATCAGCCTGCTGTGTTTATAAACTGGTTGAAACATCTGAACTGTAACTCCGACCATGACAGCAATGTGGAAACGTTAGTTTTTTAACTCTCACCTATTAAATACTTGATTTGACCCGAACCACGCCAGAGTTCTGTGTTTGGTCGATGCTCAACGCCCAGCCCAACCCGTGTTCAGACTCTTCAGGAGGAAGTCGCGGTCCCGGACGCCGGTGGAACTCTGAGGGAGACCACAAACACCACAGCTCTGCGAGTTGATGCATGCTTCACGTTTAAGTTGCTAAACCACGAATTTCTGGCTAAAGGTGCCCGCAAACCTTCATTAGCTTGGTTAGCTCGTAGCTGGGAGAGTAATGGCCGACTCAGATCGTCAGAGCCTTCCTCTCAGCTCCACCTCTTTGACAGGACGTGTGACTGGGCCAGGTTGGAGGTGATCAGAACCACCCACTGAGCTCCAACGAACGGTGGTACCAGAAGGTTGGTCCAGTATTTTTACAGTCACTGGTTTATTGTTGGATGTTTGCCTTTTTGACACGTCCTGTGATGAAAACATACCTCTCTCTTACCGACTTTCCACAAACAAAGCAGGTCCACTTTCTCTTCCCTCCATGTGTGCACTCAATGTGTCTCTTTCTGTTGCCCGTGTCGTTGAACTGCCGTCCACAAATCTCACAAGGAAACGGACCTGCAGGTGAGACAAAAAACATCAGTTATGGTAAACGGCCTGACTTTATACAGCACCTTCTAGGGTTGTCACGATACTAACATTTCAAACTCGATTCGATACTGAGGAAAAAAAAACTCGATACTCGATTTCGACACTATTTAAAAACACCAATTTATCGAACAAGTTTATTCAAAAATAACATTCCTCAATTTATATTGCAAAAATTAAATGTTAATAATTAAGTGTATAAAGTGCTTAAACCTTTCAAGTATCAGCATTTTTTAAAACGTGCATACAAAAACTGGCGAAAGTTAACACTTTAAATCATGAATTGTCTCACTATATATACACTATTTGCAGAGTGATGTTTTGCTGCTTAAACTCTGTTTAAGGTGCATTTTTGTCATAAGATGTAACGCCATATGTTTTGTTCTGTACTTTTGAACAACTCTGTAGGTCAATAAAGGGAGAAAACGAATTTCTCCACAGCAGGACAAAGGTACATCTACCGGTAATCTTAATAAAAACAGACTGGCGCACAGCAGTGACGTCATTAAAAGCGTCGGTTAGATTAGCCGCGGCTAGTCTGTTTACGCCTAGAAATCCCAGAAAAGACCCGCTCGAAACGAACAGGGTAATCACGTTAATGATTCCTAACAAAACCTTTCGACATGAAGATGTTTTGGTGCAGATAATGTCTTATTTCGAGGCTGCACCATGGGTGCCCGTCCGAACCCGTTATATGGATATACGCTGACGGTGATTCGCCGATGGATCTAAATAGCCGGGGAATCCAAGTAGCACCAAAGTTGTCAGCGTGAGTAAACAAACGTACTGCATGCTAGAAATTAAGTCCGGGTTGCAATAAACGGGAGTTTCCTTTAAGCACATAAGCGTGAATTTACAACTACGTGTCGGACTTGGTATGCTAATTAAGTTGGGCTGTGAAGCGCCTCCCAGATTCGCTGTTTATGTTTTTGTTTATTTATTTGGCAGACAAAACTTGGATCGGAGACAACTCGCGTGGGAAATTGCAATGTAGCCATGCGGCGTCTTCTTCTTCTGTTTGTCTGGGAGGCGGAGGCTGCTTTACGGCATCTGGCTGTCGTGCGTGTCGGTGTACTTGAAGAAGGCTGTGTATAATAGTCCATAATATCGATACCACAGGGATGGAATATCTCATTTAGATACCACTTTCAGTATCGATTTATATCTAGGTATCGATTTTTTTGACAACACTAGCACCTTCTAGGGTTCTACAAGCCCCTCCCACACACACACGATGGTGATGAGCTACATTGTAGCCACAGCTGCCCTGAGGTACACTGACAGGGGTGAAGCTGCTGAATACTGGCACCACCGGTCCCTACGACCACCATCAGCAGGCAAGGAGGGTTAAGTGTCCTGCCCAAAGACACAACGACAGCACAGACTGAGCGAGGCTCAAACCTGCAACCATCTGGTTACAGGGCGGGCATTTAACCCCTCTGCCGCCATCGCCTCCTTATGATTTAGAAATAGGGATGAGCCGGATACTCGTTTCAGACGGGATCCGGTACGGATAAAGCATTTTTGACGAGTACGAGCATGAAACGAGTAAAACTCGTAAATATCTGTAATCGTGCTGAAGGAAAATCCTCATTGGGTAACTGACTGTCTTCAAGCTCTGTGATTGGCCAGTCACATAGAGGGCCCGCCCCTCCCTACACACAAAACTCTGCAGCCGGGAGCTCACAGCTCAGTCCGCGTCCCCCCCCCCCCACCACCACCACCACCCCACACACACACACACACACACACACACACACACACACACACACACACACACACACACACACACACACACACACACACACACACACACACCCACACACACACACACCCACACACACACACACACACACCCACACACCCACACACCCACACACACACACACACACACACACACACAGACAGTAACGGATCTCTCTGTGCTTGCTTCACTGTTCACGTTTCTTCAGTACTCCCTATGTTTTCTTCAGTTTGCTTCTTTTTAAAGTTACTTTAAAGTTATTTAAAGTTACTTTTTTCGTAACGTACTTGGTGCATTTGACAAGACAGAGCTGAAAACGGCTCGTGCTGCGTCAGTCACTGCCTCCGCTCCGGTCAGGTTTTTTTCTTTTCCTCTCTCTCTCTCCTCTTCCTCAGGATCCACTCCCTCTTTCCTATTCACTCTCTCTTTCTTTACATTTTTAATCACAATTGTCAATTTTTTGCTCATTTTAAATATATTTTAATCATTTTCTAAATTCTTTTTTCTATTTTACATGTTTTGTTTTTGTGAAGCGCCTCGTGATTTTTATCTTGAGAGGAGCTATAGAAAAGATCTTTTCTTCTCTCTCTCTCTTAATTCATGCACTTCAATATTAATGTTCTGATTTTACTGATAAACTTGTTCTGTAATAGTTTCTTTACTATTATGATCAAAAACATTTAATCTCAACTCTGAGGCTGCTCTGTAAATAGTTTTCAAATAAACAATACACATAGCAACTTCTGATCAGATTTAAAATAACGTATTGATGTAAACCACACCCACTTCTGGGTTAGGCCACGCCCACTCCAAGTACAGATACAGATAGTGGTGTACTCGCTCATCCCTATTTAGAAATGTGAAAAGCAAAAGAGTGTCTGTGACCCTGTGAATGTTGCGTTGCGTTTCTCACCTAGGTGATACTTCTCTTGATGCTTTAGCCTCGCAAACCTGGATCTGAAGAACTCATCGCACGAGGAGCATTTAAAGGGCCGGTCCTGAGTGTGCAGGATCATGTGCTCCTGCAGGTGAGGCCTGCGGCTGAACGTCTTTGAGCAAATCTGTTGTTATGGATACAGAAGGTCAGGATTTAATCATCTCCTGTCACACAGGTGTGAGATTCGGTTAGAACCTCAAAGCCGAGCAGAAGCGATCCTTACAGCACATTTCCAGCCTTCACTTCTCTTTTTCCTTGCAGCCAAAAATTCCTGTGTCTGCTCAGGATGAAACCTGGAAGGAAACAAAAGGCCCAAACAAGAGCCGCTTCAGAACTAACCAGAAACTTTTGGACCATTCCCATCTGTACCGGGTAGCCCCAGTCGGCCCCAGCCTGGCCCGGTTGATTCCACACATCCTTGTCTTAAGCCCATGTGGGCTGATTCTACCCACCAATCAGAGGCTTGCTCTAATGGAAGGTGTGGATTTGCTGTCAGCAGTGGGTGTGTTGGCCCTGGTCGGCCTGAAGCAGACCCCCTCGAGAAGAGGGCTGAGAATGAGCCTTGGTTGGCCCGGAAAAATACCAGGCCACCCAGATATGTAAACAACCTACGCTACCCGGCCCGGGCCGACCCGGTACAGATGGGAATGGCCCAAAAGTTTCTGCTGTCACGTCCACCAGCTCTGGTGCACCATGCTTACCACTTAAGACCCATTTGTGTAATCGTTTGTTAGAAACTCTTCATTAAACAGGTCTCTGGACCTTACACAGCTCAGTCCAGGTAGGAGGTCCACCTGAACTCCAGCTGTGTCTCTAAACATGCTAACTGACCTTTTGACGTGCTTAGCCAGGGTTTTCCTACTGGCGTGGAGTTTATGACAGAAGGGACACTTGTGCTCCTTCTTGGAGAACGGAGCGTCGCTGGCGTGCTTTTTCTTGTGCACGGTCAGGTTGGACTTGGTGGAGTAGCACTGGAGGCAGATGTCACACTGGAACGGCTTTTCTCCTGTGTGAACTCTGGTGTGACTCTCATATTTACCTGAAAAACAAGAACAATTTGTCACTTCCAGATCCAGATCGTACCCGCCCACACCTGCGTCCCGTCTCTATGGACAGAACACGTGGTTTCACTGTGTTGTCTCCAATTTGTCCACTCTGGTACCAGTAGAGGTTTAAAGCAGTCATTTACATTGTGTGTGTGTGTGTGTGTGCGCGTGCATGCGTGTGCGTGCGTGTGTGTGTGTGTGTTTATACTGAGCCAGGATTCTCTGGAGGTTTCTTCCTGTTAAAAGGGAGTTTTCCTCTCCACTGTCGCTGCATGCTTGCTTAGTATGAGGATTGCTGTAAAGACACTGACACTAGTCAGTGACTCGATGCAACCTGCTGGGTTCCTTATATAGGAAACTTGTTACTGATTGGTTTAATGACCTGAGCTGTGTTGGAACGTTTACCGTGTGAAGGTCCCCGAGACGGCTTGTTGTGATCTGACGCTTCATAAATAAACTGAAGAGAATTCTCAGCTGCGACATGAAATCAAGCGCTCTATCCCTGCAACTCAGAGAAAGTGGGCGTTGGTGATCTACTTCCAGGGGAGGCGGGTTTCAGATCCTAGACTAGTTTCATGGGGACGAGCAGGGCCTGCTTTTGCTGGCTTTTCAAAATAAAACTCAACATTTGCTGCTAAGACAGCAAAGCACATAAATGCAGCCAAAATAAGTTTTTTTCCATGAGGAAATAACAATATGACATAGTAAAAAGCTCCACAAAGAGGATTCTCTATGATACGGTGCCTTTAGGACCACAGAGACAGAGATGGGAATGGGGCAGATCCATTTCTGCTCTGCTGAGTTTTAACTACGATCCTTCTATGTTGAGACATGCTGGAGTAAATCATTGTGTTGTGATATTTTAGCATGGAAGACAGGGTGGGGGTGCTGATTTAGATGTTAAAGGATTCAAACGGATGATTCACTAAAGCCGAGGGGTCGTATCAGTGTCTGCAAAAACACGTCGGACATTACCGACGTGTTTAAATGCCGGCCAACCCAAACTGCCGTGCCTCTTCTCTTAACTTCCGTTCTTCCTGAAAACCACACACTGCCGACTGTTTGTTGATGCGTTGCTCTGATTCCCCGATACAGACTTTTGTTTTCAATAATCTGCAGCGGTTGTCCCTGCTCTCTGCAGCAGCTGCCTGCAGGAGGGCTTCTTCCAACTATTTCAATTGATCTGCAATGGTACACAAAGACTGGAAACGTAGGATGCCCAAGGAAAGTCTTGCTTCTCTTGCCTCTGACTGACCAGAAGGGCTCTCCTGTCATTTAGCAGCATACCTTCTTACCCCACTGAGCAGACGTCCTCCTGCCAGTGCCACCAACCGTTTTATGAAGAAAATGCTAACTTAGCTCTATAAACCCATCCTGTCCTGTTTGCAACATCACTACTAGTTTCTTTTATAGAAGAGCCTGAGAAACACCAAATGTGAACTTGTAATCTATCTTGTTTCATAGAGCTGAACGATCTATCGTTGTTGGACCAAAATAGTAGTGATGTGTCGGTAACGAACGAACCGGCTCTAAGAGCCGGCTCTTTGAAGTGAACGACAAGAGCCGGCACGTCATTGGGAGCCGTCCCCTCCCCCCTCCCCTCTTGCTTTGGTGAAAGCTACAGGCGATTGGTCAACATGTGTAACTGCGTGTCCAGACTGTCCACACACAGAGCAGTAGGGGCGGGGAAGAGGGAGGATCAGACTCAGACACACAGCAAAGCACATGCGGGCGGAGGGAGACGAGAGGGAATGAGGAGGAGGAAAAAGACGAGAGGGGAGTGCGACGAAGACGGTGAGAAAATGAGCGCCAGCAGTCGGAAAGTGGAGATTTCTTAAAGTGTCTTCGTCTTCCTCCGCTTATCCGGGTCCGGGTCGCGGGGGCAGCATCCCAATTAGGGAGCTCCAGGCCATCCTCTCCCCGGCCTTGTCCACCAGCTCCTCCGGCAGGACCCCAAGGCGTTCCCGGACCAGATTGGAGATGTAACTTCTCCAACGTGTCCTGGGTCGACCCGGGGGCCTTCTGCCGGCAGGACATGCCCGAAACACCTCCCCGGGGAGGCGTCCAGGAGGCATCCTGACCAGATGCCCAAACCACCTCAACTGGCTCCTTTCGATCCGGAGGAGCAGCGGTTCTACTCCGAGTCCCTCCCGAATGTCCGAGCTCCTCACCCTATCTCTAAGGCTGAGCCCGGCCACCCTACGGAGGAAGCTCATTTCGGCCGCTTGTATCCGCGATCTCGTTCTTTCGGTCATTACCCAAAGCTCATGACCATAGGTGAGGATTGGGACGTAGATCGACCGGTAAATCGAGAGCCTGGCTTTCTGGCTCAGCTCCCTCTTCCCCACGACAGATCGGCTCAGCGTCCGCATCACTGCAGACGCCGAACCAATCCGCCTGTCGATCTCCCGATCCCTCCTACCCTCACTCGTGAACAAGACCCCGAGATACTTAAACTCCTCCACTTGAGGAAGGACCTCTCCCCCGACCCGGAGGTGGCAAGCCACCCTTTTCCGGTCGAGAACCATGGTCTCAGATTTGGAGGTGCTGATCCTCATCCCAGCCGCTTCACATTCGGCCGCGAACCTACCCAGCAAGAGCTGAAGGTCAGAGCTGGATGAAGCTAGGAGGACCACATCATCCGCAAAAAGCAGAGACGAGATTCTCCTGCCACCAAACTCGACACACTCCACACCACGGCTGCGTCTAGAAATTCTGTCCATAAAAGTGATGAACAGAACCGGTGACAAAGGGCAGCCCTGGCGGAGTCCAACCCTCACTGGGAACAGGTCCGACTTACTACCGGCTATGCGGACCAAACTCACGCTCCTCTGGTAAAGGGACTGAATGGCCCTTAACAGAAAGCCACCCACCCCATACTCCTGGAGCGTCCCCCACAGGGTGCCCCTGGGGACACGGTCATAAGCCTTCTCCAAATCCACAAAGCACATGTGGATTGGTTGGGCAAACTCCCATGCCCCCTCCATCACCCTTGCAAGGGTATAGAGCTGGTCCACAGTTCCACGGCCAGGACGAAAACCACATTGCTCCTCCTCTATCTGAGATTCAACTATCGATTGGACCCTCCTCTCCAGTACCTTGGCGTAGACCTTTCCAGGGAGGCTGAGGAGTGTGAACTCCTCCTTGAACCGTCACCTTATCGCGGTGGAGGAGTTTGAGTGCCCTAATGATCCTAGGAGCTATGTTGTCTGGGGCACTTAGTGCCCCTGGTAGGGTCTCCCATGACAAATTGGTCTTAGGTGAAGGGTGAGACAAAGAACGGTTCGAAGGATCTTTCATGGCGGTTAAAACGAAGAGTCGGAGTACCCGGCCCGGAGGGTTACCGGGGTCCCACCCTGGAGCCAGGCCTGGGGTTGGGGCCCGTGAGCGAGCGCCTGGTGGCCGGGCTTTCGCCCATGGGGCCCGGCCGGGCCCAGCCCGAACCGGATACATGGGCTCGTCCAACTGTGGACCCACCACCCGCAGGAGGAACATGAAGGGTCCGGTGCAATGCGAATCGGGTGGCAGACCAAGGCGGGAGCCTTGGCGGTCCAATCCCCGGACAAGAAAACTAGTTTTTGGGACATAGAACGTCACCTCGCTGGCGGGGAAGGAGCCGGAGCTTGTGGCAGAGGTTGAGCGGTACCGGCTAGATATAGTCGGACTCACCTCGACACATTGCATTGGCTCTGGAACCCGAGACCTGGAGAGGGGTTGGACACTCTACTTTGCTGGAGTTGCTCCGGGTGAGAGGCGGAGGGCTGGGGTTGGCTTTTTGTTAGCCCCGAGACTCTCTGCCTGTGTGTTGGGGTTTACCCCGGGGGACAAGAGGGTAGCTTCCTTGCGCCTTCGGGTCGGGGAACGGGTCCTGACTGTTGTTTGTGCTTATGGGCCAAATATCAGTTCAGAGTACCCACCCTTTTTGGAGTCCCTGGGACGAGTGCTAGATAGTGCTCCATCAGGGGACTCCATTGTCCTGCTGGGGGACTTCAATGCTCACGTGGGCAATGACAGCTTGACCTGGAGGGGTGTGATTGGGAGGAAAGGCCCACCTAATCTGAACTCGAGCGGTGTTTTGTTATTGGACTTCTGTGCAAGCCGCAGTTTGGCCATAACGAACACCATGTTCGAACATAAGGATGCCCACCGGTACACTTGGTACCAGGGCAGCCTAGGTCACAGGTCGATGATAGATTTTGTAGTCGTATCATCTGACCTGCGGCCGTATGTTTTGGACACCCGAGTGAAGAGAGGGGCGGAGCTGTCAACTGATCACCACCTGGTGGTGAGTTGGATCAGATGGCAAGGGAACATGCCGCGTAGACCTGGCAGACCCAAACACATAGTGAGGGTCTGCTGGGAACGCCTGGCAGAAGAACAGTTCTTAAAGTGTTCAGCTATTAAATCCATGGAAATGATAAATATTTGATATATTGCATTTTCTACATTATTAAATAATTTTACATATAGTTTAGCATAATTTTGGTTATAAATGTTCTCTACGCAACAGAAAATCTGAGGAGCCACTTGGGAGCCGAAAGAGCCGGCTCTCTAAAAAGAGCGGGAATTCCCATGGGACTTCAGGCACAGCCCATAGCTGGTTGTCGCACGTGTAATAATTGTGTGAGGAAGATGCCGTGTACTGGCACACACCGAGCTAATCTAGGTGCTGTGGAGGAAACGAGAGAAAGCAGCAAAGACACAGAGGCAGAAACAGTCCAACGTTTGGTAATAAAAGTGTAGCTACGAGCAGGTTAGCTAATGCTAGCGGGTAGCGGGCTCACGATCAAGTAGCATCAGAAAAATCACGATGGCCGTGAAACTAAGAATATTTAAAGTCTACGAGCAGAAGAAAAGTCCCCATCATCATAATCATCCTGTTCATTAGCTGCAGCGCTACGGAGCAGAACCGCTGCAGTCAGGTTGCTGGTTCGAGTCTGCTCTGCCCAGCACCTCTGAAGGTATACGGAAAACCACTGTAACATTTAATTACTAATGTGTAATTTAAACTGGACTATTGTTAACTCTTACATATTAGACATGTCACCATTACATGTTTAGCAGTAGAAATGAAATGTTAGCATTTCCATTTGCATACCACTGAACATGTTAATGAAATACATGAAATTTTACTGATCATAGTTTAATTATGGATATATTTAGATGATAGCAGGTTGTTTTACACGCTATTGAGCAGCTTTCTGATCACGTTCTGTTGTTAAAGTAAAAGAAGGAGAGAAAAAATGTTTCCCTAGAATGTTTAAATGTTTCCGTTTAATCCGTTTTTAATCTGATTCATGGATCTAAATTATGGTTTGTTGCAGCCCTACTCTGGGTTTGATTGTTTAACTGCTGAAGGGGTTAAATGACATCTCTGCTAAAGACCGACGTGTTGGGCAGTAAAGTTGGCGCGGTTTTCCATCTCCTACAAGATTTCGGCCACGCTGCTGACCAACAGACCCTGTTGTGAATGACTCCGCTGAGCCGTAGCTCCGGGTTTGTGAAACGGACTAAGCAGCAGCCATTTTGTCGTTAGCTTGCGTTAGCGGTCGTGTTGGACTGGTTTGAGGTGATCATCTGTGGACAAACATCCAGCGATTGTTTTATGAGATATTTAGCTAACAAAAACAAAGGAAAACACATCATCATCCACCTATAACGTATCCACCTGTATTTTCTGTACACCCACGACTGCAGTCCGACCCACAATAACACTCTTATCATCAAGTTTGCTGATGACACCACGGTGGTCGGACTCATTTCGAAGGGAGACGAGGCAGAGTACAGAGAGGAAGTCCTGAAGTTGGCAGCATGGTGTTCAGAAAACAACCTGTCCCTGAACACCAAGAAAACCAAAGAGCTTATTGTCGACTTCAGGAGACACAGCACCGACTTGGCCCCCCTCTACATCAACGGGGCGTGTGTGGAGAGGGTCCACACCTTCCGGTTCCTTGGTGTCCTCATCTCTGCTGACATCTCCTGAGCGGAAAACCTCTCAGCGATCATCAAGAAGGCCCAACAGCGGCTGCACTTCCTGAGAGTCCTCGGGAAGTACAAGCTGAACTCCGACCTGCTGCTGACCTTCTACCGCTCGTCCACTGAGAGCCTGCTAACCTACTGCATCACGGTATGGTACGGCAGCTGCACCAAGGCGGATAGAGTGAGGCTTCAGAGTGTGGTAAAGACAGCACAGAAGATCATCGGCTGTCCTCTCCCCTCCATGATGGACATTTATTCCTCCCGCTGCCTCAGTAGGGCAGCAAACATCATCAAGGACAGCTCCCACCCTGGCTTCAACATGTTCAGACTGCTTCCCTCAGGGAAGCGCTACAGGTGCATTAATACAAAAACCCACAGACTCAAAAACAGTTTCTTACCCAAAGCAATAACCACCCTGAACTCACATGCACCGATAACACAGCCCCCCACTTCCTCTATTGACCACCACTATCTATTGATACCAATTCTATGTGCAATAGCTGTATATACATAGCGCTGCAGAACTGTACACCCCCCCCCCCCAGCATGTTTTTTTACACTGAGTAGGAGATGCTCTGCATCTCATTTTACAATTGTATAGTGACAAAGGCATTCTATTCTATTGTATTCTACTCTATTCTATTGTATTCTATTCTATACGCAGCAGATGAAAACAAAGGAGGACCAACAGAAGGTTCCTCCGTGGGTCCCACCTGTGCGGTCAAAGGTCTTTCCACATTTGGGACACTGGAGCGTCTTCTTGCTGGAGGTCTGGATGATTACCGGCTCCAGCCCCTCGGGATACGCCGGAGTCTGGCTCGAACTTCCTGCTGCTGGTGCGTGACCTTCCAGCTCAGCCTGGCGCTCTGTGGTCTCAGCATGTGACCCATCACTCCCAGAAACCTCAGCAACTTTTAAGTTAACGTCTCCCCGCTCAACGTCCTCCCCATCCTCGTCCATCATGTTGTCCCCCTTAACTGCTTTGGTGGTCACACTCTCATCCAGCTTTGGCTCCTGGTTCTCCTCAAACAACTCTGTAGCTTCTTCAGCGTTGTTTTTATCTTTTCGTCTCAGTAGTGAAGCTCTTTGTTGTTCTCGAGTCCAGTGCTTCAGATCTTCCCTCTTACACTTGGTGGGTGTCCTCCGTCTACGAGCAGATCTCCGAGTGCTTTCGTTCTTTTGACCTGACCTGCTCTCTTCTTCATTTGAGACTTCTCCAGGTAGATCGGTCCTCTCACATAAACTGTGCTGTGGGGAGAACTGGTGGGTGACCTGTGGGCACTTCACGTCAGAGGAGCTGTGGATCTCCGGGTCCGCCCCTGCTGGGTCAGTGGAGGACGGGTCCACGTCTGTATAAGTTCTAGTCCCGGCCTGGACTGCACTCGTCTCCCCATCATCACATAACAACTTCAGTATATCCATCATGTCTAGGAATCGGGCTGCTTCTGCTAGAGCTGGTAGGTCCGTCTCTGCAACGATGCACTCGGCGGTGTACAGGAAGCCGAGCAGATGCTGGAAGACTGAAGCTTCCACATGGTCCAGAGTCACGTGGGTCGTTGTAGCAGAGCCCTTGGAAAGCTCTGCATGGAAGTAGCTGCTGCCGTGGGCCAGCACTGCTTTGTGGGCGCTGTAGGCCTTCCCACCCACCGACACCGACACATCACAGAACTTCTGTCGGGTTCGGTCCTCGTTCAGGAAAGCCAGAAGGTTGTGGCTGTGGTGCGACATGGTCAGCCTTCTGAGAGGTGATTCCTGCACGGATCTAGACCCGGGTTCTGGGGCCGGGTCTGGTTCACAGACCAAACTCCTACGCCTGGGACACGACATGGTGTTTGGCTCCTTCTTCACTGGAGTCGCTGTGGTTTTCAAAAGTCTGTGCTGGAAAACAGAAGATGAGAGATGAGACTCACTGGACCAGGGGCGTGTCCAGGGAGTGGCCTGGGGTAGCACATGCCACCCTTGGAATCTAATTGGCCACCCCACTAATTTACCTTTAAATAGGCTTTTCATTGTTCACAAAAGGCTTGGGGGTAAAACAAAAAAAAGCATAACCATTGGTGCCACCCATGCACAAAGTTGTGCCTCACCTGGGCCACCCCACTTTAAAAGATCTGGACACGCCACTGGACTGGACCAGCATCAAGAGGCTCAGCCTGGAGGTGACTTGTTTATCGTTTGGATGTTTACCTGCAGACGAAGCTATTCTCCTGCTTTCACCAAACAGAGCCTTAGACCCGAGGCACAAACGCGTCAGAGACCAGCGTTGGGCTGAAATCAGCTGCGTGTGGTGCTGTGGCTTCCTTCTGCCACCCAACGAGTTCTCAGTCTGACGGGCGGACCCCCGCCGAGGAGAACGTCGACAAACGACCAAGTCCACGTCTAAAACTCACCCTTTCATCGCGACGTTTTCCAAATGAGCTCACCTCAGACGTAAATGATGCCTCTGCGGAGTCATTTTCACCCGAACGGTGAGACATGCGACGTACACAGACGGAAAAACAAGGATTTCCTGAAGAAAGACGGGCTGGAACGCCCCAGAAATGTCTCTGCGGTTCTCGCGTGTTTTCATGTGCGCGAAATCACGCGACACTACGGTATTCTGGTGTCTGAGTGAGACTTCAAAATAAAAGCGGACTTCCGCTTTACTTATCACACCAGGAAATATTAAACTGTAATGCAAAAATCATTATAAACAACATGGTCTTGTGTTTGCTCTTATCCTGCTGATAGAAAATGAGGTCGAGTCTTATGTTTCCACAAGTGAAAAAAAATAACCCCCAAACGAAACAAGTTATAGTCCAGATGATGTTTTTAAAATACTATTAAAAACGTGTTAAAAAGTCTTCATTTAACTAATCAACACATTTTTATTTCACACCTGAAAATTTCCTGGAGATGCCGTTGACAAATAATGATTCAATTTATTAGAGGAACAAATCTAATTATGGGTTTAACACTCTTGGTCTGGTGATAACAGCTGATGGTCTCGTCTCTCTGGACGAGCTTTGTCCCACTCTTCATTAAACAATTGTCTAAATTCAGCCACGATGGAGGAGTTTCCAGCAGGAAGACCATGATTAAGGTCAAAGCCGGGTCAGACGTTCTCCTTCAGGATGTTCTGATCAGGTACAGCAAGTGCTTTTAGTCATGAAGCCGCAGAGCAGCCTCAGATCATCACACCGCCACCAACCATGTGTTTGACTCCAGATGGAGCAGGATGCACTCCTCCCTGAAAGTTTTGCATTTGTCAAATCAATCGTCAGAATATTTACCCTGAAGACTTGAGGATTGAGTTAAGAGCTCAGTCCTGTAGAACTCAATAACCCTTCCTGCATCCAAACCAAATCTGTAACACACACACACGCACACGCACACACACACACACACACACACACGCACACACACACACACACACACACACACACACACACACACACACAGCTTGTCTGACTTGAAGCTATGACAATGTTCAATCTTGCAGTTAGGAATTATAGAACAGTCAGTTTGATGTTTTGGCCACCAGAGGGCGATAGTGCTTTTCTGTTCAACTGTAACTGGACTGTGGGAAAAGCTTTGCAAGAGCTAAATTGTTAAGGAAGTTCTGGGTGTATCATTAGTGAAACGAAATGAACCGTTAATCCAAAAGGGTTCAAATGAAGGCAACTGGACTTCTTTGGTTTCTTGAAGACTTTTCTCATTAGAGGCGCTTCGTCAATTCTGGCTGGAATATGGGAGAGTCCAGCTTTTAAGCTGTATTGTTGTTTAATGAGCTGAATCCAAGGGCGTAGGAAATGGGTGGGACGTGTCCCCTCCAATATTGGACAAATGCGTATTTATCTTCCCCCCCCCCCCCCCCCCCCCACCCAATAACGTTGAGATGAAAAAAATTGATTTTAAAATATTTGACTCGTGACAGCTCCATTGGCTTCCAGTGCACAGCAGGATTAACTACAAGATTCTCCTCACCTTCAAGGCCATCCATAGCCTCGCCCCTCACTACCTCACAGATCTCGTTCACATCGTCACCTTGTCCCGTTCCCTCAGGTCCTCCTCCATTCATCTCTCTGTGCCCTCCTTTCGTCTCAGCTCCACGGGGAGTAGAGCCTTCAGCTGCACCGCTCCCAAACTCTGGAACTCCCTTCCCCACCTCCATTCCCAAAATGCCCCCCAGGGCATGGAGACCCCAGCCCATCTCGCTAGGGCCCAAAGCAGCAGCATCGCAGGGCCCCACGGAGCCCGAGGGCACCAACCCAGCCCCACCCCAGCAGAATAACTACTCCCATCCCTGCGTTTGCACAACTTCGAGAATATTTAAGGCACGAGACATCCAGGTCAGGTTGGGTCATCCCCCTCCTAGCCCCCCCCCCGATGGGACAGAATTGTTATTATTCTAGAGGAGCCAAGGTCCACCTGAGGCCCTTGAGCCTGGGCCATGCACTGCCGCTTGTTCCTGTCTTCTTCCCGGCAGCTTACGAGTCAGGACCTCATCCCCAAGTCCCCACCCAGATCGCCACACGGGGCCTGCCGCCCCCACACCCCGAGCCACCAGGCCCCCACCCAGACCCAATCAGGGGTGATGCAACCCATGGCCGCCGCCGAGACCCCCCAAGGGGCCTCACTCACAACAGACAGAAGTCCACCCCCGAGGAAACCCAAGTACCTCCAGAGGGGGGCAGCAGCCCACCAGCCCCAGACACCATCAGTGAACCCACCTCCAGGGAATGTCCGGATACTCCAAACTCGGACCCTCAGCCCCATCACCCACATCATCCTGCCGGATAATATCAATGACCTCCTATCATTGGTATGTGATGGAACCAATCAAAGAAGCCCAGAGAGATTGACTTGAAGTGGAAGCAGAGGCTGTTTCAAGTGTAATTTGATCCAACAAAAGATTTCTATACTGGTTAATGCAAAGAGTATCTCTATTTATTTAATTCATGAGGATAGTTGCAGTTAGCAATTAATCTTGTGGTGAGGAATTATAGAAGTCAGTTTGATGTTTTCACCACCAGAGGGCGATGGTGCTTCTCTTTTCAACTGTGACTAGACTGGGAAAAAGCTTTGCAAGAGCAAAATGGTTACGAAGTTAGTTCTGAGTGTATCTTTAGTGAAAGGAAATGAGCCATGAATCCAAAAGGGTTCAAATGAAGGCAACTGCACTTCTTTGGTTTCTTGAAGACTTGTTTCCTCTTATTTGAGGAGCTTTGTCAATTCTGGCTGGAATATGGGAGAGTCAAGCTTTTAAGCTGTATTGTTGTTCAATGAGCTGAAACTACTCTGAGTATCCCTCTTCTCTACCCCCTGATGAGTCCTTAGCCTCTATTGAGAGGGAGAGTCATTGTGTTGATCAGAAACGGGTCCATCCAAAAGACAAAACACCCAAACAGAAGCTCAGTGGTGTTGTTGATGCAGTCCAATTAGGGAAGACTGTCCAGATCTTTACATCAGAGAAACTATACAACAATTACACAAGAACATAACACAACACAGGAGAGCCACCTCTTCAGATCAACACTCTGCAGTCCACCTACACCTGAAGGAGAAGGGACACACCTTTGAAAATGATGAGTAGAAATTCTGGACAAAGATAGATGTTAGAGAGAGAAAAAGAAGCTACAGTTGTGGTCAGAAGTTTACATACACTTGTAAAAAATATAATATAATGGCTCTACTGAGTGTCCCGTTATTTCTAAAACTCTGATTTTTCTCTGATAGAGTGATTGGAACAGATACTTCTTTGTCACAAAAAACATTCATGAAGTTTGGTTCTTTAATGTCTTTATTATGGGTTAACAGAGAAAAGTGATCACATTTGCTGGGTCACAAATATACATACAGCAACATGAACTAGCAATTTTGGTGACTTAGAAACGTGTCAGTGAACTGAGCTTCGTAGCATGGCCTCTTAACTTCTTGTGAGTGATTATGAGTGACTACAGCGGGTGACTTCTCTTAGGCCAGGTAAATAGGGCTCATTGGATACAAACGCTACAATGGGAAAGTCAAAGGAGCTCAGCATGGATCTGAAAAAGCGAATTATTGACTTGAACAAGTCAGGAAAGTCACTTGGGGCCATTTCAAAGCAGCTGCAGGTCCCAAGAGCAACAGAGCAAACAATTGTTTGTAAGTATAAGGTGCATGGCACTGTTTCATCACTGCCAAGATCAGGAAGAAAACGCAAGCTATCACCTGCTGCTGAGAGAAAATTGGTCAGGAGGGTAAAGAGTGAACCAAGAATCACCAAAAAGCAGATCTGCCAAGAATTAGAAGCTGCTGGAACACAGGTGTCATTGTCCACAGTCAAACGTGTTTTGCATCTCCATGGACTGAGAGGCTGCCGTGCAAGAAGGAAGCCCTTGCTCCAAAAGCGGCACCTTAAGGCTCGACTGAAGTTTGCTGCTGATCACATGGACAAAGATAAGACCTTCTGGAGGAAAATTCTGTGGTCAGACGAAACAAAAATCGAGCTTTTTGGCCACAATGCCCAGCAATATGTTTGGAGGAGAAAAGGTGAGGCCTTTAACCCCAAGAACACCATGCCTACAGTCAAGCATGGTAGTGGGAATATTATGCTGTGGGGCTGTTTTGCTGCCAATGGAACTGGTGCTTTACAGAGAGTAAATGGGATAATGAAGAAGGAGGATTACCTTCACATTCTTCAACATAACCTAAAATCATCAGTACGAAGGTTGGGTCTTGGGCGCAGTTGGGTGTTCCAACAGGACAATGACCCCAAACACACATCAAAAGTGGTAAAGGAATGGCTAAATCAGGCTAGAATAAGGGTTTTAGAATGGCCTTCCCAAAGTCCTGACTTAAACCCCATTGAAAACATGTGGACAGTGCTGAAGAAACAAGTCCATGTCAGAAAGCCATCAAATTTAACTGAACTTCACCAATTCTGTCAAGAGGAGTGGTCAAAGATTCAACCAGAAGCTTGCCAGAAGCTTGTGGATGGCTACCAAAAGCGCCTAATTGAAGTGAAAATGGCTAAGGGACATGTAACCAAATATTAGCACTGCTGTATGTATATTTGTGACCCAGCAAATGTGATCACTTTTCTCTGTTAAACCATAATAAAGACATTAAAGAACCAAACTTCATGAATGTTTTTTTATGACAAAGAAGTATCTGTTCCAATCACTCTATCAGAGAAAAATCAGAGTTTTAGAAATACCGGGACACTCAGTAGAACCATTATATTATATTTTTTACAAGTGTATGTAAACTTCTGACCACAACTGCATGTCAAACGTGAAAACCCCACTTTAAATAGGGGAGGGGCTTCAATTTCACCTTTCCATTACCTATAATACAGCTTTTAATCTCATTCCTAAGCAGTTTCAGTCTAGGTCACACCTTCCTGCATCTAATAAACACAACGACTCCCTCTAAATCGATGCTAACAACTCATCAGGGGGTAGAGAAGAGGGGTACCCAGAGTAGTTTCTGCTTGTTAAATAACAGACAGCTACTGTCATGTTGGGTACAAGGTGTTTGACCCACGACATGCAGAATCACGAGTAGACAGAAGGTAAATAAGATTTATTATTAAAAATAATAAACGAGGGGGTGAATAAACAGGAATTGAAGGTGCTGCGAAGTAGCAGGAATAACGGCAGAACTCAGGGGACAAGTGCTCAGCGGGACGAGTCTAGGAAGGAGAACAGAGGTGAGTATGCTGATGGATTCAGGGGCAGAAGGCAAGAAGGTAAAGGACAGTCCTTTGGGCTTACGTTTCTTCAGGCTGATGGGAACCAGGGGGAAAGGTGAGTCAGGTCTGGGTGAGTAGGCGATCCAACAGGTAGAAGCAGAAGTCGACGCCCCTTCGTGTCCAGAAGTCGACGCCTCTTTGTGTCCAGAAGTTGACGCCTCTTCGTGTCCAGAAGTCAACCCCTCCACTCCTTTGGTCGACGCCTCTTCTAGTCCTGTGGTCGACGCCCCTTCCGGTCCTGTGGGCGACGCCCCTTCCGGTCCTGTGGTTGATGCCCCTTCTGGTCCTGTGGTCGACACCTCTTCCGGTCCTGTGGTCGACGCCTCTTCCGGTCCTGTGGTCGACGCCTCTTCCGGCGCTGAGGTTGATCCCTCTTGCCCTGAGGTCGATCCCTCCGGCCCTGAAGTCGATCCCTCCGACCCTGAAGTTGACCCCTCCGGCCCTGAAGTCAACGTACCCTCCGGCCCTGAAGTTGACGTCCCCTCCAGTCCAGAGGTCGGTGTCCCCTTCACTCCAGAGGTTGACGTCCCCTTCAGTCCAGAAGTCGACGTCCCCTTCAGTCCAACGTCTCCTCCTCCAGTCCAGTGGTCAACGCCGTCTCCAGTCCAGTGGTCGACGCTGCCGCCTCCAGTCCAGAGGCCGAAGCCACCAGTCCAGAAGTCAAGGACGTCTTCTCCAGCGTCTCTGCCTCCGGTCACTGCCAGTCCTGCCCTCGCCAGGCGCGAGCCTCCCAGAGCCTGTCGTCGTCTCCTCCTCTGCCCAAGACGCAGGCCCCGAAGAGCCCGTCGTCGTCGTCTCCTCTGCCCAAGACGCAGGCCCCCAAGAGCCCGTCATCATCTCCTCCTCTGCCCCAGACGCAGGCCCCCAAGAGCCCGTCATCATCTCCTCCTCTGCCCCAGACGCAGGTCCCCGGACTCATTCATTTTTCATGGGAGTGTGCAATCCTGCAGTCTTATCAAAAGAAGGCTTTGTTTGGGAACATAGGCTGACATCTTGTCCCCCTGAAATGTCAACAAGGACTGCAGAATCTTCTGGCTTGTTGGAAGACAGAATGTAAAATCCACTTTAGAGAATGGAATTATGTCTGTAGATGACCGGTGGCATGTAGGTCAATATGTAGGTGAAAAATGACCCCTTCTGGACGTTACAGCTGTAACGGCGTCAACCGCTTCGAGGAGGGAGGATGTACAGTTTGGCTGGTCCATGATTCAGCAAAACATCCGTATTGGTGTGTGAGTGTGTTGGGAGTTTGTAGTGAGTGTATGATGTGTGTAGGATGTGTCTGTCTAAATGTATCATTGCAAAAAAGCACAAGAAAAGGCTGAAAGATTGGGACTACAAAGAACTAGAATTCGCAGGAAAACGACGACAAAGCAGGTGATTGGGTGAGTGATAATCATGTGACAGTTCACGTTGACAATGTGATGACGTTCATTCAAGCGTATGAAGCCCTGTGAGCTGCAGATCAGAACGACACAGCGTCTGTCTGAATGAAAACGCTTTTCTTATTTGCGCATTTTGGTTGTTTTTTGCAAACTCTTTAGCGGAAATACGCAGCGCTCTGAGACGTGTTCAGTGTGTGAGATATAAGTGTAACTCCTTTGGTTTATTATGCGAAAAAAAAGTTTTGTTCTATCTTTTATACTTTCAGTTCTACAAGCATTTGAACACAGATATGCAAATGGGAGTGCCAGCGCTCCCACCAGTCTTAAAGGGTTAATAATCAAGCTCCATCATACATCAGTGACCTGATTGTTCCATTTGTTCCTAACCGAGCACTTCGACTGCAGGTTTACTGGTGGTTCCCAGAATATCTAAAAATTGGATGAGAGGCAGATCTTTTAGTTATCAGGCTCCTCTCCTGTGGAACCAGCTCCCAGCTTTAGTCCGTGAGGCAGACACTTTGTCTACTTTTAAGAATAGGCTTAAAACATTTTTATTTGATAGGGCTTATAGTTAAAATCTGATGTTAGCCTAAATCTGGACAAGTGGGGGAGTAGAGGGAGGTGGAGTGTACAGTCGGTAAAGACGGCTCTCCCTTGCCCCGCCTCCAACATACCTATATCTAAAAGGCTAGGTTATCCAGAGTTATCTCTGTAGTTATGCTGCTATAGGCTTAGACTGCTGGAGGACACACTGACCACTTTCCACACTCTACTACTTTCTTCTACTATCTGCTCTTTAACTGTATTATTTCCTGCTATTTCAGCTGTTAACTTTATTTTCTCTCTAAGTGTTTTCTCCCCAGAAGAAGCTACAACGATGTTCTGCTGAGCTGTGGTGGCCTCATGGAGGGGGTCATCGTCTAGCACACTGCTGCTAACCACTTAAACATTCTCCCTCTCCTAATGATAACTTTTTACTTTCCTTGACGTTGGATGTGCTACTACTAGTTTACCCGATTAATTATAGATTCACTAGGATAAATACAATAAAGTTTATCTGTCACCAAATAGAATATTTACTAAGACATCACAATGTAACCATAGAAACACTACTTGGTATATTTCGTTTGTGTGTGCGTGCGTGCGTGCGTGCGTGCGTGCGTGTGTGTGTGTGTGTGTGTGTGTGTGTGTGTGTGTGTGTGTGTGTGTGTGTGTGTGTGTGTGTGTGTGTGTGTGTGTGTGTGTGTGTGTGTGTGTGTGTGTGTGTGTCTGCTCTGTCTTCTCCATCCCCAGTGAGTCGTGGAGGATGGCTGCTTATACTGAGCCAGGATTCTCTGGAGGTTTCTTCCTGTTAAAAGGGAGTTTTCCTCTCCACTGTCGCTGCATGCTTGCTTAGTATGAGGATTGCTGTATAGTCACTGACACTAGTCAGTGACTCGATGCAACCTGCTGGGTTCCTTGTATAGGAAAAATTATTTCTGATTGGCTTAATGAACTGACCTGAATTGGAATGTTTATTATGTGAAGTGCCTTGAGACGACTCTTGTCGTGATTTGGCGCTATATAAATAAACTTGAATTGAACTGAATTCTTTAGCAAAAATAAGGAGTTTGGGGGTTTAGTTGATTTTTTCTGAAGACATTGAACTTAAGACTAGTTCTATTTTATTCTTGATTATCATTGTAGTTCAGCAGTTAAACATATATCCCTCCAAACCAGAGAGAAAGGGTAGATAAGAAAAATTGCTTTATCTTGACTGATGGAGATAGTCTGACCACAACTGGGAGTTGAAAACCAAAATGCTGGTGTTACTTGTAGAATAGTCAGAAAACATTGATTAGCGCACACATGCGCACACACACACACACTTACATGTACAGCAATCTCGTAAGTCCGCTTTTATTTAGAAAAAATCTATTAACCCTTTGATGCATGAATTATAAAATCTTCAACCATGATTTTTTAAACAATTTTTTTCATTTGTCTTTAGGTGTGAATGAAACAAATTTCAACAAACATTTTTTGTAAAATTTTATAATTTACAAATAATTTATTACATGTCCACCTCAGTGGACAGCGTGCATTCTGAGCATGAAATATGTTGGCTTGGCTTACTGAAGTCCAACTGGAGGGGCTCAAATGCAATAAAGTCTTCAACAGCTGTGCTTAATAGCAAAAACAAATAAATAACAATTTTGAGTACCTGTCTACTGTAGTGACCATTATGCATCAAAGGGTTAAATTAATATAAAGAAAACGTATCATAATAACGAGTGTTTGCATCCCCAGCGTGATTGTCTAATGTTTGCCGTAGGTTAGATGGGTCAACATAACACAGTAATGAATCAAATAAGTCTAATTTTTGCATCCTTAACAACTTATGTTGTGCTTGTGTTAGCAAACTGTGTTGACGCCATAATCTATGGTTAACAGAGCTGCATGACACGCGGGGCATCATAATGCAGTCTCAAAGATACTATCAACAAGAGTGTCATTAAAATCAAAGGGTACAAAATTATGGGATATAATTAAAATCACCACATATATGATTAAAGCACATTTAATAAAATAAAAGCACAGCTAATGATTTTTTGTGTGTACATTTTTTATAAAATTAATTTATCATTAAAAAACTCTGGAATTTCAGACCTACTTTGTTTTGCATTGAAAACGGCCAAAACAAACGCTGAGATGATCAGCGGAGTAATACAAGACCTTTCCCAGATCAAACCCACCTAATTCAGACTCTGCAGCCCGAGTTATCCAAAATGTTCTCCTCTAGGGTGCTAAACGTGACTCCGTGGCTCTGCTTTACCACCCGTGCCGAACTCTGATATCCCACTGGCAACAGCTTCGGTCTCGCCCAAATTAGCTTCCCGAATGCAACCGTCGCTCCTTCAACACAGTGAAGCTGTGAGCTGTAAGTGCATTAGCTTAATCCTCTCTGTCAAGCACGCTGCCATCCGAGCACTTCAGGGAGCATGCACTAAGGCAGGGAAGTGAGGATGGAGCTGTGTTTAAACTAAAATGAAGATAAGGACACACACCCAATAATCTGGGGGACAATGCTGAGAGTCAACGTGCATGTGTGGATGCTGGGGCTACTCTGTGCAGGTAATCTTTGCACTCATCACAGAGAAGGACGTTACTTAGATACGTCCAAAAATATCTTGTAGCAAGTCAAGTTTAACCATCTGTTGTCTTTGTGTAGGAAATGTGCTTTATAAATAAAGCTGTCTTGTCTTTTGTATAACTGTATTTTACGTTTAGAGGAATCTTTCAGTAGATTACAGGACGAACATAAAAAGTGTTTTCTGCATTAAACTAGACAGAACAAGAAGTGCTGAAGGTCACCAAGGCTTCTACCACCAGAATATTCTACATTAATGTTGAGATAATCTGATTGTAAAGCGTGTGTTCAAAATATTCCCTATGCTGTGCAGCAGGGCCGTGCAGAGACCTCTAAGGTGCTCAAAGGGCTAAACTTCAGATAATGAGACTCCTGGGCTCAAACAACATATTATAAAGTAGGAAAAATATGTAATTTAGTGTCATTAATTGAAGGTATTGTTAGTTCATAAACAATTGTTTTTGTTTTTAAAGCTGACTTATATCTAGAGATGGTACAGCCACGTTTTTGCCACTGATTTGAGTCCAAGTTGTTTGATTTTGATCATCTCCCATAACTGAGTCCTGTTCCGATACCAGGTGGTGATGCGATGCATTAAAAAGGTAGAGCATCCAAGTTGTCCTTCTATCTGCATTTGTCATTTTGTTCATTTATCCTTAAAAAGCCACAGTATTCAAGATTTGAGACCACTTATTGTCATTGCACAGGTGTACCAAATTGACTTTGCGTTCACTAAAGACAGCCCACGTAAGAGATAGTCAAATAAAATAAGTAAAAATAAGTAAAATAAATACAGCCACAGAAAGTTTTCCAGTCTGACAAATACAGCTATGTTCCTTGAGATCTTTTTCCTGTTTGTAGGAAATTCCTGATCCAATTCCATGATCTCACTCTGAACTTTACACTAAACCTGAGAGCTCCATCCATCCATCCATCCATCCATCAATTTTCAGCCGCTTATCCGGAGTCGGGTCGCGGGGGCAGTAGCCTAAGCCAAGACCCCCAGACTTCCCTCTCCCCAGCCACTTGGGCCAGCTTTTCCGGGGTAATCCCAAGGCGTTTCCTGGCCAACCGAGAGACATAGTTCCCCCAATGTGTCCTGGGTCTTCCCTTGGGCCTCCTCCCAGTTGGACATGTCAGGAAAACCTCACCAGGGAGGCGTCCAGGAGACATCCGACCAGGTGCCCGAGCCACCTCAAATGGCTCCTCTCGATGTGGAGGAGCAGCGGATCTACTCCGAGCCCCTCCCCGATGACCGGGCTTGCCACCCTATCTCTAAGGGAGAGCACAGCCACTCTGCGGAGAAAACTAATTTTGGCCGCTTGTATCCGCGATCTCGTTCTTTCGCTCACTACCCAAAGCTCATGACCATAGGTGAGGGTAGGAACGTAGATCGACCAGTAAATCGAGAGCTTCGCGTTCTGACTCAGCTCTCTCTTCACCACAACGCCCGCATCACTGCAGTTGCAGCACCAATTAGCCTGTTGTGTCTCACGCTCCAGTTTTCCCTCACTTGTGAACAAGACCCCGAGATACTTAAACTCCTCCACTTGGGGCAGGACCTCATCCCTGACCCTTTTCCGAATTAAGACCATGTTCTCAGATTTAGAGGAGCTGATTCTCGTCCCAGCTGCTTCACACTCGGCTGCGACCCGCTCCAGCGAAAGCTGGGAATCACTGTCCAATGAAGCCAACAGGACCACATCATCTGCAAAAAGCAGAGACCTGATCCTTAAGCAACCAAAACGGATGCCCTCCACACCTTGGCTGCACCTAGAAATCTGTCCATAAAGGTTATGAACAGAATCGGTGACAAAGGGCAGCCTTGGCGGAGTCCAACTCTCACTGGGAACGAGCCCGACTTACTGCCGGCAATGTGTGACCAAGCTCTGACACCGGTCATACAGGGACCTAACAGCCCGTATCAGAGGGCCTGGTACCCCATACTCCCAGAGTACCCCCCACAGGACCCCCCGAGGGACGTGGACGAACACCTTCTCCAAATCCACAAAACACATGTAGATTGGTTGGATTAACCCCCACGCACCCTCCAGTACCCTCCTAAGGGTATGGAGCTGGTCTAGTGTTCCACGGCCAGGACGAAAAACACATAGCTCCACCTGAATCTGAGGATCGACAGTCCGACGGACCCTCTTCTCCAGAACCCCTGAAAAGACCTTACCAGGGAGGCTCAGGAGTGTGATCCCTCTTTAGTTGGAACACACCCTGCGGTCCCCCTTTTTACATAGGAGGACCACCAGCCCAGTCTGCCAGTCCAGTGGAACTGCCCCTGATGTCCACACTTTACTGCAAAGCCGCTTCAGCCAAGACAGACCCACAACATCCAGAGCCTTCAGAAATTCCGGGCAGATCTCATCCACCCCCGGAGCTTTGCCACTGAGGAGTTTTTGACCACCTCAGTGACCTCTGCCCTAGAGATTGGAGCTCAACCCAAAGTCCCCAGACTCTGCTTCCTCACTGGAAGACGTGCCGGTGGGATTGAGGAGGTCTTTGAAGTATTCTGCCCACCGATCCACAATGTCCCGAGTCGTGGTCAGCAGCACATCGTAACCACTGTAAACCGTTTTGGTAGGGCACTGCTTTCCCCGCCTGAGACACCGGGTGGTTGACCAGATTCTCCTCGAGGCCATATGAGAGTCTTGTCTCACCAAACTCCTCCCACACCTGGGTTTTTGCCTCCGCTACCACCCGAGGTACATTCCGCTTAGGCTGCCGGTCTCCATCAGCTGCCTCTGGAGTCAGCAGACACTCACAGTATGTTTGGGCCTGCCAGGTCTGACCGTCTTCCTCCCGTCACCATTGGAGCTGTAAAGGATGGGTAGTTTACGTCTTACTTATGAACCATAAAATGTGAGATTCCATAGAAATATGAAATATCAATCTGATGGATCTTTGACTATTTTAACCAGAAGATCAGAACTTTTTATTGCAGGGATTAAGCGACACTTCGTATTAACTCCGAGGAAAGAGAGAGAGTCAGGTTTAAAATAGTTAAGAAATTTATTTCTACACAATTTAAACAAGACTAACTTAAACACTCTGTGTACTGATGGACTAGGTGGAGTGAGACGTGAATGATGATGGTGTGTGGAATGTTATTCAGAACCAGCGGATCCGAAGAAGCAGTTAGTTCTGAGTGGGAGTGAATGTTTCGCTCTAAACTTTAGTAAGAGGTTTATAACACACATGAAACGCCATCTGTCGGTCTACGTACCCCAGGGGAAGCCTCCGCTTGGATCCAGAATGTCGAGGTCCTCATGGACCCTCTTTGGTACCGAAGCCGGTAGAAAAGCAGCGGTGCTGACCAAACTAGTCTTGGAATGCTTCCAGGTCACGACAGGTTATCACTGGCGTCTCCGAGACCCTGAAGGGGTCATGAGGTTCAGCTTTTATTCTGAAGGAACCGTTGTGGTCAGGTGTAACTTGCAACAGATTTTATCCAGCTTGTCGAGGTTCTTTATGGCTGAAGAGGAAGTCCGGATGGCCGGTCTGAGACTTCTCTAGAACGCTTGAACTAAAGAAAAGGTGGCGTGGAATAGTTTTTATAATTATCATATTTTGGTTTACTGGCGAATCAGAACTTGACATGCAAAAGAGGGTTTATACAAACACCACAGATAACCACGCCCCACCAGAAACGAAGGTTCTGATTGGGTCAGACAAAAGGAAATGTGTCATGTGACTTTAACATTACGTGTCATCAGTGTCTAGTGCAAATGTCCAGGATTATAATTACTTGTAAAATACTACTGATCACAGGATTATAATATCAAGTAATAACATTGTCATTTCACAGATTGAATGAACATTGGGCTCACATTATTATTGGTAATAACAGAGTTGTTGATTATGTATTCATCAGAATAGTTCTTCGTTTTTGCTGTAAAGAGGTGAAGCAGTTCAGATGAGCAGAGTGCATGAAGGACCTTGGCCACTATCTCATGTAGATTAGCCTGTCAGAGACTTTATGTCTCTGCTCGAGCAGACGCAGCAGATCATGACCTTTAGGTCAAAAACAGGACATTCATGATGCTACAGAGCCAACTCCCCACCAGGTAGTGGTCAGTTGACAGCTCCGTCCCTCTCTTACCCCGAGTGTCCAAGACATGCGACACAAGACAAGACACACACACACACACACACACACACACACACACACACACACACACACACACACACACACAAGTGTTGGTGAGCAGCTGTGTCTGACTGCTGACGCTCTGTGTGTGTTTTTATTTCTGCAGTGAGACAAACTCACCTCACACCATCCAGAGTTTGTTCTTTAAAGCTTCTATTAAATCCACCGTGTTGACGTATTTAACACGTTTCCTCTACGCTGCAGGAGTTAAAGTTTAGCAGATGCGTTTGTTTATATCTGGGGGGGCATCACATCCCAGGGAAGGTTAAACCAACATCAAACCCAACGTCTGGAGCTCGTAAACTCCACACACCTCTCGTGCAGCACCAGCTGTCTGATGCTGCAGCAGCGTCAATCTTCCCGGCTGGATGAGTGAATTTCTTCATCAGAGTCAATATTCTGCTTCATAATCAGAGTCAGTCATGACCAGACAAAGTGATCAGTCAACAAAGACCAGACCTGCCGGCAATTATACGTTTTATCTAATATTTGCGCTCTTCATGTTGCACACATCTCCTCCTCTCCCCGACTGGGAGCCTCTCGGCGGGAGGCGATTTTCAAACTCTAAAAACTCCCAAACTTTGCTCAGCCTGAAGGTTCCACATCTCCACTATCTTCTGGTGTAAAGTAGTAACTTCATGAGGGATCATATTTGTAGATGAGACTTGTTAAAGTCAGCAATGAGGCTTTGGCGTTTATAACGAGTAAGTCCCAACACTGACAACAACGTACTGAAACTAGAACCAACACGCATAAACAGACAGATCGGTCCCGCCTACTTACACTGTTGGTCTTTTTTAAATACGCAGTAATCGTTGCTTCATCCTGCATCCTAGCAGCAACCACTATGGCGCCTCTGGAGTCGGTGTTTGTTTACGTCATGCTGCGTTCAAAGTAATTGGAAAAAGTAGCTTCAAGCACTAAACCACCAATTTTGTTTTCTTTCTGGCCTTAGTTGGGGGGGATCGGGGTCGATCTGAATCTGGGGGGGGACAGATCCCCCCGTCCCCCACCCTATCTGCGCGCCTGGGCCCAGGGGCTGTTTGTGGCCCTTGGAGTTATTTTTGGTGGGCCCCACTTGCATTTTTTCCCTCTCCTGCAGACTATTGATTTATTGAAATTTTTCTAACATTCAAAGCTTCAAATTCACACATTTTCATAATTTAGACCTATTTTGAGAAAAACAAATGAAGAAATACCATAAATAACTTTTGTAATTAACTTGAAGATTTTGGCCCTTGTTGTGAGAAGTTTGGACGCCCCTGGTTTAGGTTTTCCTGGCTTCTTTGTTACTTGTGTCCAATCAGACCTCAGCGTGATGATGATGCGTGTTTGTCTCTCCAGGAGCGTCCTACAGTGAGAACATCGGTGGATGTGAACAGCTCCCATGCCAAAACGGTGGTGTGTGTGAGAGCCACAACGGAGGATTCCGGTGCCTTTGTTCCCGGCAGAGCCCGAGCGGGCGTCTGTACGGCGGGGAGAACTGCACCGTCGCGCTTTCGGGCTGCGATGAAGCCCGGTGCGAGAACGGAGGAATGTGCTCTCCTTTGCTTGTGAATGATCAACACACCTACACGTGCACCTGCCTGCTGGGCTACACCGGGCCAAAATGCCAGACCTCCACCTTCTTCTCCTTTGAGACCCAGGGCTACATGTATGTTAAAACTCAGCAGCTGGACACAGAAGTTCCACTTAATTTGACGTTCAGCTTTAGGACAGAGAGACCGAACGGCACCCTCTTTCAGCACAGAGTGGATGACCTTCTCCTCAGCATTGAGCTGATGGATGGACACCTCCGCCTCATCAGCCTAAGAAGACAAGGCTCCAGCACTCTGGTTCAGGAGCTGCCAAAGTATTTGTCCGACAGCAAGTGGCACACAGTGGAAGCATCACTAGGTGGTGTGGTCAGCCTCATCAGGCTGCTCTGCAGCCAGGGAAGCTGCACCAGCAAGCCCAACACTGAAGTCCAGCTGCTTGAACAGGCTGCTGCTCTCCCTGACCCTGGGGATGTTCGTCAGAGCCTCTTTATTGGATCAGCCGGGAGGAGCTGGGCTTGGGCCAGAACTCTGGGTCCAGCAAACGATGCACCTGCGTTTCTGGGCTGCTTCAGAGATGTGTTTGTAGACTCACGTCTGGTGCTGCCTGCTGACGGCTCTGAAGCCTCGGGCACACAGGTCAACGTCACAGCGGGCTGCAGCGACAGAGACAAGTGTGATGAAAGTCCGTGTCAGAACAGAGGGCACTGTGTGAGCCAGGGCTGGAGGAGCTACATCTGCGAATGCCACAGGCCGTACGAGGGACCCAACTGCGCTGAGGGTAACAGACACATGCATCATTTAACTGTGTAATCAGATTACATCCTAACAGAAAGGAAATCGTCACCGGCTGCTGAGTGTCCATCTAAACCAACAGGCCTACTACACACTGGTGATGTGACATTCACGAGCGAATCAAGTCTTGTGAGCGGGTTTTAAACGTGAACGATGAGAGCCGAGTCCCGGTAGAGACGTTCATCTCGTCTTTGGTAACGAACTTCCCTGGAAGTCGGTAAAGCGCAGCCGCCGAAGCCCCACCCACCGCTGTGACGGACGTCGGCGGGAGTTTTACCAAATCAGAAGATGTTTAAAACCAAAGTCAATAAAACAGTTTATCAACCAGAGTTAACCTGAAAACCAAAGAGGGAATTACCGTAAACCAGGGTTATCCAATTCCAGGCCTCAAGGGCCGCTATCCTGCAGGTTTTAGTGCTCTCTCTAGTCAGTGGTTGTATCACCTGCAGCAGCTCATCAGTTTCTGCAGAAGCCTGTTAACCACCTGCTGACTGAAGTCAGGTGTGTCGAAGCAGAGTTGAAACCAAAATGTGCCGGATACCGGCCCTCGAGGCCCACAACTGAATAGCCCTGATCTAGACTGTCAACGCAGTCTGACCTAAGGTCATCTCCAGTTAACAGTTTTAGTTAACCTTCTCAACACAAAAGGTGTTCAAGTCCAAGGAGAGACCTGGACGACAGCAGAATGCCGTATACCACCCCGCTGACCAAAGCACCTGAACGAGGCTCATCCTCACCCCCATAAACGCCTTGAGGCCCTGAGCCGACGGCACAGCCTTTCATCCCAGATGTGGGTCACTAGTGGGAGCCAGCTCAGCTGTGCTCATCGGCAGCCTGAAGAGGAGGAGGAAGGGTGGTGTCCTGGCCAATTAATGGGGCTGGATGCTCCGGGCTCCTGCAGCTGAAGAGGCCACTATGCCTAACCGATATACCCTAACCATAACCAATGCTGCTCTGTTCCTAATCCTAATCTAAACCAAAAGTTGATTCACACCATACCTCAAAAACCACGTTTGTGGGTGTTGTGTGGACCAGCCAGCTGTCCCCACAATGTGGAAAGGTCCACACACTAAAGGTTAAAGTTAAATGTGTCCACTTAAGCATATAAAGACAAGTACACACACACACACACACATCAGATCTTACAGGAGCTTACGACAGAAATAACACAATCCAGTCAAACACCTGTCGCATTAAGAACCAACACCTGAGTCACAGATTAAATAAACGTGGGTCTCGCTAGTTGACCAGGAACTCTCTTGGCTCGCTAAGTCAGAGTCTTAAATGCTGGGATGCTGAGCTGTTGGCTTTCAGAAGCCTCTCCTCCGATAAACACAACATTCTTCATCTCCAGGTAAAGCTCTAGTTAATAAACACGTTCTGGTTCCTTAAGTGCTTGTTCTGATGCGTCCCTGTGGCTCAGCCCTGCGGCAGGACAAAGAAGAGCGAACATCAATGATCATTAGTCAAGAAGAACTTATTACCTTTGAAATCAACTTGATCCAAGATGGCCACCGTAGCTAATCATCGTTAGCAAACACAAAATGATTTCACTCGGTGGTGGTGAGCTAACGTATAGGTGGCAACAATTCACATGAAATGTGTGTTTCAGACTTTAAATAACCACGTCTGCCTGAAGCTAAATGTGTGTAAAACACCGGATGTTTCCGAATGAAACAAAGTCATCAATGGATGAAACTCTACAACCTAGAGATCCCAGTTCATGACAGCCTTACAGCGAGCTAGCTGACTTTAGCAAAACTAGCTATGTCAGTTTTACAGACTAACCAAAATTTGGATATTTTTCTCAACTCACCTGCACAAGATTGTACCTAATGTCATTTTTATAACATGTGTGCCATTTTCTTCTCATCTGACTTTCATTTCTTGTCTTCCCACCACCCCCGCAGAGTACATCACTGCCCGGTTTGGGAACAACAACCTCGAGAGCTATGCTGAGTTCTCATTGACCGATAACTCTGGCACATCTGTCATTATATCCATGTTTATTCGGACCAGACAGTCCTCTGGCCTGCTGCTCACCCTAGCCAACAGCACCAGCCAGTACCTCCACCTGTGGCTGGAGGAGAGCCGGCTCAAGGTGCAGGTTAACAACTTTAAGAGTGTATCTGGTCTGAATGTGGTCAACGATGGTCATTTCCACCTCATCAGTGTGAAACTGGATGAAACAACGGTTAGTTTGTTCCAGTCAGCCCGAAGCCAGGGTTCTACAACTGTCAGGCATGTCCAAACTCACCCTGGTGACTTGGTTCTTGTTGGGGGACTACCAGACTCAAGAGCCTCTGCTTCGTTTGGTGGCTACTTCAAGGGATGTGTCCAGGATCTGAGGATCAATGGCAGACGACTGCAGTTTTATCCAGTAGCTACTCCAGTAGAGTCCCACAACCTGGTAAAGCTTGTGGGCGTGGCTGAAGGTTGCAGCAGTGAAAACGCCTGTGCTGTAAGTCTGAGAAATGTTGGTGCGTGTGTCTAAAATACACCAGCTACACTCTGTACCACCGTCTCTCTTTTAGACCAAGCCTTGTCTGAACGGGGGAGAGTGTTACTCCATTTGGGATGATTTTATCTGCAGCTGCCCCACCAACACTGCAGGGCGGAGGTGTGAGAAGGTGAAATGGTGCGAGCGGTCCCCCTGTCCCACCACTGCTGTTTGCCAGCCTCTCTCTCAGGGCTTCGAGTGTAAGTATCCTGGATCAGGACCTGCTGTTGCATTATTCTTATTCCCAAAACACAGCCACAAAGACTAATCAAGGCTCTCTAAGAATAGCACGGCTTGTAGAGGCGAATTTTTTCTTCCCCGTCCTGAGAAGCACTCGCAGATGATGGCAGACTGATTAATTACATTGAGGCTAATTACAGGAGGGAACAGAGTAGAGGCAGAGATTTCTCTCAGGAGTCCTCTAATACGTAGTAATCCCTGGTCAGATTATGTCTACTCACACATGCCCGTGGTCATCCATAATGACATGCTTCTCCTAGGAGGCCACGTGTTCATGAGGCGTAAACAAAGGCATCTGCAGAAAACTTAGTAACTATCAGTTCGATAGTAATAAGTGAAATATTGGAAGGTTCCCTTAATGTCCTAAAACAGAAAATCTCAGTGAAAATCTTCTTTCTACCAAAGTCTGAGCAAGCTCCACCCACTTCAGGAAACAAGAGATGGGCTTAATCATAAAATCACCTGGCAGAGTATTAAACCAAGCTCAAGTTATAAACCATTTATGTAGGAGCTGCCATGAAAATAAAAGCAGTTGAATCATTTAGAGAAAGATTTCCTTGGAGTCCACTTGAATTTGTAGTTTAAATGGCCTGTATTTGATATAGCGCCTTCTAGAGTCCTGGATCCCCCCCCCCCCCCCCCCCCCCCCCCAAGGCGCTTTACAACACAATCAGTCATTCACCCATTCACACACACATTCACACGCTGGTGGGGATGAGCTACGATATAGCCACAGCTGCCCTGGGGTGCACTGACAGAGGCGAGGCTGCTGAGTTCTGGCTTAATATTAAATTATTGTGATAAAAGGCGGAAAGATGGCTGCTTTGTTCAAACGTTAAACATAACATAATGCAGTTAATAAAGTTTAATTCAACATCTCTAAAATTAATTTCATTGGGACCGATTGTGTGTTTGCTAGTAAGCTGTAGTAACTCATGAACAAAGACTTCGAGTCCATCACTCAGAGATGTCCACTTTTCTGACATGAAAGAAAAACGTGTTCTGATCAGCTGATGATGAAAAACAAAGATTATTTTAGTGCGGAGATCTCATCGATAAGGACAGACCAGAAAGTGTAGCCCAGACCTATCCACCCTACGTTGTTGCTGCAGCATATTGTTTTCTTGTAGGTGCTTCCAGGTAGAAGAAACGTGAATAACTACTCATGCAGCAGTGTGCTACAATAATTACTACATGAAGTAAAGCCCAAATGGCTCACGAGATATCTCACTAACAACAGATTTAGCATGTTCAGCCCACAAAGGCTAGGAGTTAGCATGTTCTCCACATAAATGTGTGGAGTTAGCATGTTCTCTCCATGCTCCATGCATGTGCGGAGTTAGCATTTCTCCACATAAAGCATGTTCTCCACATAAATGTGTGGAGGTAGCATGTTCTCTCTGTGCTACATGCATGTGTGGAGTTAGCATGTTCTCTCCATGTTCCATATGTGTGGAGTTAGCATGTTATCCACATAAATGTGTGGAGGTAGCATGTTCTCTCTGTGCTACATGCATGTGTGGAGTTAGCATGTTCTCTCCATGTTCCATATGTGTGGAGTTAGCATGTTATCCACATAAATGTGTTAAGTTAGCATGTTCTCCACATAAATGTGAGGAGGTAGCATGTTCTCTCCATGTTCCATATGTGTGGAGTTAGCATGTTCTCCACATAAATGTGAGGAGGTAGCATGTTCTCTCCATGTTCCATATGTGTGGAGTTAGCATGTTATCCACATAAATATGTTAAGTTAGCATGTTCTCCACATAAATGTGTTAAGTTAGCATGTTATGAGGAGGTAGCATGTTCTCGCCATGTTCCATATGTGTGGAGTTAGCATGTTCCACATAAATGTGTTAAGTTGGCATGTTATCCACATAAATGTGAGGAGGTAGCATGTTCTCTCCATGTTCCATATGTGTGGAGTTAGCATGTTATCCACATAAATATGTTAAGTTAGCATGTTCTCCACATAAATGTGTTAAGTTAGCATGTTATGAGGAGGTAGCATGTTCTCGCCATGTTCCATATGTGTGGAGTTAGCATGTTATCCACATAAATGTGTTAAGTTAGCATGTTATCCACATAAATGTGAGGAGGTAGCATGATCTCCATGCTCCATGTGTGTGGAGTTAGCATGTTCTCCACATAAATGTGTGGAGGTAGCATGCATGTTTTCGATCCACAGACCGGAGACATTCCTTGTTAACTCGAGACTCTCATTTGTCCCTGTGGAGGTGTGAGTGAGTGTGTTTCCCTGTGGTGGACAGGAGACATGTCCAGGATTTCCTCCATGTCTTACCCAATGAATGACCGCTGGAGATGGACGCCTGCTCCCCCCAACTCCAGTGAGGATGAAGTAGTTCAGATAAAGGATGGATCAGGTGCAAACACCAGCAGTCAGGTTGTTTATAGGAAGGATTATTTTTGCTTTACAATATTAGGTTTCAGCTCAATACGTGAGATATTCAAATTTATATATATACATATTTTTTATTTATTTTTTGCTATGTATATCCTAAGTAGCTGGGTGTGGCGGCCATCTTGAATGTGATTGACTAAACATACATGAAGTATTTGGAGTTTGTTACAGTCTTCCTAGTGAAATGTGGTGCAAACACATACAATAAACAAAAGGGAAAAGGCTAAAACATTAGTACCCACAATCTGGTGGCTGCAAGAACAGTGTTGACTAATCAATGTTTTCAATTCAAGTTTATTTATAAAGTGCCAAATCACGACAAGAGTCGTCTCAAGGCACTTCACATAATAAACATTCCAATTCAGGTCAGTTCATTAAGCCAATCAGAAAAAAAGTTTCCTATATAAGGAACCCAGCAAATTGCATCGAGTCAGTGACTAGTGTCAGAGTCTTTACAGCAGTCCTCATACTAAGCAAGCATGCAGCGACAGTGGAGAGGAAAACTCCCTTTTAACAGGAAGAAACCTCCAGAGGATCCTGGCTCAGTATAAGCAGCCATCCTCCACGACTCCCTGGGGATGGAGAAGACAGAGCAGGCACGCACACACACACACACACACACACACACACACACACACACACACACACACACACACACACCAATTAAAATAATGCTGATAGCGTGGACTAGAAGACAGGTGATGGTTTACGTATTTAAATGATGATCAGGCTGCTGTAAAATGTAATCTCCATCCACATCCAGACAGAATTATCCTCTATTCTTTCTCTATTTGTTCTTCTCTTGTCTGGGCTGACGTAGCTGACGGTGCGCGCGGCGCGCCTAACTAGCGGCTGATGCACATTTTACGCATTTGGAGAGGTGGGCTGGATGCTTTGCATTTACTAGAAGATGGTCCACTTAACGCACGGGTGTAGACTAAATTTTAATGACAAATGGATGAAAATTAAATTGTGAGTTTTTACTTCATATTTTAGAAATAAAAATGACGGGGGAAAATATTTATGACGTCTTTTTAAACGAATTTTTCTAGCGCGACCTGCCTGCTTCACTGAAGTCACTGCTTATTAAGGTCCGTCCAGAATTACCGTGGCCCACCCACAAATGAAAACCTGGCACCGCGCCTGTTATAAACCTCTGCAAATTGTTGTTCTTCACTTTATCAAACTCAGACTTTGTACAGCTAATGTCAAGATGTAAAATTATGAATTCAGTCGAGCTCTTCCGTCCCTCCCTCTCCTGCTCTCCTGGAAACCCGACATCGGCTGTCAGAAGCGGGAGGTGAAGAAGGAGATGAGGCCAACAGAGTGAGTGCGACATAAAGAAACCAGATTGGTGTGGAGGTGAGCAAAACAGCTGGAAAAGTGTGGGTGTTGCATCCCCCACGGGTGTGACGCCCATGCGAGCGACCGGTACCGGCTGCTGTCACCTGTTGTGAGCAGCTCTCTGCTGTCTGAGGGTAGGCCCCGCCCACAACGCTGCGGCTGCTGCGGTGTTTTCTTTACTGTGGGAAATGGGTAATAATGGCTCTTTGATGGGAACAGGTTGCCGACCCCTGGTATAAGATCTGAGCTGGTAAAACAAAAATCCTCATCAGCAGGCTTTTTTGAAAGTGGGGGGGACACAGCTGCCAATCACAAATTTTGCCGGGGACATGTCCCCGGCATCCCCGGTTAAAATGGCGCCTATGGCCCCATCACAAGTGGAAGTTTATCCCATGCTGTCTAATGATTTTACCAGTTGGGAGCATATACATAGTAAAAAGAATTGGTCCAAGCACTGAACCCTGTGGTACTCCACAAGTAACCCTGGAGTATGAAGATTTGTCATGTACATTTACAAAATGAAATCTGTCAGACAGGTAGGATGTAAACCAGCCTAGCGCTGTTCCTTTGATCCCTACAACATGTTCAAGTCTTTCTAAAAGAACATTGTGATCAACTGTGTCAAAGGCAGCACTGAAATCTAACAAGACTAGAACAGACACAAGATTCTTATCTGAGGCCATGAGAATATCATTTGTAACTCTCACTAATGCAGTTTCAGTACTGTGATACTCTCTAAAACCAGACTGAAATTCCTCAAACAGAGCATTAGTGTTTAAATGCTCACATACTTGGATGGCCACTATTTTCTCAAGAGCTTTGGATAAAAATGGAAGGTTAGATATTGATCTATAATTCCTTGGGTCATCTGGGTCCAGAGAAGACTTCTTAAGTGAAGGTTTGATTACAGCAACCTTAAAATCCTGTGTTACATACCCATTTACTAAGGATATATTGATTGTATCTAGAATGGGGGCAGTAACCAAAGGAAATGCATCTTTAAATAATTTGGTTGGGATTGGATCTAAAATGCAAGTTGAAGGTTTAGATGAAGCTAATATTTTTGATAACTCTGAAAGCTCAACTGGATCAAAATGGTTCAAGCACAGATGAGGTTCTACAGTTACCTCTGATGCTGCCTCACTTACTGAGGAAGAAATCGCATTAGGGAGGATGCTAAAGATTTTGTTTCTAATGGAATTAATTTTACTTGTGAAAAATCCCATAAAGTCATTGCTGCTGAGGGCTAAGGGAATAGATGGTTCAGAGCTATGATTCTGTGTAAGTTTAGCAACTGTACTGAAAATAAATTCAGAATTACTCTTATTCACTTCAATTAGCGATGAAAAATAATCCGTTCTAGCTTGTTGAAGCTTATTTTTATAAAGCAGAAGACAATTTTTCCAGGATAAGTAGGACTCCTGGTGTGTAGAGCACCATGTTTTCTCTAGAGAATGTTCTTTCTAGAGTTTTGCTTTAAAGCTCGTAAATGAGAATTAAACCAGGGAGCCAACGTCCTGTCCCTAATTACCTTTTTTTTAAAGGGGCAACATCATCTAATGCCACACTTAAAGAGGAAGTAACATTATGAACTAAAGCATCCATTTGTGAAGGGGCTAGAAATAAAAATATTGCCCTCTGTTACGTTCCTCTGAGATGCAGAGGACAGTAAAGATGGAACAGTTGATTTAAAAGATGCAACTGTGTTGTCAGATAGAGACCGACTATAGTGAAATTTACTTTCATGTCTCGAGAACTCAGTTATAAAAAACTCAAAGGTTATCAGAAAGTGGTCAGAGAGGATTGGATTATGTGGAAAGATTGTTATTTCCTCACACTCTATGCCATAAGTCAGCACAAGGTCCAATGTATGATGGCAGGAGTGGGTGGAGCTATGTATTCTTTGGGTAAAACCAATTGAGTCTAAGATATTACTAAAGGCTTCATTGAGGCTATCATTTTCAATGTCCACATGAATGTTAAAATCCCCCACTACAATGACCTTATCAGTATTTAGCACCAAATCAGATAAAAAATGAGAGATCTGATCCAAAAACTCAGAGTAAGGGCCTGGAGGACGATACAAAACCACAAACAAGAGTGGTTTTACTCTTTCTCATCCAATCGGAACCTTCCTTTCTGAAGCGTGGCATAGTCTCTGTGGTGTTTATAAATCTGTCCAACTTTGATTCGACCAGAAATCAAAACATCCAGATTAATAAAACCAGTCCCACGCCATCTTAGTCCAGTTCTCTGCAGTTCACCGCATTCTAAGAGAAGTATCGGACCGGTCACCCGGACTTCCTTTTTAAGCAAAGAACCAACAAGCTGGATAAAATCTGTTGTATTTTACCAACCAAGCAACGGTTCCTTTCAGAATAAAAGCTGAACTCACTGACCCTCCGGGTCCATCTGACGCTGTCAACCAACTGTCGCTTTTTACCTGGAGACAATCCAAAGACTAGTCTGTCGTACTGCTGATGCTGTTTCATCGGGTCCGGTACCGAAAGGGGGGTCAGAGGACCTGGCATTCTGGATCTGTACGGAGGTCTCATCTGAAGGGTATGTGTGGAGCGGCAAAATGGCGTCTCATGTGTTTATGAAACTTCAATCATAGCTTAAGAGCAAAACATCACTTCATCACTCAGACGTGCTTCTCTGGATACGAGAGTTCTGATGACATCACCACTCACACATACACCATTCATCTCACGTCTCATTCACACCAAGATCCATTCATCACTTAGAGTTTAGACTTAGTCTTGTTTAAAATTGTTTAGAAATAAATCTTCTTAAACGTTTTAAAGGTGACTCTCTCTTCTCTTGTCTCTCAGTTAATATGAAGTGTTACATAATCCCTGCAATAAAAAGTTCCAATCTTCTGGTTAAAAGTACCCAAAGATCCATAACATTGATTTCATATTTACTATGAAATCTCGTGTCTTATGGTTCCTTAAATAGATGTAAATTAACCCTTTACAACTGTAACTAGTAACAGTTATTACCTGTAACTGGTAAGGGATTGATTACTGGGTCTGAATGAAAAATGGTTGCTAATCAATTGCTGTACTCTGCAGAGGAAGAGTACCAATCATAAGAATCTCGAACTTTTGTCTACTTTAGGTTTGTCCAACGTGACGTTTCAGCTTGAAAGCAGCATTCTGCAGTTCCGTGGTAACGGGAAGATCAGCAGTAGTCTCACTGATGTCTCCTTCAGCTTCCGCACCAGACAGCCTGCAGGGACTTTGCTTCATGGACAAAGAGACTCTGACTTTTTCACCATCTCCCTCCTGAACTCTGGTCTGGTCATGGAGCTCAGGGTTGGAGCAGATCAGGTGACAGCTCAAAGCTTCGGTCCTCTCAGTAATGGCGAGTGGCATACTGTGGAGATCAACAAGGAGATGCAAACATCCAGATGGGTCTTAATCGTGGATGGAGGTAAAGGAAACATAAGCGTTTCCCAAACGAAGGTGAAGGACTTTGACTTTCTCAAAGAGGGAGCAGACATTTTCCTGGGAGGTCTCAGTCAGCACTCTGGAGTCCTGACTGGCTGTCTGGGTCCAGTAAGGATTGGGGGACTTCTTCTTCCATTCCACCTGGACGCAGAGCTGAACATCCCCAGGCCTCAGGAGGAGCAGTTTGTGAGGATGACTGCTGATACTGCTCTGCAGTACGGCTGCTGGGGGGCCCCTGTGTGCACACCCAACCCCTGCCAGAATGGGGGGGCATGTGAAGACCTGTTTGACCTGCATCAGTGCATGTGTTTGCCTGAGTGGACAGGCTCGTTATGTCAGAACCCTACAGACTACTGCAACTCCAGCCCCTGCATCTTCGGCAACTGCGCCAGCCTACCAGAGGGGTTCAGGTGTGAGTGTGACCCGGGGTTCACTGGTGAACAGTGCGAGGTTGAAGAGGATGTGTGCGAAAACAGCAGCTGCAGCAACGGCTCCACGTGCCTCAAGGGCTTCCAGAGTTACACGTGTCTCTGCCCTCGAAACACGACTGGCCACTACTGCGAGTGAGTTTATCTCTGAAGGTTGAATATGGAACACAAACCCCGAAGCGACGTCTAGCGTGCCGCAACAACAGTTTCCAGCTGTCGGGATACCTGAAATGTTTTATTTGGGTCCGTCTGCTGTAGACCACCTAAAATCACAGCGGGTGTAGATCTTTTATGGTCGCTGCTCTTTTGAGTAGGATAAGCACATCTTCTGGGCTCGGAAGCAGCTGCTCCACAGTGCTCTATATTGGCTGGTAGATGTAAACCGTGTCAGCACACCTCCAAACGCCTCGTGGAGGTACCGTTTTACAAAAATACAGCCTTCTATTAAATTGTTCCATATTCAACCATAACACAGCGGAAGAAGCACTAAACGTTGTACTGACCTACCAACGTGTTTCTCACAGTGAGAAAATCCCTGAAATCCCCTGGTACATCGAGACAGATCCGTGAGTAATCTTCAGTTTAGTACATTTCTCCAAACCAACCAGATATTTACTTTACGTTTGTCTGCCTAGGCTTCCTGAGCTGCCCGTGTCTTTGTGTTTGGGTAAAAGATGGAAGTACAGCTGCTTTAATGGAGGAAACTGCTCTGAAGCAGAAAACCACTGCTCCTGCTTGCCCGGCTTCACAGGACAATGGTACCCATGTCATCCTGCTCACAGAAACACTTCACATGGCTGCAAACATCTAATCATGGGTTTTCATACAACTGATCAAAAATATGAATGCATGCTTTCAACAATCAGCCATAATACAATGACCACCAACCCAGTCAGCACTGACCCTGAGGCTGCTGATCTGCATCTGGAGGTAACCCCTTCTTTCCACGGGAGCCGTCAGCAGCACGTTACTGCAGCAACACGTCTTGCTCGCGTAAGCTGCTGCTTGGCCCTTCCCAGGAGACGCGAAGCAGCAGGGGAGCAGCTGTCACCGACCGAGCACGAAGTCACACGAGTGACTTCGTCAGTAAACACAACAACAAGCAGGAGAAAACTACAACATGGTTTGTGTTTTATGTTCTGTCCGTTTTATAATCGCCAATACGGACCTGAAGAACAAAGGAGACCGCTAGCTAGGTGATCACTTCTCACGGGGCCGCACATTTAGTAACCTTTTTTTAAAGTAAAGCAACCGGAAGGCAGTACGTTCTTTATTCTGAAAATCTCGGGAGCTTTGCTCCATTTCCGCGTCCGATTTCCTGTCTTTCCTTCCCCAAAAATGTCGAACTTGACCCGTTTCAGAGGCGTCGCGCGTAGAAAATAGAACCGGCACGTAAAGGCCGCGACATGCTGCTCCTGAGACGCGGCCGACTCGCGCTGCTGACGGCTCTGGTGGAAAAGGTTCTGTTGACCACAGCGGTTCCTATCAGCAGCTATGACGTGCTGCTGCAGTAACGTGCTGCTGACGGCTCCGGTGGAAAGAAGGGGTCAGAATCACATCTGCTGCTGTTGCCAAAGGTCTGGGGATGGACAGAAATACTAATAGCTAATTTCGCTGAGATAAATTTGAAGATGCATATCGCGGAAACTCGTTTTTAAAGAAGTTAACAGCAAAGTCCCAGTTTGACTAACTTTAAACATCTCTGCATGCTTCTGTAAAGAAGGCTTCAGGACACCCTGGAAAGTCCTGCAGCACCAGGATTTCTAAGATCTGAAAAGTTGAACCCAGAATTCAAGTCCTACATTTGACCACGGCTGTCATGAGTCTAGATCCCAGATTAACAAGATGAGACCACTGCTATGACTGAGTAACTTATTCTTTTATGGGTTTGGTTGTCTGCAGCGGTGATCATGTTGGTGGCAAACACAGCGTTTTCAGCAGAACCTTACCCAGAGCGTCCCACTGACCCTCCTGATTACTATCCTCCCACAATGCACCTGGTGCCACGGTGCATGGATGGAGAAGAAAGCAGGACTCTGTACCTAGGCGCTTTTAGCCCATTTTGGTGGGTGCTGAAGCCCCTAAATTCATCCCTCACACCCCTAAAGTTTGACATTTTTTTAAATATCAATTTATTTTTACCGTTTGTGGTGATTTTTAACACATTAGTAATATCTAAAAACCATACAACAGGTCAAAATGTTATATTTTAAAAACAACAATACAGCAAATCTCCCGTCTCAAAAATGTTTTGATCCTGCTCGCCCTTTCCAGACTCTGAGCCCTCCTGATTGGCTGCTATGCTGCCGTTAGGGTGGCCATGGGTTCCTGCTTTCTGTGGGACGGTCCTGAATTTACATGATTTTCCACACATCCTGCTAAATGAGACACCGTCCGGCATTTTTGACCGTCTCCCATTTTGTCTTTGACTCTCGTACAAACTGATTGTGAGGCAAAAAGGCGGCTCTCCATCAAATCGGGTCACTGATTTTTGTTTTCTCTCCCCTGAATATCTGCTGGACGAGATAAAAACCACCATTTTGTTTTTTGTCAGTTTTTAAGATCAAGAATAAGAAAAAAAGATAATTTATTTGAAAAATTTAGGATTTTTTTCTATGGGATGTGGATATTAGTGAAAAATTTGGTGAAAATAAATTGATCTGAAAATATCACAGGTAATTTTAGTGGTCCGTTGTGAAAATTCAGACAAAGCTAAAAAAAATTATAAAAAAAAGAGAAACAGGCTTCAAATTCAAGTTTCCAAATATTAAAGCGCATTTCCAACCAACTGTTCCACTCGCTGAGCCTCTTTAATCTGCTCACATTTTGAAACTACAACACACAGGGTATCTGCAGGTTTTAAGGGAGCCAAATTTAAGACTTTTTAAGATATTTTTTAAGGCCACTTTGACCAAATTTAAGCTACTTTTAAAAATTTAATTTGAGCTATAATTTCCAGCTATAGCCTGGAACCGGTGCTAACCACGTCGCGAACGTTTGATTAGCCATCCAGTTACCATTAAACTTGCACTTCCCCATGGCGCAAGCTCCCACTAGCTTAACCAGCTAATGTGCTCATCTAAAAAGAGCCCCCTTTCACAAGTAACTGAATGTGTACGATTCCGCTTACGCCAACATCGTACACAAAAATTGCTGAACACCAACTACAAATTCACAAAATTTTTATAGAAATAAAAGAATCTTGTTTATTGGGTCTTTAGTAATTTAAGACCTCTGGAAACTGTATTTAAGGATTATTTGTCATTTTTAAGGAGTTTTAAGGCCTTAAATTTAGAAAAGCTAATTAAAGACTTTTTAAGGACCCGCAGATACCCTGAACACCTGCACCAGTGGTTCCCAACCCGGGTGCCCACCACGTTTGTGGGGCTCTTAGCACATACAAGTGCCTTGTGATTCTTATCTCGAAAGGCGCCATACAAAAGATCATTTCTACTTCTACAACATGTTTGTGCTGAGATTGTGAGGTAGGTCACCACACAGCCTAGGGATGCTTAAGGACAGAAGATTGGGAACCACTGACCAGAAAATTTCCTAGGTGCGCCCCTGCACTGCAGCAGAGAACACTGCTCTGTGGATTTCCTGTGCTTGGTTAACTCTTCCTTCCGTACCTTTCAGGTGTGAGAAGGACGTGGATGAATGCGCCTCGGAGCCGTGTTTGAACGGAGGCTTCTGCATCAACTACGTGAACAGCTTTGAGTGTGTGTGTGATATAAACTTCTCAGGAATATACTGCCAGATGGATGTCAGCGACTTCTACGTGTATTTGTTCTTGGGGCTGTGGCAGAACCTGTTCCAGCTGGTGTCCTATCTCATCATCCGCCTCGACGACGAGCCAGAGATCGAGTGGGGGTTGCACGTCGACGATTAGACGTCTCGCTGTCCAGGACAGAGGGACCAGAGCTGTGGGGAGGGGTTTTCGTGGGACACTGTGGTGCTGAAGCAAGAGGAAAGGGTTGTTTCTCCTCAACTTGCAATGGTTTTTATCCTGATCTTAGCTACAAGAGACTCGATGACTTAGAGCTGACGAGATCACGGTTTTACCTGCGTTCTTGTCCAGGTTAGTCATCGTTTGTGGGTGTGGTCGTTGCGGTCAGACCAGGCTGTGCCTTAAAGGAGTACTGCTTTCTAATGGAGAGGAGACTCATGTCTGTTTTAGTAAGGACTAAACCCGCCTAGCTCTTTCCCTCACTGTGATGTAACCACACACGCATTCATGTAGGAGACTCCACAGATATGGCCAGAGGTGTTGGTTTCCATAAAGTTTTCGGTTTTAGATCTTTGTGTCAGGCGTTTCTATGGTTACCGAGGTATAACCCGAAACTTATAAAGGGTTTTGGTTGACAAGTAGGTGAAGTTGACTGAAAAGGTCCACATCTTCAGGGTTGGTCTTCTAGACCTCTGTAGTCCACCCTGACCTGCAGGTCCAGATCCTGACTCATGGAGCTTATTCTTCATCGTCCATGTTGGGTTTGTCCTCCTGCCTCTGGAGGATGGATCATAAATCCTTAGTGGGATTAAGGTCTGGGGGGGGGGGGGGGGTTGTGGTCCACTTAATGCTGACTAGCTTCTGAAGCGCTCCATCATGCTGGAGAAGTCATTGTTCATCACCAACCTTCTGCTGGAAGGTTGACGGAGTTCCTCTGGGAGGATGTTTAGGGTGTTATGAGGCTAAGCAGAGTGACCCCCACCCCCAACAAGTAGACATCAGGATCAGGACGTGTTCTTCTCCAGGTGCTCCTAACAACCACGAAGGAGCCATCAGAGAAAACTTTCCTCCAGTCCTCAGCAGTCTGACCCCTGGACCTTCAGTATGTCTCTGATGGGTTTCTAGGAGAGAAGTGGCTTCTTTGCTGCCCCTTGATACCAGAACCTCCAGAAGGCTTCACCTCACTGAGCTGCAGATGTTCTCACACCTGTACAGGTACAGCACTGATCCCACAGCTGGCCCAGCTGTAGGTCCTGGTGCACAAGCAGTAGAAACAAACTCAAAACGGGAAGTCAGTAATTATAATTCATCTGAAGTCTAAACCTTCTAACCGAACAAAGCCCGAGAGAAAACTTTGTAATGAATATTGTCCATTCTCTCAGCGTTTGGTCACAGCTGTACGCCTGTTGTTGAAGCACCTGGTCGAATAAAGGAAAAGGTTAAGAAACGTGTTTTTATTTAAAACCTTTACTCAAAATTCCAGAGTTCAACACAACAATAACTTCTGTTGCATCACCACCGCGTACCTTAACCTCATCTCAGTCAGTAAAAGCATCTCCAGGTGGAGGAGCAGAGAACCGAGAAGCCGGTTGGACGTGGACAACACCAACCGTAGCACGGATGATGCCTCCAGAACGTGGGCGTGGAGAGGATGGGAAGGCCTGCTGTGACCTCATCCCAGTTTTTCCTGTTTTTCCCTGTTAATGCAGAGTCCTACAGTGGGAATGGCGGCCTGAAGTAATGTTTTCCATTTGGTCTTGAGGAGTTGATGAAAAGCAGCAGAAAACAGATTTGATGACATTTTGAACATAAAAAAAACCAGAACCTGCAGACTGAGTCAGGCCTTTCTGCTGCGCTAAGATGTTTTACTCTTAAAACCCGATCTGCGTTAAATAAATACAGCTATCGCACAAGAATGACAGATCAGTCCGACAGCGGGCGGGCTGCAGGTGCGGCTGCTGCCGCAGCGGGCGCCGCGTCAGTCCTGCTCACGAAGCTTACAGTCACACAGCTCTTTATAGATCCGCTTCCGTATCTTTGGTATGTCCTTCTGGGAGAACTGGAAAGGCCTCGACAACGCCAGGCATCTGGAGTACTGCAAAGGTAAAGTTCTGACATGAGTTCACTTCCACCCAGGTTTGGTTGGTGTTTACACAATAAACAAATCTGATCAGACCCGAAAAACCCTCCGATCCATTAACTGTTCTAAACGGTTCTGGAGGAGGTCCGGGGTCAGCGGAGCTTCGGTTAATCAGAGTCTCAGGTCCCACCACAGCTCCCAGTCAGGCTCAGGTCTGGACTCGGGATCCGTACAGAGCCTTGGTTCTGTTGTAGATCGGATCACGGTTCCGTTTTATGGCCCAGTTTGGTCCAATCAGATGGATGGACTCGCATCGTACGATAACCCTTTTATTTAAACGGGAGAAGCCAACTGAACCGGGTCGTTTGAAGCTGCTACAGCGAGGTTACAGAACCCTGACCCGAGACTTCCCTGAGAAGCGCCTGCCTGAGCTGGACACCAGGTGGCGCTGAACACTAGTCGCTGTTTGTCTTCTATTGTTGGCGACTTCAAATGGTGATTTCCTTTTTGGGACTCTGGTAGTTCGTCCTAAAGCTGAAGTGGCAGCAGCCGGCTGTTACTGAGCGGAGAACATCTCACACCAGCGGTGTTCTGCCGCTAAAGACGCGAGTGGAGGACCCAGGGAAGTGCGGCGCTTCAGTGAGGCCTGGCTGCTGCTCCACGGATTTCACTCATGACTGGTAAAACAATGACCTTCAACCCTTCTTCTCCGAGGTCACCCCCCCTCCCCGGGGCTAACACACCTGTATGCTCCAGACCAGCTGAGCTCCTCACCGCTACTTAAATCCTCTAAAAACCCTCTTGGTTATTTCCTGAGTTGCTTCCGCCTTTTCATTTAGTCTGAAGTCATTTTAGGGATTTGCTAGGAGCAGCACGCACCTCCAAGACAAAAACTCCACAGTCGTTCTCGTTGGTCTGCTGTGGGATTTCCTGTGACGACCAGCAGAGGGAGACAAAACGTTACACAGGAGAGGCGTTAGCGCCGACCTGACACACCTGTAGGAGTGTGGCCCATCATGACAGACCTCATCACAGGAAAGCTTCCACCCATCTTCAAATGCTGGCTGCTGCTTCTCTTTCGCTTCAGTCATCAAGTACTTCAGGATGTTCTGTTGAGCAGGAAGCAGAACGGCTTTAATCACAACCAACTCGAGTCTAACCAGGAGTTGAACCATCGGAGGGGGAAAGTGGTTTTTTTACCCGTACAACTTTCTGGAGAACGTGTCCTTGAGAGTCGTACAGGCAGATGGTCTTCGTGGCGATGTCGGCTGTGACTAAACACCAGTGGACCTCCAGATGGATTGGCACCAACAGAAGGCTCTTGGAGAACAGGTCCACCTGGAAGACCGACCCAGACAAATGAAAACTGTGACTTTAGATGTTAAGACTATCAGGTAAACCTGCTTGTTACCAGTTACCTAATCAGCCAATCAGATGCTGCGAAGAAGACTCACTCAACTCAGACTAAACACCAGAATGAGGCCTACAAGGGCTCAGAACCAAAGGTTTGACCGATGTTTACGGATGTTGAAACGTTTCATTTGAATTTCCCAGAGAATCGTTTGTTTAAGACACGAAAGCATCGCTGAACACTCGTTTTCCCAGATCTGCCCGATCCCAAAACCTCTCTGGACCGGGCTGGCTCTAACCTGTTTAGTCCATCGCTTCACGCCGTCGTAGCCTTTGGTCATAAGCTGCCGGTGGAAGAAACTGTTGAAAAAATGAACCTAAAAGTGGAAACAAAAAGGTACAAACATTGAAAAGAAACCACGACTCGTCCTTTTTAGTCATTATTACACAAACAGCTGATCTGAAGAGGATCAAATCTAATGTAAAATAAAAATATGATAAAACACAAAGAAATATGGTTTCATCTTTATTCTCGTGGTTTTCAGATGATTTCTGGCTTCCTGTCAGCAGCAGAACAGGACTTTGTTCTGACCGTTTAGAACCAGGTTTAAAGTCACACGTGCTGTGTGGCCTAGCTGCTAACGCTAACAGTTAGCTTCTACTAGCAGAGATGTTTTCTGCTGTTTCCTGGACGCTCAGCCACCAGCCATGAATGTAGATCTGTCAGGATTTTCTAATCCTAGAGTTTCTGTTGTCTATCAGAAGCTAATGCAGGAGGTAGGTGTAGGAGACTATTTTCACATTCAGTCTGCATGAAATATTCAGAGTGATCCAAATCACTCTGAATCAGAAATAATCAATAAAAAATGTGTCTTCCACACCCTTAAATAGCACTTTGCAGCAGAGTCTAAGGGCATTGTGTTAGCCAGCTTCAGAAACGACGGTCTGACGAGGGACGGCTTTTAAATGTGATGGCAAGCCGTCGCTGTTTTCCATGGAAATAAAATAAAAATCTGATTACTACACAAATAATCCGACAAATGTGTTCAAGTCTGCTCTACTGGAAATACGCAGATTAATTGCAGGTTGCAGAGCGGATCTGCGCTTGTCGACTTTGGTCTCGGCGGTGGGAGCTGTGTGAAGATGGGGTAACGTTGGTTAACAGCTCCTTAATGCAAACGACCCGAGATGCTGCTCGTTTATGAACGCATGATGAGCACAGGCTTCCTAACTCTCTGGACATCTGGGGTTTAGGCTCAACACATTTCCCTCCACCGTTGCAGCCGACTGTCCAATAGTAATAATAATAAGCCACGACGGAGCTCAGTAATGAAGCACGAGTCTGGACTTGTTCCTTAAAGGGACTTTACGGAGTTTTGAATTTTTATGCTCGCGATCGCCCCCTCAGGCCAAAAGCGTAACGGCAGCTTCAATAGTAGGCTCGTGCACGAGGCGCGCATGCTGTACGTGCACACTCCTTAACAAAAATAACAGCTGAGACAGTCCCGTGTGTGTGTGTGTGTGTGTGTGTGTGTGTGGCCCGGAGGACAGAGGACAGGAGAACGTGCAGCTAATTAATTAAATAATTTGGTTCTGTACCTTTCTCTTCAGCACAGCCGACAAAGGTTTATGATGGGTCAGTCCTCCTGCATGCTCACATCATTCCCTTCCCTTGCTTGAAAAATTGTTCCAAAATGAAAGTTGAACCCACATCTTTTTTATCTGTGAATTCAATGCCGTTCAGCGAATCTCAAATAAAAATTTGGGCATCTTACTGTAAAAAAATATACCATTAATGTAAAAAAGAAACTCTAAATAAACTATGTTCACATCCAGAATCAAACCCAGGTCTTCTGCACGAGAGTCCGACGTCTTACTAGGTGAGCTAAAGCGCCAGTGACGTCTTCTGTATCTGTAACATTTATATCCTTGATGACAGCTGAAACAACGTTCAAAGAACGGTTCGGAGTGAAAATGGCTATTTTGTTGCTAATTTGCAGGAAATATCTAGAAGAAAGTTCTACAGAAAGTAGCTAAGGGTCCTCAGAAATGTAGCTAGCTTTGTCACTAGGCGTTAGGAACAGCGACAAAGTGGCACTGCCTCTCTCTCTGCTGCTAAAGCTACGGATAGCAAATGCTACGGGCGATGCCTGAGCGTGAACGCGCATGAAGCAGCCTGCTCGACCCGAGCATCTCTCTTTTTCTGTGATTTTACAGAAAAACAGGAAATCACAGTAAAAATGCCAGGGCTCATTCTACAGGACCAGGGCATTGCAGGAGAACGTATGAAGAAGACATTTATTATTTCTATACATGTTTTGGCTGTCACACTTCCATAATGCACCTTTAAGTGGCTATTTCTATTTTTGTGAAGTACAGAATGGCGATGGCTACCGTCCCAGAGCCGGGCCAAGACCCTGCCTAAGGGTGAGCTTGTTTCAGGACTTTTCACAGCTGGTGTCCAAACGCTTCACCGACTAAAGGAAAGAAACGGTCACCTCTGTACTGAACTAAAGGGACCGTTTTAAATAAGTACCATCTTCCTTATAAACAGCCTCAGCCTGATCAGCCTCAGTTTGGAAAAATGGCTTATTTTCACCACAACTGAAGAACCAACGGCTAGTCAAACTGCCGCCATCTTAAAACAGCTTTAATCTCTCGTTTCCCAACCATTCATACCTCGTGATTCTGGTAGACTTTTATGCTTTTACACCATTAACATTCGACTCCGGCTAGTGAGGCCGCGATTAGTCGACGCGTCACCACGACGTCGACAAACAGAACTGTAGACGATAAACGTAACAGTCGACACGTTGTTTAGTCTATGAGCATCTTTTAAAATCTCGCCTGCTGCGGCAGCTTCTGCCCCTCCGCTCGAGGCTCACGCGCCATCCAGACCAACCCTCCATCAGAATCACCAGAGAAGCAAGACATCACGGTGCGTCGGCAATGTAGCTTCAAAGTTTGAGAGCATTTCAAAAAGACAAAGGAAAAGCATGTAGAGTGCAAAATCGGTGAAACTTTCACCGGAGCACAACGGCGTCATGGCGGAGAACGGAGAGTCGCCTCTGTAAGCTAGCCACCTCTTTAGCTGCTAGCATCAACAGAGAGCTGCTTGTACTCCTAGCTGTAGCAACACTAGTAGTGGTGATTTTATTACATTTCGAACACGTTGACACGTATTTGCTCTAACGTTACAAACACTAATGATTCACTTCACTCCCGTCCATGGTCGGCAATCTCGGTTTCAAAGAGACGATTGAGGCGTTCAACCCAGGAAACCGTGACCAGGCCGACCCCACTTCACCACCGAGATGGAAAAAAAACAACCTTTGAGAAGGTGTGTGTGTGTGTGTGTGTGTGTGTGTGTGTGATTCTGGAAGGATTCAATTAATCAATTAATTAATTAATCAATTTCCCTCTGGGATTAATAAAGTATTTTTGAATTTGAATTCTCCAGCTGTGATGTCATATTGATGGTATTTTAAGGTGTATTAGTTTAGAGTGGACTGAATAGGAAATCACTGACGGCCCAGGGGTGGAACGCACCGCCCCGCCACTGGAATTTAATGCCTTTTATGATAAAATAAAAGCTTGGTTAAAGCATCGTTTTGCTTCTGTGTTAAAGCTTAACCTAGTGTATTAATTATTAATTTGGTAAACAAACTAACTTTTACATATTTTATCTTTAAGGTAAAGCAGACCCTCAGAGGAGTCGATCTCTCTCTGACTGCTGGCTAGGGTTAACCCTAACCCTAGCCGTGCACCAGGGGCGTAGCTAGGTGCGTCCTGCCAGGGTGAAGACTGGAACCCGGTGGAGTGAAAATGAGAGCCGTCTGCCCACACGTGCACAGAAAAGGTTTAGCCACACTTAGCTCAGCTGGCTGGGCTGAGCCTGTAGCCATTTCAAAATGCTGGTTCAGTCTAGCAGTTAGCACAGTAACAGTAGCCATTTCTCTGAACAGAGGCTGTTCATGAAGCAGGTAAGACTAATTATAACTGGATTAAACAGATAAAAATGACATGTTTAGTGAGGTTTGTTATACCTTGTGATGAGAAGACTCCGTGATCAGCTCTCCGTACATGTTCATGACCTTCAGCAGAAAGAAAACTCAAAGTCAGCCTAAAAACTCGAAGCCGACGTGGATTTATCGCTCTTTGTGAGACAGAAGTCTGAGGTGTGTCGGAGGAAACCTGGTCATTGAGCCAGTTTTGATCAGCCAGCGTCAATAAATCATCCAGCGTGACGATGTGCTTCTTGTAGACAACTCGGAACGGGGGGGCGGGTTTCTCCAGGATTGCTGCTTGGAACCTGGAAACCTCGGAGAAGATCAGGTTTTTCCTGCACAGATTTAACAAAATCAAACAAATCAGCTTTTCTCTGAGCTCTTTGGGGGTGAGGGTCTTATGAGTCGACTCCATCTCACCAGTCATCAAAATCACAGCTGAACTTCCTCCTCAGATGTCTCAGCAGGTCACTCCTACACAGAGCGATGAAGCTTCCGTATCTCCTGAAGAAGCCATCCAGAAACTCTGGGGAACACAAACAACAGCCTTCGTGGAAACTTTGTGCCAGTTGTTATAAAGCAGGTAAACAATCAGACTAACCAATAAAATCAACCGATATTTGGCACTTTTTAAAGGCAATTGGCCTGTCAACGCTCATTGTAAAGGTCAAAGGACCTCAGGGCCGCAGAGAACGTTCATGTTTTTAAGTCAAGACTCAAGACCCATCTTTTTAGGTTAGCTTTTATCTAAATATTTACTACAGTTTTATTTCTCGTTTTACATGATTATATTTTATTACTTGCTTTGCATGTTCTATATGATTATATTTTAGCACAGTTTTATTATTTAAATTATTATTTTACTGTCTATGATTTTATTTATTACTTATTTTCTAATTGTTGTCATTTATATTAGCTCTTTTATTACATTTTTACTCATTTTAATCCAGTGTTTCCTCTGTGGGGGCCCTCTGCCCCGGGAGCGGTGGTCGACTGTAGCTTCCTGGGCGCTCTATAGGTGGGGGTCTATGCCCCCCCTCCACTGAGCGCCCTGACTTAGTGTGGAAGACCTGATGCTGCCGGGGCAGACGGCTCCTCTGATGGCGTTTCCTTGCGTTACCATACTTGGCTCATCTGGACTCAGCCTAATATAATTTTTACTCGTGTGTGTGTGTGAGTCTGTGTGTGTGTGCGTGTGATTGCATATGTTTGTTAATGTTTTTTAACCTGTTATGGGAATCTGGGGTCATTTTTTAAAGCACTTTGAATAACACTTTGTTTGAAAAGCGCTTTAGAAATAAAATTTGATTGATTGATTGATTGAAAGTTCACAAGTGGCGTTGAGGAGATTCTGTAACCCTGGATTCACACTGAAAACATCAGCGGCGTGGAACGTCACTGCTTCTAATAGAATCCACTAGTCGGACCAGAAAACTGGCAGTTTCCAGGCACATCCCAGAAAAGCCGCTCCGCTTAGACCGGCGCCGCGCAGGCCAGTCACACCGCTAAAAGTAGGATTGAGTTCTATTTTTGCCTCAAATCGCTTCTGGGACACTTCAATTTCTGCAGTTAACACAGGGCTAGACAGGAAATCACACTGTTTCAGTGTAAAATCCCTGCTAATTTTCTAAATGAAAGAACTGCAGTGATGTAATTTCATATTTATGAAGCTTATGTGCGACCCTACGGTTATTTTACTCCCAGCATAGTTCCAGAAGTGCAGCGGTGTGTTTTCATGGCTTTAATCCTGGAGGTGGAGAGGAATATCACATATGACATCAAACAGCAATATCAAACGTGATTTCCTTCGTTTGGGTTTAATGGTGGATTGCGTAAACAAACCGTGACCTGAAGTCTCGAGGGATCGTGTAACGTCGCAGGTCGAGCAAAAAGCACAGCGAGGAAGCAGTGCCGCTGCCAAGACTCTCCCGGTGTGAAAAGTACCGCTTTGAAGTCGGAGAGTAACCCCTTCCGCTGCCGTTTGGCGCCACCGATGCTTCCGGTGTGAAACCGGGACAAAGCCGCCGCTCTGCCAGAGAGGAGGTTCAGCAAGGTGACTTGACCTTGAGTAACAGAAACACTCCCTGAAGCGTAAACACCCCGCTCCGCAGACCCTCCGCGGATCTGTGGAGCTCAAACATCAAACCCAGAGGCAGCGACGGACGTACCTCTGATGTCTCTTATCAGAGAGATGAAGTGGACGTCAACAGAGGACGATGCCTCACTGATGGTCCTCTCCTTCCCTTTCACAGCAGTGTGGTCCTGATGTGGAGGGACGGGACTGGGTGGTTGTGATGGAGGGCCGGCCTCGAGCTGGGATTCGCTACAACAGTTCCTGTCTGCACACGGCAGAAGGTTCGCAGGATGGCGATGTTTTAAAGGGTCAGCCGCTCCTCTGGGTTGGACAGAAGTTTCTGGGCTCTGAAGCAAAGCTACAGCTGCTTGTGTGATCCGACTGTCGGCAACAAAAGAAGAACAAATGTCCCGACCCTGCAAGCAGCTGGAATCCTCGTTTGTCCCAGAAAAATCATGCGACTCGCATCCTCCCGCCACCCTGTTCAGACATGCATCCTGCTCAAGTGGCTCCAAACAGCCGGATGTTGGTGCAGGCGGGTTTTCTCTGTGTTTTCTGTAGTTTGTTAAAACATTTTTGTTTTCCTGCAACTGTGGTTCTAAACTGAAGTTGGAGGCAGAGTCGTTGCAGGTCCCTGGCGTGGGCCGTCTCCCTCTGAACATCAACAGACGGCAGCGCTCTCTCCGCTTCCTCCACAGCCAAAGCCGAAGTTTACAGTACAAGCGTCTCTTGGTCCAGCGGGACAGATGGGACACACCTTTAATAGATGACATGAACTTCTTCTGTAAGGACTGAACCTTCCTCCCGTGGTTCTGTGTTTGGTACATCTGGATGGACACTCACATGGGACTGTTTAGTGATGAAGCCGGAGTTAGCGTTTCCATCCCTGCAGCCTCAGTGGCTGCTAACGCTAGCTGCTAATGCTAGCTGCTGAAGACCACCAACAGCGGCTCACATGATCAGCAGTCTCACCTTGGGTTCCTTAGTCTGATGAACATCTGATGAAAGAAACAAAGAATCATCATTTAACAACAAACTAATTCTAACTTGCAGGTTTTGGTTTTTCACAACAATTACGATTACACACAGCTTTAGCTTCCCTAGAGGGCGGAGCCTCCTTCCAGTCAGACACACTGACTACTCGTTAAGACCGATCGTCCAAAACCTGCCACAAGAGTGGCGTTAGTCCAGGCCAGCGGTCTCATTTATCACACATGGCGTAGAATCCTTACTAAAACCGTACTTAAGCTCAGCAAAACAAAAGTACTTACGCCAAGTAGGTTGGTGATCTATCAAACATGGAGGACGCACAGCTGCACGCAATCTCCGCTTCATAAATCAGAGACTAACGAGAATGTTTCTCAGCTGCATTTTAGTCACATCCCGCCCTCACCACGCCCACTTACTGCCATAAATGGTCAATGCAAAGTGCTTTGTGGATCTCATGCATATACATAAGCCGGCTGTTGCAGCGCTCCGCCAATGACATGGCGACCGTAGATCACAGCAGATCAAGGAAGCGCTATTTCACAGAAGCAGAAGTTGAGGTACCTGTGAGTGAGGTGGAGAAATGAAAGGAAGTGCTTTTGCAAAACAAATAAGAGAAAATCCACGGAGTGGCACAGCGTTGCTGAAGCCGTCAATGTTGTGAGTTTTTCAGAGAGATCTGTGGCGGATATAAAAAAATTATCCAATTGGGATTTGATCCCCAGACTCCCGGGTGAAAGTCACACGGGCTAACCAGTCAGCCAAACGGAGATCTCCCTTGTCCAGGTAGTCAGGGCGCATGATCAACCGGGTCACAGTGACAGGACACACACTGTCACACACACACGATGTTCTGTCTCAATCTGCCCCCTGCTGATATTCTGCATTCCGCATTCTGCGCTTCAGGGTGTGTGTGTGTGTGTGTGTGTGTGGGGGGGGGGGGGGGGTCATGTTCTGTGTGAAAACGAAGCGGTACAAGTGATAATGCTGCAGGACTTCATAATTGTATCTTCTCAGCAGCAGCGCTGCAGGTGCTCTCCATGTCCAGCATGTGTGTAAGCCAGGTCCTTAGTCAGCTTAAAGTTGTGCACATTTTTCCGCTACGTTTTCTTTCATAAATCCCAAAGTTTGCGTGGAAAGTTGCTTACGGAGTTTTCTGACCCCGTTTTGTGCGTAAGCTAGCCTGATAAATGAGACCCCAGAACCTTTGGGAAGTGGAGGAACGGGAGCGGATGCTGTGTTATGTCAGGATGGACAAGAACCTCAGAGAGTCACAACCTCAGAGGACCAGAACCTCAAAGAGTCACAACCTCAGAGGACCAGAACCTCATAGGACAACAACCTCAGAGGACTAGAACCTCAGAGGACCAGAACCTCAAAGAGTCACAACCTCAGAGGACCAGAACCTCAGAGGACAACAACCTCAGAGGACTAGAACCTCAGAGGACCAGAACCTCAGAGGACCAGAACCTCAAAGAGTCACAACCTCAGAGGACCAGAACCTCATAGGACAACAACCTCAGAGGACTAGAACCTTAGAGGACCAGAACCTCAAAGAGTCACAACCTCAGAGGACCAGAACCTCGGAGAGTCACAACCTCAGAGGACTACAACCTCAGAAGACAACAACCTCAGAGTCACAACCTCAGAGGGCCAGAACCTCAGAGTCACAACCTCAGAGGACTACAACCTCAGAGGACAACAACCTCAGAGGACCAGAACCTCAGAGGACTACAACCTCAGAGGACTATAACCTCAGAGGACAACAAACTCAGAGAATCACAACAGAGGACCAGAGCGTCTGCGGGACGTTTGTCACAACTTGTTGGATATCCAGCATGAAGAGGTAAACAGATGTCAGACTGAACCAGTAGGTGTACCTAATAACGGGACCAGAGTGTGTCCTACACACACGCAGGTCTGTTTGGCTTAAGTATAAAATGCAAGTGTGTCGGTAAAAGAGTCCAGCCTCTGAGGCTTTTGACACAGTTAACTGTCACTGCCAACAGAGACTCATATCCACACACAGTTCAGCCATGTTACAGCTAACTGAACGGTGTGTGAGCCATGAGGAGTGAACAGCACGAGCCACACACGTGTTTACGTTAATGCCGGCTCTGCTCCAGCCTGACCTGTATGTTTCTCTGAGCACGTGCTACCGAACGAACCCGGAGCCAGCTACGTTCAGATACAACAGAACATGACAGCCTCCCTAGCCTTACCTGCACCGCCTCGTGAAGCTGAAGCAAACACCTACAGGAGCGAGCTGGTCTCCCACAGAAGCCTCTTCAACCCGGCAGCGTTGGAGCCCACTCTGCTCTTACTGGTGTAACACTTTTCTCACCGCGCAGCCCAGAAAACTAGCTAAATTAGCCAAACAGTCAAACACACTGTCACACGTTGAGAGGCGCAGGTAATGGACGTCATACATGCGCCAACCAATCAAAATTCAAAGAACGACGGAAGCAACAGAACATAGTAGCTTCTCAAAAAAATTTGCATATTGTGATAAAGTTCATCATTTCCTGTAATGTACTGATAAACATTAGACTTTCATATATATTAGATTCATTACACACAACTGAAGTAGTTCAAGCCTTTTATTGTTTCTAATATTGATGATAGTGGCGTACAGCTCATGAAAACCCAAAATTACTATCTCAAAAAATTAGCATATTTCATCCGACCAATAATAGAAAAGTGTTTTAATACAGAAAAAAGTCAACCTTCAAATAATTATGCTCAGTTATGCACTCAGTACTTGGTCGGGAATCCTTCTGCAGAAATGACTGCTTCAATGCGGCGTGGCATGGAGGCAACCAGCCTGTGGCACTGCTGAGGTGTTATGGAGGCCCAGGATGCTTCGATAGCGGCCTTAAGCTCATCCAGAGTGTTGGGTCCTGTGTTTCTCAACTTTCTCTTCACAATATCCCACAGAGTGCCAGGTCGTGCTGAAAAATGAAATCTTCATCTCCATAAAGCTTTTCAGCAGATGGAAGCATGAAGTGCTCCAAAATCTCCTGATAGCTAGCTGCAGTGACCCTGCCCTTGATAAAACACAGCGGAGTCGGACCAACACCAGCAGCTGACATGGCACCCCAGACCATCACTGACTGTGGGTACTGGGCTTCAGGTATTTTGGCATTTCCCTCTGCCCAGTCTTCCTCCAGACTCTGGCACCTTGATTTCCGAATGACATGCAAAATTTGCTTTTATCTGAACAAAGTACCGTATTTTCCGGACTATAACCCGCTACTTTTTCCCCACGCTTTGAACCGTGCGGCTTATAATGAGGTGCGGCTTTACTGAAGATTTTCCTTCACCTGCAGGGGGCGCTTTAGCACAAAGTGAAACAGGTGGAAGTCAAAAATGGAAATCGAAGAAAGTGCTCATTTTAATTTAGCACATGCAAGCAGCCGGCACGATCCATACCCCCTCATCATGGTAACTACACACGTATGAGTTCATATGATGCAGCATTTACGTTGAAGACCATCGATCTGGCAGTAAAGGAGGGAAACAGTGCTGCCGCACGTAAGCTTGGCATGAATGAATCCATGGTTCGGCGCTGGAGACGGCAGCGGGAAGAACTCATTCAAGCCAGCTTCACCCGGGGATGATGACAGCAACACGGACAGCGACACTGACATCGCCACAGAAAAGGTATGTGACGAAGCTCTTCTGAGGCTGTTCAACTCCGACACTGAAGAAGAGGACTTTAATGGCTTTAGTGCGCAAGAGGAAGATGAGAGCGAATGACTTCTTCTGGTAGGCAAGTGTGTTTTATTTACTAACCAGGCATGTTGTAACAGACGCTGTCTGTTTTGTAGCCACTAGGTGGCCCTAGTGTCACGACCTGCTCTCCTGGCTCTAGCTGAGCCAGGTGAAGTTTATTTAAATCAGTGAGGCTCCCTGTTAAAAGGGTGCATCAGATGATACAGAGGGGGGGAAGTTCAGAAGAGAACAAGCAGCAGCGTTTGCTCTCCTCTTTCCCTCCTCGTGCTGACGTTAAAGTCTCGCTTTGCTTACCTGAGTGGTATCGGTAATCGTTTCCTAGTTTCTAGAGCTCGTTTTGTGTTTCTTCGGCATCCTCGTTAAAGAGAGATCTAGCTCACCCTTTTGGTGGAGCTTTTTGTGTTAATCCTGCTCATTCTTTACCCGGTTTTAATCCCCGGCGCTTTGTGTTTAATATTATTATTGTTGTTAAATCCCCAGTTTTGGATTTCTCTTGTTTTGTATCATTATACTGACTTTTAGTTAAATAAACTCCTTTTAAGAGAGTAAATCTTGGTTTGTTCCTGTTCACAACCACATTTCTTTACGCTCCCTAACCACATCATCTATTAGACGAGCTGGGGGCTCGTCCAGGATTTTTACACATTAATAAACCAGTTTTACATTCTAGTTTGTGTTGTTTTCAGGACTAACATTGTTTTCCTCTCTTGGAGGTGGAGCGGATGTCACCATGGCAACCATGGCAATTTGCAGGCTTTTGTGGAGGCTCCTTCGCGCCGGCTGCTGGAGCGTTGCAGAAAAGCCGACCTGCAGGGAGTAGCCGGCCACTTCGACCTGATTGTCCCGAAACAGCTGACAAAAGACGCTCTAGGGAAGTTCGTGTTGGAATATTTGGAGGCGCAGGGGATCTTCCCGCCTCCTTCTGAGACCGACTCACGCCCTTCGTCACAACCAGTGACTCCAGGAGAAGAGGATAAGATCAGACAACCAGAAGAGTCATCTTCAGGCTCCCCATCACCAGGTCAAAGTCCTCCTACTTCTCCACACAGTAGAACCCGCCTGAAGCTCCGGCTCGCTCGCCCGCGCATCGAGGCGGATGAACGCGCCCTAGAACGAAAGCTACGTCACGAGTTGGACTTGAAAAGACTGGACGCTGAAACCCAGCTTAAAATGCTCGATCTCGAGTTACGGAATAAGAAGCCCGTTCCTGCCGCTGCTTGGACTTCCTCTCAGGAACCCGATGGTTCGGACGCCTCCCAGGCGGGAGGTCGACCCGCCCCAGTGGCACCCGCCAGTTCGCCGTTGCAGACCGCACCTTTCGATGTCAGCAAATGCATCACGCTGCTGCCCCAGTTCCAGGAGACGGAAGTGGATGGCTTAGCTTTTGAGCGGATCGCTGCGACGCTCCAGTGGCCTCGCGAGGTTTGGTCTCTGCTCTTGACTTGCAAGTTAAAAGGTGAGGCCCTTCAAGTGGTATCCGCTCTGTCTCCAACGCTAATTATGACAAGGTGAAATCCTCTGTGCTCACGGCCTATGAACTTGTTTTATGGTTGTCCTTTAGTTGTACAGTTTTGGAATCAATTGTCTTCATCAGTTTGGGATTCTCATAAAATATTGATTACTTTTAATGAAAGTACGGTCTTATTCTTAAACGTTAAATGTAACAAGGAAGTTAACAAGGTAATAAAATTGCTGTGTCTGTTGGGTAAATTTCACATTCTTAAAGTCAGATTTTTACAGGCTATACCAAATGTCACTTTATTTTATATTGATCTTGATTTTTTTTATGACTCTGTATGTAGAATTTGTAAAAACAAGAAAGCTGTGAAAATATGCAACTTGGTGACTTCTATTATGTCCCATATTACAAGGTAATGTATTAGTGGAATTTTATTTTATTTTATTTTATTTGTGTATAATTATTTATGTTTATTTTTATCAACATTTTTTTCTCTTTCTTCTCTGTTTGTCAATGTATCACACCCTGTACATCAATGTTGTTTTGTCAATATCAGGGGTGTCAAACTCATTTTAGCTCAGGGGCCACGTTGAGGGAAATCTAGTCCCAAGTGGGCCGGACCGGTAAATAAAAAAAAAATTCAGATTGTTTTCTTTGTTTTAATACAATCAATATAAAACAAGGCTGGAGCCTGAGGACAGTGTAGTAAATAAATAAATCAACAAATTAAAAAAACATTCCTTAGTGATTCAAAGAGCTTACAGATCACATGGCAAGATCAGATTCATGCAGCACTTAAAGTATATTTGACTCATTTTACTTTACGTCTTTTAGCTTTCACCAGCACATCAACATCAGAAGTCACATCCTGAGTGGCAGCCATCTTCAGGATGTGACTCAAGTTCTTGTGTGAGCCTTGAGCGCAGCTTTGTTTTATTTATACTCATTACAGAGAAAACTTGCTCACAAAGAAAAGTTTATTTTCACTCTACATTGTAAAGTATGAAAATAAAGTTTACACAACCATCTCGCGGGCCGGATCTAAACAGCTTGCGGGCCGAATTCGGCCCGCGGGCCGCATGTTTGACACCCCTGGTCAATATGTTATGTCTTGTCTGCTGCAAATGTGTCAGTAAAGATTGTTTAAAAAAATGTTTTAGATTCGAAAAACCTTGACTAAACCAAACTTATGTTGAGTATGCCCACGCTAAGTCGGTGTTGTTTGAGAAATGGTGTGCTGCTTCTCATGTCTCCTCGCTAGCCGAGCTGAAAGAATTGATTTTGATAGAGGAGTTCAAACGTCATCTCCCTGAGAGACTGGTTCACTCATGGACGTAATTTTGGGGGGGGGGACAGGGGGGACATGTCCCCCCCACTTTTTCCAAAGTCAAGTTTTGACCCCTGCAGTTTTTACCATCCAAAAACTTATTACGCTATATTAAATTGGCACTGGTTGAGCTCTAGGACCAAGCGGAAAACAACCGTTTGTGTTGAAGCCGGTTTCCCATTAGAGCAGGGGTATACAAATACTATTTAAAAAGGTCCAGTCAGAAAGAATTTTTTTAGCCCAAGGTCCGAAAGATCATTATGTCCGACCTACAATAGTGTGACATGTATTTAAGTATCCTAGCAGTTTTATCAACATCTGCATTATTAATTTGCATATCAAATCAGAAATACTTCAGTGTAATTCAAATACTTATGACATTTATTGTCACTTAAAGTGTTGAACATGTAAATGATTTATTTGGAATGTTCTCTCATTTACTAAATAAAAGTAGAAAAAAGTGTCAACAAGAAAATAACACATGGCAACTGAATCTTCACAAACTACTAACTTCAGAATAAATGTAGAAAAAGCTTAATTTTTTTACATTTTTCCTCTTCACGTGCGAACTAAAAAGTCTTAAAATGATTTTTAAAAATGTGACTTTGCACACATGTAATAACTGAACATATATTTAGGTTAATGTTTTCCACATTTTTACTTAGTGAGAGATGTGAGCTCTTGCTTGTCCTGCCAACATTTTGAACCTGGGCTTGAATGGAGACAGAGCCATCCTCATGCATGTGTGGAGATGCTCATTGGTGAGCCTGGAACGATATTTGTTTTTTATAATGTTCATTGTGGAGAACGCTGCCTCACAGTTGTGGGTGGAACCAAACATGGTCAGGATGTACAGGGCTACTTTCTTTAGATGTGAGAAAGCTGTCTCAGGAACCATTTGGAGCCAGAATGAGGACGGGTCAGTCCTGGCAGACAGTTCTTTCATGGCCAAGTTTGCTTGGAGGTCAACTAACTCCATCTGAAGATCCCTGGCATTGACCCATTTAAAATGCTGTGTGGCTTCCTTTGAGAAGCTCCTGACATCTGTGATGAGGAATGGGTTCTGAATGAACATGGTGAGCTGCTGGCCAATGCTGAAGCTATCAAAACGATTGCTGAAGTTAGCAATAAGTTTATCAATGAAGACAACAAACGACGAGACATCTCGCTGTCCCTGAACCTGTTCCTGCACTGCTGGGAAGTGGACACAGTCTTCCTGCAAGTCCTCCTTGAACATTTCAAGTTTTCTCTGAAAGGCACGGACAGCTGTCATTAGTTCACAAATGGAATTGTCCTTGCCCTGTAGCCTCAAGTTCAGTTCGTTTAGATGTGAAGTTATATCAACCAAAAAGGCAACATTGTCCATCTGCTTCTCATTTTATAGAAATGTAGACAACTGTGTTGCCTTATGATGTTTTAGCTCTGCCAAAAAAGATGCTACTTCCCTCCTGATGGCCCAAAAGCGTGCTAAAACTCTGCCTTTGCTGAGCCATCTCACATTGTTGTGCAGCAGAAGATCATCAGCATTGGCATCAACTTCTTTGAGGAATTCTCTAAGCATGCGATGCTGGTAGGAAGAGGACGCTCTAAGAAAGTTGATCATTTTCATCACTGAAGTCATCACCTCAGCATGCTCATCTGACAGGGAGGCACAGAGGACAGATTGATGAATAATGCAATGGTAGGTTAAGAGGTCAGGGTTGTCTTTCTTCATTCTTGTTACAGCTCCCTTTTCTCTCCCTATCATAGCAGGGGCTCCATCTGTAGTTATTGAAATCACTTTTGAAGGCTCAATTCCTCTCTTTGCCAACATCTCCATAATGGCCAGGTAGATGTCCTCTCCTGTTGTGCTGGTCTGAAGAGGAGTAATACCCAGCAGGTCTTCATAGAATGCTTTCTGCTCTGCGTAATAAAACCTCACATAAACCAACAGCTGAGCATTGTCACACACGTCAGTGGACTCATCCACAGCCAAACCTACACATGGTGCCTTCTGTATGGCTCCATCTAGCTGGGCTACAACATCCTGAGTCAGTGTTTCACTTTTCTTTGTAGCAGATGATGCTGATATGGGGATTTGCTTTATTTTTTCACAAACTTCTTGTTTTTCTTTTCCTTCAAACAGTGTTTCAGCAACTGCTGTCATACACTCTTTGACAACCTCTCCATCAGTAAATGGTTTTTTGTGCTGACCCAAAATCCAAGAAACTCTGAGGGAACTCTCATGGGCTCGTTGCTGAGCAGTGAACGTGTGGCTCAGGATCCTGGTGGACTGTTCATATTGGGCTTTGAGACTACGTATTTTCTCTGATCTTACTTCTGATCTGAGGGGATATGTTTCTTCAAAACATTTGTGTTTTGTCTCATAATGGCGTTTCACATTGCCACTTTTAATAAGTGCCACTGTTTCTGAACATATGAGACAAACAGGTTTTGTGCCACCAGTGGGAAGAACAAAGAGAAATGACTCTGTCCATTCTGGATTAAATGCTCTATTTTCACTGTCCACTTTCCGTTTTTTAGAGGCTGCCATTTCTGCTTTCTCTACTTCTCTCCGTCTCACCCGCCTGAATCTCTCCTTGTCGCCTGTCGCCGCTTTCCTTTTCTCTAACTGAATTCCTCCTCCTTTACACCTGAATCTCTCCTTGTCGCTGCTCTTAGCCTGAATGTCTCCTTCTTTCCACCGCTCTCCGCCTGAATCTCTCGTTTTCTCTGTTCGAATTTCTGCTCTTCGCTGCTCTCCTTCTCTCCGGCGTCTGAACCGTTTATTTTCGCTACGTATCGCCTGTATTTTCTGGCAGGAATAAAACATGTTATTGGCTTGTTGGTGTCACGTGGTCTGACTAAACTCGCGCACAATTGGCCTGTGGGTGTTCGTGGATGCTAGAATACTACCGTAAAGAATGCAATAGCTGCACCGGCCAGAAGCGGTTATAAAATTAGGCGAACTTTATTTTGGCATTAGGCTCGGGTCCACACCAGACAGCATTTCGGTCCGGATCCGGACCCAGGTCCGCCTATTAGTGATCTCTGCATTAGAGCATACTGTCAAGACCCCCCCCCCCCCCCGTGCCCCCCCCACTTCTAAAGTGAAAATTACGTCCTTGGGTTCACTACTTAGATGAACAGAAGGTCACTTCCTTCTCTGAGGCTGCTTTGATGGCCGACGAATTCTCGCTAACTCACCGCGTCCGAGAGAGTCGTTCAGAAGTAAACAGAGGAATCAGACCCAGTGTGAAAACCTCTCCTAATCCTAATCCTGAAAATCCAGAGTGTTTCTATTGCCATAAACGCGGTCACGTAATCCGTGGCTGCTACGCTTTAAAACTGAAGAACCGTAAGAAAAACATAACTGAAATAGCTTGTTGTTTGGAAGCTAACTCAGAAAACCCCTGCTGTCAGCCATTTCTATCAGAGGGTCTTGTGTCTCTTCCGGATTCTGAAAACAAAACCAAAGTAGTCATCCTGAGAGATACGGGAGCTTCCCAAACTTTAATAAAGAGAAGCGTGTTGTCCAGTTGAGGTGGTTTGGGCATCTGGTCAGGATGCCTCCTGGACGCCTCCCCGGGGAGGTGTTTCGGGCATGTCCTGCCGGCAGAAGGCCCCCGGGTCGACCCAGGACACGTTGGAGAGGTTACATCTCCAATCTGGTCCGGGAACGCCTTGGGGTCCTGCCGGAGGAGCTGGTGGACAAGGCCGGGGAGAGGACGGCCTGGAGCTCCCTAGTTGGGATGCTGCCCCCGCGACCCGGACCCGGATAAGCGGAGGAAGACGAGAGAGACGAGAGAGAGAGAGTGTTGTCCTTTTCTGTAAACAGTCAAGCTGGCTACTCAGTGTTGCTTCAAGGTATTGAGATGGGAGCTATCTCTGCTGAAATGCACTCTATTAAACTGTCCTGGCCTTTAGTCTCGGGTGATTTTGTGGTCGGGGTGTTGGATGAGCTCCCAACTAAAGGAGTTGACTTAATCTTGGGAAATGATGCTGCTGGAGGCTTGGTCGTGCCTCTGCCTGAGCTCGTATTGGAGCTAGGGATTGGTACCGAATTGGGTACTTTTTAAGGTACCGACCAAATTCCACAGTACCGACTGAGCACTGATTCACTTCATTTGAAACGGTGCCTCGTTTCGGTACCCGTCCTTCACAACGAGAACTTGCCTAGACAGCTGCGCATGCGCAAGAGCGTTATGTCGTCGGTCGCTGCGAGCGAGTTGTAAACAGAGCAGCATGGTAGAAAGAACGCACGCTAAAGCTTGGGTCCACTTCACTAAATGTGATGGGTAACTGGGTGATGATGAAACCAGCGACGGCGTGTCCACTCGTATTTCTATCTACTTCTATCTACGCCCGTTATGTTTAACCACAGCTCTAGTTGATTGGTTTGGTTCAATAAAGCTGATCTGTGGGGGTCCCTGTCGATAATTCTGCACTGTGTGACCTTTCCTCCTGCTCCTCGATTATGTAATCATGTCCGAATACTTCACAAGGATCCAACATTCCACGTTCTGTCATGGGAAGACTTAATAAGTTTTATTTAATTTAATTGTGTATATAGTATGTACGTATGTGTATATGTGTGTATATTCATATATTTACGTGTGTATATATATTTTTATACATATTATTTTTACTATTATTTATTTACTTTCTATCTTTTCTCTTTTTTAAGTCTGTTATAACTTTCTAACTCTGCCACCTTATTTGTTATCGGTTGTGTTGTAGGAGGACCTGCTCGAAAACGAGATGTTACATCTCACGCAGTTTATCCTCCTGAAAAACATGTTAAATAAATAAATAAATAATAGTACTGTGTATTAGAATTGGCGAACCGTTGGATTTTAAGGAGGTATTTGTTGTTTTCAGGGTCAGGATCATTCACTGAAGCTTGAATCGGAGGCCTCCCATCTCCCTGATAACGTTTGCAACACTGACTCAGCTGATGGAAAACCTTTAAGCAAACATTCTGATTCTCACGTTTCACCTCATAACATGTGAGCGTTTTATCTGTCATACTGACTGATTTTAGCCCTTTTTACACTGATTTACTTGGGCAGCCATTTTGATTTAGTTGACATCAGAACTGAAAAAGCTGATTCTGTCGCGGAGTTTCGTTAAAATCCATCCTGTTGTTCCTGAAATGGCATGTAAGTAATGTCAGTTTTGGGTTGAATTTGCTTTGTTTTCCACAACTAAAAGACACGAAACACTGAATTTGTTACCATGGTATTTTTTATACAAGATTGCAGGATGTGAGGAAAATGCTTTCGTGTTATTGAGCTCTGAGAAAAACAACAACCCTCCCTTCGTGACCTTCTGATCCCGAGCTCATCTGACTAAACAGCGGCGTGTCTTTGACCCTCAGCTCTGTTCCCTCCCGTGGAGAAACCAAGATCTTTTCATGTGTGAACTTAAAAAAGATTTGCACCCAAACCGGACTAAATGTAAAACACCTCTTCTGGTGACATGTCCACCCATGAACTCCGTCCATCTCACGAGCTGAAACTGTCTGATCCGTGTTTCAGTCTGCATCCTGTGGACCTGGAGTGACACGTGCGTGTTGTGCAGATGGTCTTATACAAAACAAACATGTTGGCGGTGCAGTGAGTGTCTTTGGCCCTCAAACATGCCCCCTGCCATCGACAAACATCCTCTTCCGACGAGTTCGGTCTGGATCCTGCTGACAGTGAGGCCCTGCTCTGCAGTGCTGCACCCTGACCCCGGTGGAGGGAGACAGGTGCTTACACAACCCAAATGTTTGAACTGAGTTTAAATGACTAAACTAAACTCCATGATGTTAAAGAAGAATTGAAAACAACTTGGAATATGGTCATAATTCATATAACTAATGGTAAGGAAAACATGACATTTAATTATTTAAATTATAAATGCAACAAGGCACAGGAGTTAAGAGCCCGCCCAGTAATCAGAAGGTTGCAGGTTCGAGCCCCGCTCAGTCTGTAGCTGCCGTTGTGTCCTTGGGCAAGACACTTAACCCACCCTGCCTGCTGGTGGTGGTTAGAGGGACTGGTGGCGCCTGTGTTCAGCAGCCTCGCTTCTGTCAATGCGCCCCAGGGCAGCTGTAGCTACAATGTAGCTCATCCCCACCAGGGTGTGAATGTGTGTGTGTGTGAAAGGGTGAATGACTGATTACACTGTAAAGCGCCTTGAGGGGTTCCCGGACTCTAGAAGGCGCTATATCAAATACAGGCCATTCACCATAAATCACTGCAGAACTCCTGTTTTTTTTTTGTTTGTTTTTTGTTTTACAACAAAAGATCATTTCAGTTTGAAGTCAGGTAAGTGACTGACTAATATATATTTATTGGTGTGCTAATTAATATGCCACCAAATGAGTTGGTTAATTTCATATTTGTAACACTCCTGTTATGAGAGCTGAACAGTTTGTCGACATAAATAAGTGGAAAAATAGTTTTGCCAAGAGTGTGTAAAGCAGTTATCAGAGCAAATGGTGGCTATTTTGAAGAAAATAGAATATAAAACATGTTTTCAGTTATTTCACCTTTTTGGGTTAAGGAACATAACTCCACATGTGTTCATTCATAGTTTTGATGCCTTCAGTGAGAATCTACCAATACAAATGGTCATGAAAATATAGACAACACATTGAATGAGGTGTGTCCAAACTTTTGGCCTGAACTGTATGTGTTAGGAGAAGATGCTAACTCCACATATGCATGGAGAGAACATGCTAACTCCATATATGTGAGGAGAGAACATGCTAACCCCACATATGCATGGAGAGAACATGCTAACTCCATATATGTGAGGAGAGAACATGCTAACCCCACTTATGCATGGAGAGAACATGCTAACTCCATATATGTGAGGAGAGAACATGCTAACCCCACATATGCATGGAGAGAACATGCTAACTCCATATATGTGAGGAGAGAACATGCTAACCCCACATATGCATGGAGAGAACATGCTAACTCCACATAGAAATGGAGAGAGCATGCCAACTCCACATATGCATGGAAAGAACATGCTAACTCCATATATGCATGGAGAGAATATGATAACTCCACACATGCATGAGAACATGCTAACTCCACATATGCATGAAGAGAACATGCTAACTCCACATATGCATAAAGAGAACATGCTAACTCCATATATGCATGGAGAGAACATGCTAACTCCACATAGAAATGGAGAGAGCATGCCAACTCCACATATGCATGAAGAGAACATGCTAACTCCACATATGCATAAAGAGAACATGCTAACTCCACAAATGCATGAAGAGAACATGCTAACTCCCCACATGCATGAAGAGAACATGCTAACTCCCCACATGCATGAAGAGAACATGCTAACTCCCCACATGCATGAAGAGAACATGCTAGCTCCACATATGCATGAGGAGAATATGCTAACTCCACATATGTATGAAAAGAACATGCTAACTCCACATATGCATGAGGAGAACATGCTAACTCCACACATGCATGAAGAGAAAATAGTGGCCATCCAAGTATGTGAGCATTTAAACACTAATGATCTGTTTGAGGAATTTCAGTCTGGTTTTAGAGAGTATCACAGCACTGAAACTGCATTAGTGAGAGTTACAAATGATATTCTCATGGCCTCAGATAAGAATCTTGTGTCTGTTCTAGTCTTGTTAGATCTCAGTGCTGCCTTTGACACAGTTGATCACAATGTTCTTTTAGAAAGACTTGAACATGTTGTAGGGATCAAAGGAACAGCGCTAGGCTGGTTTAAATCCTACCTGTCTGACAGATTTCATTTTGTAAATGTACATGACAAATCGTCTCCATACTCCAGGGTTACTTGCGGAGTACCACAGGGTTCAGGGCTTGGACCAATTATTTTTACTATATATATGCTCCCAATTGGTAAAATCATTAGACAGCATGGGATAAACTTCCACTGTTATGCTGACGATACTCAGTTATTTTTATCCATTAATCCTGATGAACCTAATCGGTTGGGTAGATTACAGGCTTGTCTTGAGGACATAAAAAATTGGATGACTCTAAACTTTTTGCTTTTAAATCAAGACAAGACAGAAGTTCTCATCTTTGGACCAGAAATCCAGAAAAGGAAATTGCTTAGCCAATCACCTGACCTTAATGGCATTACATTAATCTCCGAGAACAAAGTAAGGAACCTTGGTGTTATCTTTGACCAGGACATGTCATTCAAATCCCAGGTTAAACAGGTTTGTAGGATTTTCTTTTTCCACCTTCGGAATATTGCTAAGATTAGAAGCATCCTTTCCAGGAGTGATGCTGAAAAACTAGTTCATGCATTTATTACATCAAGACTGGATTACTGTAATTCATTACTCTCAGGAAGTCCACAGAATGTAGTTAAAAGTCTTCAGCTTGTCCAAAATGCTGCAGCTAGAGTTCTGATGAGAATTAAAAAGAGAGATCATGTCTCTCCTGTCTTAGCTTCCCTACATTGGCTACCTGTTAAATTCAGAATAGATTTTAAGATCCTCCTTGTCACATATTGAGCTCTTAATCAAGCTCCATCATACATCAGTGATCTGATTGTTCCATACGTTCCTAACCGAGCACTTCGCTCTCAGACTGCAGGTTTACTGGTGGTTCCCAGAATATCTAAAATTAGGATGGGAGGCAGATCTTTTAGTTATCAGGCTCCTCTCCTGTGGAACCAGCTCCCAGCTTTAGTCCGTGAGGCAGACACTTTGTCTACTTTTAAGAGTAGGCTTAAAACATTTTTATTTGATAGGGCTTATAGTTAAAATCTGATGTTAGCCTAAATCTGGACAAGTGGGGGAGTACAGGGAGGTGGAGTGTACAGTCGGTAAAGACGGCTCTCCCTCGCCCTGCCTCCAACATGCCTCCATCTAAATAGGATAGATTATCCAGAGTTATCTCTGTAGTTATGCTGCTATAGGCTTAGACTGCTGGAGGATACACTGACCACTTTTCACACTCTACTGCTTTATTCTACAGTCTGCTCTTTAACTGTATTACTTTCTGCAATTTCAGCTGTTAACTTTATTTTCTCTCTAAGTGTTTTCTCCCCAGAAGAAGCTACAATGATGTTCTGCTGAGCTGTGGTGGCCTCATGGAGGGGGCCATCGTCTAGCACACTGCTGCTAACCACTTAAACATTCTCCCTCTCCTGATAATAACTTTTTGCTTTCCTTGACGTTGGATGCGCTACTGCTAGATTACCCGTTTAATTATAGATCCACTAGGATAAATACAATAAAGTTTATCTCTCACCAAATAGAATATTTACTAAGACATCACAACGTAACTATAGACACATTACTTTGTCGTGTGTGTGTGTGTGTGTGTGTGCTCTGTCTTCTCGATCCCCAGTGAGTCGTGGAGGATGGCTGCTTATACTGAGCCAGGATTCTCTGGAGGTTTCTTCCTGTTAAAAGGGAGTTTTCCTCTTCACTGTCGCTTTATGCTTGCTTAGTATGAGGATTGCTGTATAGTCACTGACACTAGTCAGTGACTTGATGCAATTTGCTGGGTTCCTTATACAGGACACATTATTTCTGATTGGCTTAATGAACTGACCTGAATTGGAATGTTTATTATGTGAAGTGCCTTGAGACGTCTCTTGTCGTGATTTGGCGCTTTATAAATAAAATTGAATTGAATTGAGAACATGCTAACTCCACATATGCATGGAGATTTTATTATATTATTTGGTTTGTGACCAGCTGTTGTTGGAATTATTAGTTAAAAAGTGTTTTTATACATTTAAAAGTTCTGAATCCATTTTTATGTCAATTAATGACAGAAAAAAATGCAATAATGAATCATCATTTAAAATATTTGCATTCTCACATGAATTTCTAAAGGAAGGGTTTTGGTCATTTTGAGAAACTGGTTTTCCTGATGAACCTGGAGACGACCCGTGCTCTAAATCATCAAGAGAGCAGTAACGGAGGACCTGTAACCTCGCTCCAAAGTGTCCCCCACTGATTCAAGTCAGCGGGGGCACTTGTCCTTCCCAGACTTTGTTTCCATTTGTTTTGGCAGTTCTTCGGATCCAGAGTGCAGCTCGTGTGTGATGCGCGTGAGAAGGGGGGGTGTCATCTCAGTGGTGAACTTGGCTCTGCCTACGTGTTTAAAATGCTGCATAAATACACTGCAGGCTTCACAAGCTCTGCCTCTTTACCATTTTCTGTTCAATTTCCCTGATCTCTCGTGGCGCATCGCATCGAAATGAACTTCGTGGGCATCACCGTGGCGCTGGGACTTCTGGGGGGCATCTGTGCTCAGATCAATGTGCTGCGGCCCGAGTGCGACTCCCCTGAGGTTGAGGAAGCTGCCCTGGTGGCTCAGGATTACCTCAACGCCCAGCACAATCACGGCTACAAGTATGTACTGAACAGGATAGAAGACATCAAGATCCACCCTACGGTACGTCTGCATGCATTCTAGTTGCTTAGCTACAGTCAGACATTTGCTAGACCTGAACAACAGCAGCTGCAGACTAATAGAATAATTTGTCTGTAGACATTTGCTGTAGACACAGAATAATATGCAGATTTAATAAAAAAATATATGACGGGTTGTATTATTTCACCTGCTCAGTCGGACGGAAACAGCACATTTGTCCTGGAAATTGATTTGCTGGAGACCGACTGTCACGTTCTGGACCCCACGCCTCTCGCCAACTGCACAGTCCGACCCAAACATCTCACGGTGAGACTTTTGTACACTGCTGAGCATCAGTTACAGTGGTGATCAGAGTCAGAATCACAAAACCCCTGTTTGGGCTGATTTCGTGTCCTCCCCCAGGCAGTTGAAGGGGACTGTGACGTGGTGTTGAAGAAGGTCGGCGGGATTCTGACGGTCACTGCATTCAAATGCAAAACAGAAGGTTAGATTTGCCAAACAAAACACTTCTACACTAATTAGATGCATGAATCTACATAACGTTGTGCATGCTTTCGTGTCGTTGGGCATAAACAGAGTCCAGAGAGGACTTATGTCTGGGCTGTTACTCCCTGCTTCCCCTGAATCACACCGCAGGCCTGGACTTTGTCCAGGTCTCTCTGACAAAGCTCAACAACATCACGGAGAACGTAACGTACGCCCTCGTGGAGGTTGGAAGGATGTCTGCACAGGTGGGTCTTTCACGCGTTCTGGTACATTACTGATTGTGCAACAGTTCATTCTCACGTGCAAATCCGTTCTTCCCGACATCTTTCCAGGTCGTGTCCGGTGGACACAAATACAACACAGAATTTGTTGTTGCTGAGGCGAACTGTGTTAACGACACCTGCACGGCCCTGAACGACACCACGGCTGTAAGTACAAATGTTTATGCAGTAATTAACTTTATAGACTGTAAATGCTGACAATCTGGTCGTTTACAATAGAGCTGTGGCCATTTCTCCTGTTTTTCTCTCGTAGGCGCGTGGAATCTGTACTGCTGAAGGCGTGAACGACCCTATAGTGAACTGCAAGATGTTTTCCACTCTGGTAATGACCGTTTAGCTCTTTAATATTTCTAGCATTCGAAACAATTACTGAAGCAAACCTTAATATTCACCCAGGTACCCCTTGTGGACGCAAACAGTACTGCACCTGTACGCCCGGCCTTGCCATCGCACGGTGGGGGCCTGTCCCACAAGCACGGCCACAGGCACCACAAGCTGACTGCCCTCCATAACCCCCATCTGAGCAGTTTTCTGTCAGCAGAATCTGCAGAGTCAGCTGAAGTTGTGCCCGTAGCCCCAGCTCTGAATGTCTCCAGCACACCTGCAGCTCCCACTCAGACTACTGAGGATTCCTCTTCAGCTTCAGACGCTTCAGCCAGCGCAGAGGTCCCCATCACGGTGGTGAAGAGGGACGTTCCCGTCTCGGTGGCAGCCAGTGCCCCTGCAGACAAGACACATCCGGTTGTTCCTGTCCAAGTGTGTCCAGGCAGGATCAGATTCTTCTAAATGTTCAGGTCCCAAAGACTCTTAATTACACTGGTACTAGAGTAAATGCAAGTATGTGCTGTGGTAGGTAGGAAAAAATGTTTGATGTTTTGAGTTCAAGCACCGCTTCTGAAATTAAAGATTTGTATGTAACCACTTAATAAAACCAAAGTTAAATCTTGTGTTTTACTCCAAAAACGCTATTCTTGAAATTAAGCACCCTACGATGTGTAGGTGGGTGCTCTGAACTCTCAGCCACTTCCAGGTTTATCGAGAGCACAGAGTTCAACTTGTCAGTAATGTTGACTCAACAAATGAACCCAGTGACTTTATACCCCATCAGTAAAGTCATGAGGCTTCAGTTTAAGCATGTTTTGTTGCAGTCAGACATCCAAAAGAAATGTAAAAGGACTCAATAGTCAAATCAGCAGAAAATTTTAAGGTCGATGAATTCAACCTTTGAGTCCATTTGTACAAATAGGTAAATGTTCAGAAGCTCCGGTTCAAGGAGAGGCAATGTAGTTTTAAAAGGACCCAAAAAAGTCCAACCCAGGGGCGTGTCCAGGGAGTGGCCTGGGGTGGCACATGCCACCCTTGGAATCTGAATGGCCACCCTATGTGTCACCACACTGAATTCCATTTAAATAGTATTTTCATTGTCCACAAAAGGCTTGGGGTAAAAAAAATAAAGCATAACCATTGGTGTCACCCATGCACAAAGTAGTGCCTCATCTGGGCCACCCCATTCTAAAAGATCTGGACACGCCACTGGTCCAACCGTGGTGTAGTAAGCTATCTGCAAACATCTCACTTCCCAGATTGATTTAAGTTCAGACTAACAGCTAAACGCAAACACTTAAATTTAATAAGTTAAATCCACAACACTGGCTTGTTAGATAAAGTTTTATTAAAGACAACTCTTCTTAATCTCCGTTTTCCATTTCGAGTGGCTGGCTCATTCCTGTAAAAACCAAGAGATTAGTCCAAGAATTCTTTAGAGAAAGTCATCCTTAAAACGGGAAACGTACCACTTGACGGCTGGTTCACAGCAAAACTGCCCTCTTCATCCTTCCCTGAAACACGTGCAGCAAACAACCGACTGGAGCCTGTAGGTGTCAAGGATTTCCAGATGTCCTCAAATGACTCAAGAACATCAGGCTTCAATTCTGAAGCACTGAAATATTGTTCAGGTTCAAAATACACTGGGTCGGAGTTTCCTGATGCCGAGAAAAATGATGGCAAATCTGATTCGTCAAGCCTCTTCAAGGCGTCAACATCACTTTGTGAAGGGTTAGACATCCCTTCTTCCTGGTTTATGGACCCCTTGCTTTGTTCATGTAATGAATCGGTGTTCTGCTCAGTTCTTTCTCCTTTGAAGCGTGCGCCATGAAGCAGCTGTCCAAGAGGGGATGAAGGGTCACGGAAACTTTTTGGCTTCCTCCCTGGTGGCCCATGTTGTAGCAGCACAAAACTTTTTGACACTGAATGAGGATTCAGATGTTGATGGTAAGTGGAGTTCTTGGAGGTGGTCAGAGAAGGCTGCGTGTCAGAGTTATTAGGGGCTGCAGAGTTGTTCCGATTGGACTGTGGAGCATCTTGGGGCATGTAGTGATGAGAGAAAAATTTGTCTATTGCACGTTTGAAGTTATGATGTGTTGCACTTTTAAGCTCCGAATTGTACCAAGGCTGCCTCTCAATACCAGGATTATCTCCCATGTCCGAGTGCGATTCAGGCTGGTTCGGGTAAGGCATGAAACTTTGCATGGAGTGAACATTCCCCGCCAACCGCTCATTGGTTTGCCAATTGGGAAATTGAATGTTATCAGGCTGAATTTGCTCAACTGGCCTAAAACCTGGAGGTTTAAGAGGGCCATTCAAATTGGCAAATTTGTTTTGCTCCATATTTGGCAACTGAATATCTTGTAGATGTGACCAGTAGTTATACGATGAATCAGAATCTGATGCAATACGAGGAGAAGCTCTTGCATCATCTGGAGTCTTGCTTGGACCAATTGTTGGTAGTGCAGCAGGGTTGCCATCTGGCGGTTGAAAGTATTCTTGACCTGCAGTTTGAGGGCCCCAGGGTGACATTTGTGCAGAGGTGCTGGCTCTTTGAGGGACTTGCTCAGCTTCTAGGGCCATGGTGGAGTCAGGGTGTACCATATGTGAGAATGGCAAACCCCTGTAAAATTGAGGCACAGCACCATATCCAGGAGTAATGTGAAAGTGCTGATGAACAGCTATTTGGAAACAGCAATTTGACAAGCCAGACGGGCAAAACTCAGGACAAACCCCAGGAAGACCATAAGGAATGGGATTAGAGACTATGGGTGTTTCAGCACCTGGTTTCCCAGATAGTTGACAAGGCCCATAAACTTTACCCTGAATAGTTTTAGTTGGCATGTTTGCTAGCTGGCTTTCAGTCAACGGCTGAGTGTATAAGCACATTTGTTGGTGTGCTTGGCCTGGAAGGGTGTCTGACTGTAGCAGCCGAGGAACAGCTGTTGATCCTGGAGCTGGCTTTGGCTCCAAGTACGGCTGGTTAGGGTAGAGTGGCTGATGCGTTTGACTAGGAGTGACTTTGTTCTGCTGTGGCTCAGAAGGCTTGGAAGGTTGTTCAGGCTTTTTCATGTTGTAGAACTGCTGGTATGCAGGACCCTGAGTGACTTCAGGTTGGGACGGCTGAGAGGCTGCGGGCTTTAATGCTGGATTTGGTTTGGAAAAGGATGAAAAGATCTGCTGATTCAGCTGGCTTTCAGGGGCTGGAAGCCAAGTTGGCCAGGTGACGGTAGGTTTCGGAGTTGGCTCTGGCAGGGTATAGAAGTTAAAGAATGGCTGGTATACTTGGCCTTGAGGGGTTGAAGGTTGATTATCAGCAGGTGTTGTACCTTGTTGGGAATAGAAAGGGATAAACGGCTGGTTTGCTCCTCTTAAGTACGAACCAGTTAGCGTTGGCTGTGTAGAAAATGGTTTTGAAAGTGGTTTTAGCTGGGCGTAGATGTCAGGAAAAGGCTCGTATACTTGTCCTTCAGGAGTTGCAGGTGGTGGTGGCTGAGTCACTGCAGGTTTCGGATCAGACTTTGGTTTGGTGTAGAAAGGGAAAAATAGCTGGTATTCTTTGCTTGGTCGAGTTGTAGGTTGTGGTGCTAAGGTAACCTCTGCAGGCTTCCCAGTTGGGTTTGGTTGGTTATAGAAGGGTAAAACAGGTTGGTAAACATTGTTAGAAGGGGAAGCAGGTTGTGGTGGTTGATTAGCATGAGCAGGTTTTGGATCTGGCTTTGGCTGGGTATAGAAGGGGAAGACCTGCTGGTAAAACAGAGATTGTGGCGCCATAGGTTGTGGTGGCTGAGTCAAAGCAGGCTTTTGAGTTGAGGTTGGTTGGGTGTAGATGGGGAAAACTGTCTGGTAATCCTGGCTTTGACGGGTTAAAGGCTGTGGTGGCCCAGTCACACCAGCAGGTTTGTCACCAAGAGGCAGCTGGGTATAAAATGGGAAGAATGCCTGGTATAGATGGCTCTGCGAAACTTCTGATTGTCCTGGCTGAGTCGCACTAGAGAATTGTAAGGGTTGGTTCCACTGGGTGCACATGAGGTAGAATGGTAGATATACTTGGTCTTGGAAGCTTTCAGAGTTTGATGACTGACTCACGGTAGATTTTGAGGCCGTTTGCCGGTTGCATATGAGGAAAGACTGCCGAAGGGTCTCGGGGAATAACCGCTGTGACGCAGTTTGTTCTGGGGCCGGTTTCAGCTGAATGCACCCCAAGTACAACGGTTGGTGTGCTTGTTGTTGAGAAGCACCAGTGGGTTTTGAAGCTGGCTTCTCTTGGGTGCAGATGAGATGAAATGGTAAATCTTCACCCTGAGGTTCTCCAGACACTGCAGGATCCAACTGACCATGGTCCTCAGGTAATTTTTCAAGGTACAGGGGATAAAAATAAGCTTGAGGTGGAACTTGTGGGTAATAAAATAAATTGGGAGGTTGTGGCTCTCGACTCATGGGGCCACTTGGAGGTTGTTCAGGTTTCGAAGAAAATCTGGGTGGAAGGCTAAATGGATATGAAAGCAGAGGGTCCTCATTTTTAGCTGGTGGCGACTTGGACACTGGTGACCATGTTGGAGATATTCTAGTTAAATGGGACTCATAAAAGGGAAAGTAATTGAAATTTTCACCTGTAGCTTGGGTACTAGCAGACTGTGTTGGGGTAGGGAGCGCAGGCTGCTTAGTAGGTGTGGCCTCTTGAAAGGTAAGGCGGGGGTACATTAAACTTGAGAAAAAGGTATAAGGGAACTGATCAGCTTCTTTAGGCACCCAGTTTTGTTGGCTGGAAATCCCTGAGTTTTTAGGAGAACGTGGAACTTGGAAGCCATTTTGATCAGGTGGAGAGAATAAAACGGGATTTGGCTTTTCACTTTGCAGCGTAGAATCCTTTGCCAGGCTTTCTGTGGGTTCAAGTTGAGCTGCCAACAACGATGGACATGAAATTTTTGTTTCTCCATCTGTAGCAAGTTCAAGGGTGTACAATCCATCCTGTTGGCAAAAGTAAATAGATTAGTCATTACCTTCGAAGAAAAAAAAAACTTGAGAAATGTAAAGACATACCTGTTTCCCGAGGCAGGGCTGGTAGCGTACAGAGATGACTAAACCTTCAGGATGTTCAACTAAACCAAACGAACATCTTTGTGCAGCCACCAATAGAGGTTCCCATTTTCCATTTACTGTAACCAAAGAATGTTTATTAATGAGGGTCGACCCATTACCCAACTTCATTTTTCCACTACATTAAACTACATGGCAAGCAAATTTTAACTTTACCAAAATAAGTCTTTAAAACTAGAAGCTGAAGGCAGAACCTGCTCTAGTCGATGGCTACCGCCTTTAAAAAGGTACAGAAAGAAGTTTTTCCGTCACTTAAAGTTTGATAAAAATGCCGGCTGAAAGCTCAGTTAAAGCAGAGGTGAAACGCATGGGAGAAAAAACAACTGGGGCAGAAAAATATATACATAGTTACTTCAATACTTCAAAAGTACAATTCAATTAAACTCTATAAAATGCCAAATCACAACAAGACTACTTCACAAAGTAAACATTCCCATACAGGTCAGTTCATTAAGCCAGTCAGTAAAAGGTTTACTGTATAAGGAACCCATCTGGTTGCATCGAGTCACTGACTAGTGTCAAGAGTCTTTACAGCAATCCTCATACTAAGCAAGCATGCAGCGACAGTGGAGGGGAAAACTCCCTTTTAACAGGAAGAAACCTCCAGAGAATCCTGGCTCAGTATAAGCAGCCATCCTCCACGGCTCACTGGGGATGGAGAAGACAGCACACACACCTGTGCACGCGTGTGTGCGCGCGCGCGCGAGTACACACACACACGCGCGCGCACACGCACCTGCACACACACACACACGCGCGTGCACACACACACGCACGCACGCACGCACACACACGCCTGTTGTAGGATGGGATTGTTTCCAAGACACATAGCTACTTGTTATGTTCTGTAAAGCGCTTTGGAGTCCTGACTCTGAAAGGTGCTACACAAGTGCGGGTCATTACTTTCTGTGCTGTTCTTCAGTTTCCACTGGCTACACTGTGTATTAAACAAATAAAACCATGAAACACATCTAGGATTAGGTCTGCTAAACAGTTTAGAAACCATCAATCTGACATGAACTGGAAAAGCATTTTCAGGTGTGGCAATCAGAGTTTAAGCAGCAAGTCTACAAACCACTGCACCCAGTACAATAGAAACAGGTAGAAACCTACCCTTTGCTTTAATGTCAGAAGCAGCACTGGTCCACTCCGTTTTAACTACCATGCCCTCGGTGTGGCAGGTGACCATTGGAGGATTTGGTGTCTGGTATTCAAACAAAGGACACGACATCCTCACGGGTAGGTCCCACCAGCGTAACGGAAGAACGTAGCTGTTCTCCTGCAAGCAGACCAAATGACGACATCAAAAGGAAACTATACATGTGTTGTGGTTAAAAGGTGCCATTCATGGAAACCCCACCTCAACAACCACAAAGCAGCCATCGTAAGGCGCCACCAGGACCAAATCCTTTTGAGTTGACCTGATTGTGTAACCACAGCTGGAAGGCAATTTGGCCAGAGACAGAGGAGACAGCGCACCTGAAAATGTGTGCTTTTAAACACCGTTCTGAAACTTCATCATGGATAATGCATGACAGCACCAAGATACTTGCCTCTGTCCACAAAGATGAGTGATGCAGGGGTGAAGGCCGCATCGTGAACAAGAAGCTTCATGGAGTCTTGCGTGCATTCAACCTTTGATTCCATTTCAAGGAGATGTTGCATGGCTGCTATGTCAGACTTCGGCCAGTCATTCCGTTCATTAAGTTGCTGGGTCGGCCACCAGCCTGAAGAAGTCACACAAGCCCAAATACTGCAGGTAACTCAACAGTTGCACGGTCAGATTCAAGCTTCATCCAGAAGGACAGCAGTCCGTCTACATACCCATGTCGGCTTGGTAATCCGCCTCGACGTCCATCACGTCCTCTGTGGAATTGGTGCCGTTGAGTTTAGCGGCCTGCTGGGAGTTCTGTCCAATTAGGAGTCTTCCGTAGTGCTGATGGCTTTTTTCAACTTTGCTGTGGGTACGCGCCAAGTTCTCTCTTTTCTCATCCAGTGCCTTAAGCCTCGTCATCTTTGTACAGTGGCAAAGTGAGGTGACGAACATCAGTAGACCTAAACGTAACAAAACTCCACTGCTGCTGCTTTCTTGACACGCCATTGGACAGAAGAAAGAAAAACAGCACTGTACACAGGCAAAAAGCCTCAGCAGTGTCTCAGGAAAGCCGAGCGCTGCCCCCAGCAGCTATGTTTAAGCCCCAAGGTCATGCTTCTGCTGCTAATTATGACTAATCAAACAGCTGACTGCACCAGCTGCTGACAATTGTGTTAATAACGACAACTGGTTGCTTTAAGTTGCATGAGTGGAATATCCTGACAAAAAACATTTAAATAGAGGTGAATCTCACCGTCTTATCAGATGTTTTAATGGATTTTTCTTATTTTGTGCAACAAAAACCTTTCTTCTGTTCTCTGCAACGCCAGCTGGAAGCATGAGCTGTTTGCAAGTTACACACTGGATCAGAAAGGCATAAAGCTGGTAGATGCACCAAAAAAACAAACAAACAACTATCTGAACTATTTTCTAAATCCACTTACAAACATAAAATAACAAGGGTGAATTAAGAGGGGAGCGTTCCACGTATTCACACACCGACTGTGCAGTTGTAATGCTATATGTCCAGCAGGTGTTCAGGGTGAATTAGCCCCTTTGCGTCATCACTGCGCCACCTACAGGTTGTGCAGAACAGCGCAGCCAGGTTCCTGACTGGGACCAGGAAACGGGACCACATCAGTCCGGTTCTGGCCTCCCTGCACTGGCTTCCGGTTTGCTATCGCTCACAATTCAAAATCCTCGTCTTTGTTTATCATCTCTTCCAGGGTGGTGGTCCCCCCTATCTAGCCACACTCCTGAACAGACATTCCCCATCACGCGCTCTGCGCTCCTCTGATCAAGGCCTGCTCGCTGTCCCTCGTTCTAGGTGTCGTACCCGTGGGGACCGGGCTTTCTCAGTCCTAGCACCGTTACTCTGGAACCAGTTGCCACCCTCAGTTAGGCTGTCCCCATCTCTGCCAGCCTTTAAGAGTCACCTAAAAACACACCTCCTCCGCTTGGCGTTTCCTGAACATGTTTGAATTTGGCCCTCTTTTATGTTGAATTTATCTCACAGTCTTCATTGGTTCAGTTTTCCCTTGTTTTACACATTTGTCTTCTACTAGAATGTTTCACCTTTTTTGCAATTTGTAATTTGAATTGCTTTTATTTTTGATTTATTCACTTTATTTGACTTTGTACTGTACCATGTTCAGCGCCTTGGGCTTCCTGACAGGGTTGCGGAAGGCGCTTTATAAATAAAGCTTTGATTTCATTGATTGATTTGCTTTTTTATGTCATCTGGTTTCTAGTTGAAACGGTCAGCCTAACATCAGGACCAATAAAATACATCAGTGAAAAAATACAGAAGAAACAGGATCATAAATACAAATTTATAGTTGAAATAAAAATAACTCAGAACGTGACCTTTTTAATTTCCTGCCATAAATGTTTTGCATCATTTAACATATTAAAGGTTGATACAGAACACTGGGAGCACGCTGGACTTCAGAGGTGGCCTCACAACAACAGGACTCATTTTCCTGCCGTTGGGATGTTTGTTCGGTGCCGACACGTTCCAGCTCCATGTTCTGAGACGAGGACTCATTTCTACTAATGAGTTTATTTTACAGCAGTGTTTAGCGTTTGAACATCTTCTGGGCTCAGAATCAGCTGCTTGCCTTGCTGAGCACATTAGCACATCAGTGCCCTCTAGTGGCTGGTAGATGTAGGCATGCGCCTGACAGAATTAAAGTGTGATCATTCATTTTTAATTAGCTTTTGAAGGCTGAACTGTACATCTATTCTGCACACCTCTGGAGGTGTTTATGTATAGCTTATTCAAATGTTCCATATTCTAACTGTAAGGTCAACGTGATACAGCCGACAACTTCATACTTTCCATGATGAAGGATCATTTGTTTCTGTAATTTCTTGGTCTCCAACAGCAAAAACCAAACTAGCAACTCCTCAGATCACATCTTAAGAAAAGATTCACTTTCCCCCTCAAATTCTAGGAACTCACCCGTTTGCCTGGTGACCTTCTGGAGCCTCTTGGTGCTTCCTGTTTGGAAGCCATATGCAGCGTTTTATGTATTCTTGTTTTCTTCTACGTCTCTAGACCACTGGTCCTTCAAGTCAGGTCATGATTCACAAGTGATCCCCAAACTTCTGAGCTTCCAATGCCCAGTGTTTAAAATACAATTTTGAGGTTTGCCTCGGCCTGGTGCAGAGGGACCTTTGACCCACGATTACCTTTAAAAACAGCACACGTAGCTTAAGAGATAAAAAGCCATTTATCTAATTTGTGGATCGCTTGTAGAAAAGAGCCGTTAACTTTGACCTGAATCATCCCCAAAGCTCACCTCCCTTTGTCTAAAATCTATAAAACAGACTAGATGCTGAGTTTGCTTCTGGTTGGATCAACTTTATTTGTTCCTTCTTTTAACAAAACGTCAATTCATGGCATCTGGAAACTTCAGGTAAACAAACCCAACCCCCCAAAAAAAGACAGAATATTGCAAACTTTTTCCTTTTTTTAATTTTGGACATATTTCACAAATCCTGGAGATGAGATGCCAAAAGATCCCTTACGAAAGTGCCATTCAGAGTGATTTCTTGCGGGGACAGCAGATACAAATCCAACTCCTAACAGATAGATTTATGGCACAGAAAACACGGTTATTCTCAGAAAAATTTCACAAGACAACTTACAAACGTTCTTATTCCAACCGACACCATTTTCAATGTTTAGTGAACACAGCATTGTTTTAAATATGTCGTAAGTACCATACTAAGACGACTCGTGAATACACTTCCATGACTAGAGCACAAGGCAAATTATCCCAAGGTGTTGGAGCCCAGCAGCCTCGGTTTACAGTCAAAATGCATTCATACTGTTTAAAAGGACATTTTCATTGTAACGATGAACTTGGAGTTAGCCCAAAATAACGTGATGACACATTTGTGTTGAACTCTAAGAAGCAGTTACATACTTTACAGTCATCTGGAGTTCTCAGTGGGTTACAGTCAACAGCAGATGCCAACAATTATCCATAAGAAAGCTGACGCAACTATGGTAACCCTCTTCTAATGGAAATTGGTCCAAGCGGGAGGGCAAATGTACAAGTGTGGTGATTTACAGAAAAGAACAAACGAGATGACTGGTGCACCTCGGCCGTCAGAGGGAATGTCCACCGAGACTCAAAGATGTCACCAAGCTTCAGTGATGCTATACTCAGCAGCCCAACGCACCCCATTCAAGCAGGATGTCGAAATGATGCGACGAATGGTGAAGCAGCGGCTGGCTGATGAGTACACATGAGAGGAAGTCTGTCTCTTTAATGGAGATCTGCAGATCCAGATGGTTTTGGCTACAACACTGGGCCGAGAACAGTGGGACGGGTTGGTAATGAAGATAACGCATGCATGCATGGTTTAGATGCTGCACCAAACGGTTCCCTTCCACACCAACCACCGCGCCGTGTACCCCTACACAAGCCAGCCGATCGCACAAGTCCAGATTATTAATACTTTTATTAGCATTTTCCTCCAACATCCATGGGTAGATGAACATGCCGTAACGTAGTGCCAAAACCATGAGAAGCAGGATGTTGGTGTGGAAAGGGTTATAAAAGGGGAAGGGGGGTGGGGGGGGTAGTTAATCCAGGAAAGGGAAGCAGACAGGGTAGGAAGCAACACTGTACGCCATCCAACCCTGGACGTAGTGTCAACACAACATGGTGATGGTGGGGTGGGGTGGGGGTGGGGGATGAATGGGTGGCGAGGTTGTTTAGTATCCAGACTTCCTCAGGTAGTCAGCCATTGAATGTGCTTTCTTGTTAAGAGTTCCACCATGGACCGCCTCCTTTCCCATGACTAAAACCAATGCTGGAGCACACAAGAAAAAAAAATTAAAAACTGAAGTCTCCCCCCCCACCCCATGCAGGATGGAAGGGGGGGGGGGGGACAAAGGTGACACAGTATCTTACCACTCTTCACTGCTATTAAAAGTTTCCAAGACATTTGACTGCTTGCAGGAGAAATCTTAACAGCAATTTTTTCTTCTTTTTGCCCCTCAGTTTAATCTAAGAGGTTGAAAACATTAAAACCCTGAATCCCTCAAGTATTTTGCCATCGAGTAAGCCTTCTTATTCAATCCGCCTCCATGGACCCCTTCTTTGCCCATTACAAGAACCAAAACTGGAAGAGAAACGGAAAAAGGGGACAGTTAAGAGAAGGCAAAGGAAAGACATTTCAAAGTAGGAAGAGAACAGGCGTCTTCAAGCATGAACCACATCAGAATCTATTAAACACGTCTCCAAGGGCTGGGCGATATATCGATATTCTTTAAATATCGGTATAATTTTTAAACAAGATATAAGATGACTTTATATCTTCATATCGATATAACTGGCCAAACTGCTATGCTAGCGATTAGCCGCTATGCTAGCGATATGTTGCTCCGTCTCTAAGCGGCTATTACGTGTTTTCTCACAAGTTTGCTCAGTCTGAGAGCCTCTGGGTAAATGTGCTGCTCTAAACTTTGCATTTGGCCTCCTGGTTTTTAATTATTTGGGGACGTTCAATGCCAACGGAGTTCTGTTTTCCATCCTGCTTGTGCGGAGACACGAGCCAAACCCCTCCCTCCCCTGTGCTACGGAAAGCCGGAGTGGCCAAATGACCTGAAACATATTGTAAGGGTTTGAATAGTAAACTATAGGGTTACCGTTTTATTTTGAAGGCGAACTCAACGGGTGAGAAATGTTGTTCCGGTTCCGTTTTTTTCCGCTCTGGTTTGCTATGCTAGTAAATACTCCGTTACGAGTGATTCCGATGAAAAAGTTGAGTTTGTAAGGTGTGGGTTATGGCGACAGTAGCCCGAAAATAACACTCATTAAAGAGCAACCAGAGACTCTGAGTCATTACAGTATAATCGCTGATATGAGCCAACACTGCTAACTAATAACTAACAACTAGTTAATAACTAGTTTTTCTAATAACTAATAACTCCATGGTGCATGACCCATGTGATCTTCAGTAGATGCAATTACATCATCGTACATTTAGCTTAACATGATGGATTTTTTTTCTCTGGACAAGACCTATACAATATGGGCCACCTCTAGATGTAATTTAAATAATTTTACATTAATTATAAATATATAATTAAAAAGTGCCTGTGGGACATTTGATACAAATCTGGCTCTCAACTGTGTGTGTGTGTGTGTGTGTGTGTGTGTGTGTGTGTGTGTGTGTGTGTGTGTGTGTTAGCAGACAGCTGCACCTGTGTTACTAAAGCTCAGACTGGTAGAGAATAGGCACTACGGTTAAAGTTTGACAAGAATCAATACATTTTTATGCATTTAACCTACCGATTTATGTTTATAATTTCTCAAGAGCTTGAAGTGAGTTAACTTGTCAACAGTTTACAGGAGGAAAAATATCGAGATATATCTCGTATATCGGAATTCAGCTTAAAGATATCGAGATATAAGTTTTGGTCCATATCGCCCAGCCCTAGCGTCTCCCTTCATCTGGGCCTCGGCACGGTTTAACCATGCATGGAGATCCCCTCTTGCACCGCATCACACGGCAAATATGACGCCTTAAACATGTTCGTCACAATCCAGCAGCTTTATTATAAAAATGCCTAAATATCCATTTTAAGAAGCTAACAACTAGTAAGGAAGAGGAGAGTTCAACTCGAGATGGATTCTGCAGACTGGAGAAAAGGGAAGTGAACTTTGTTTTGTAGATAAACATCCTCTTTCAGTGGCTTGATTTGCTCAGACGCCGCGGGCAAAGCAGAAGCAGTAGAAAACGGAAAAAGGTGAGATGGGGACGTCGTTTCGTGGTGCAAGGTCTCATTGAACAAGAGGCACATTTAAAGGCACCGTTCAGACCCGCTAAAGTGGCTCTGTAGAAACACTAAGGAGCATTTGTATTTTGTACTAATGGTGACAGTTCTGAGATTACACACAAATTAGGAGTCTGTTTAAGTTAAACTGAAACCAAAGTGTTGCCGTGGCTGTTCTAGCCGTCTAAACGCCAACGCTGCTGTTACGTCTACATTACAACCCTGGCAGAAAGCAACGTCAGCTCCAGTGTTGGACCTTACTGCGTGGAAATAAACTAATCAGTTCTCCCCGGGGCATTTACAGAGATTATTTTATTATGGCAGTAATCCAAGCTGAATCTGGCCCCACTGGTGGTTTCACCTGTTCAGTTTAAACTACTCGGCTCTACAGACTGGATGGTTACAGATCTACAACACGAACCATTACTGAGAACCATCAACTCCATTTTCCTAGAATTTTATGTAAACACCATATTTCTAGTAATAAACCTACACCTGCAACAAAGGTGAACTAGAAAGATGTGCATTGGGGTTTTCCACTAATAATCAGGTTCATTGTAGGTTAAACCAGTTTCACACCACACCAATCCCTCATTTACCTTTTCCAGCTCTTCCCACAGAAATATTGTATGTTGGTTCTCCTCCCTGGCTCTTTGTCCTGATGTCCATTGTCCAGTCCCCATCATAATGGAGGCTGTCTCGGAGGACAGAGCATTTCTTTGACCCCAGAGTGAGACCATTGGTGTAAAAAGTCTCCCTGTCCTTTCCCACAAGGACATCAATTTCCTGAGACTGGGAGAAAACCACATGGCTTAGTCAGTAACAAGTCTGCAACATATAGATGTGTGAAAGATATTACATGCAATTCAGTTCAAACATGCAGTTTAACATTTTATACTAGTAAAAACTTTTTACACAGGCAGATGAGGGGCTTCCCTCCTAGTTCCCATGATTTTTTTTAGAGTAATCTATTCAATGCGTTCATTAACGGAGGAGAGAATATTTATTATCTGAAATCGCTGCAGTTTTAAACCAACTGCTTTGAGTAATCTGAGTAAGTATTGGTATTGGGGTCCTAAAACCACAGCCCTGGCTCCTCGTCTACGGAGGAGCCGACGCAGGCCTCGTCAGAGGCTACAAAAGAAATACGTGTAGGAAACTTGCGACGCTACGTGAAGCTAACGAGAGCTAGTGTTAGAGTCAACCATCATTAATAAGACGGCTAAATCTTCTCTCGGCCGTAACAAGTGGGCAGGTTTACGCAGAGTGTAACAGTTGTAGACCAACTAACGTCATAACCGGCCTTTACAGGTAGCCGGTAAACTAGCAGCTTAACTTTAGCTAAGCTAAGCAGCCATGCACTAAAGCATGCGCGCTGCCCGGCCAGACACCGTCTACTTGCTGGTTTTAAACCCACCACCGCGCTGCAGCAACCGCTCCAGTCTACGCACCATGCGGGTTAGCTGGAAATCATTTAAGGCCCTCGAAAGTCTCAGCGATTGTTTTGTTGTCACGAGATTTAAATCCGCAACGGTGTCTTACAGGCGGTAGCCGACACAGGCCACCTACCGATAGGCTAGTTAGCTAACGAAGCACTATTATCTCGCAAGTCATTTAGACGCGGATGTCTGGGGCTGGAGCGGTGGTCAGCGTCCCGCACACCGGCACCGTTTAACTACAGCGGCTTGGTTTCATTCCTTACCGTGATATTGTTGAACGTACCACCGGGATGCGCTGCCCAAACATATTTGGCGTCCGTATAACCAACAATGGCGCTATCCTGACAGCTGCCATCGGCCATCAGGTTTTCCACGTAGCTTTGCCAAGACATACTCAAGAATTTGAAGCTATATTTAAAAAACACACTAACGCGCTGGAGGCGAGGTTACCAAAAAGAGACGAAGGACGGAAGAGGAACAGCCTACAAACAATTTAGAGTCTCCAATCGAGCCCACTCTTCAACGTTAGACAACGCGAAGGCTGGGGCAGCAAAAGAGCAGTGAGGCGGCGCCGCGGCTGGGTGTAGTCCGCATCAGATCACTCCGCACGCTCAGCGCCTCGCGCTTTTATAGGCGGCACGCGCCCGCCTGGCCGGAGTGCGGAAGAACGAGATCACAGCCTTGTTATGCGCCCAGGTTATGCTTCCTATAATCATAATAATTATGAAGATTAATATTATGATTTTTTAAAATTATTATTATAAAGCAAAACGTGCCAGACCAGAGTTTATTTGCATTAAACTTGTACATAAAAATGCACTTATAACAATAATAATACAGTTTTTTTTTTTACTTTTTATTTTAAGTTTGACTATTGACTTTGTACAACGTGCTTCAACAACCCTGACATTGAGCAGGACAATCACAAAAGCAAAAAGAAGCAAATAAATAAAGAAAGAAAAATAAAAATAAAAAACACAACAAAAAATTCTATAAAGAATAAAAGTACAATCATTTAATTTCATCGCAAAGATTGTTTTTTTCCTCCTTTCTTCCCCTTTCTTCCCTTTTTCTTCCCTTCTCTTTCCCTCCCCTTCCCCCATCTTTTTTCTTTTCCCTTCTCTTCCCCCTTCTTTTCCTTCCTTTCTATATTGTGCTTGCAAAAATCAAGCATATGCTGTCGAGAGCCCACCTGGAGCAGGTACTGCATGCCTTTGTTATTTCTAGGCTTGACTACTGCAACTCTCTATATGCAGGGTTGTGTCAGTCATCACTGCGTCACCTACAGGTTGTGCAGAACAGCGCAGCCAGGTTCCTGACTGGGACCAGGAAACGGGACCACATCAGTCCGGTTCTGGCCTCCCTGCACTGGCTTCCGGTTTGCTATCGCTCACAATTCAAAATCCTCGTCTTTGTTTATCATTTCTTCCAGGGTGGTGGTCCCCCCTATCTAGCCACACTCCTGAACAGACATTCCCCATCACGCGCTCTGCGCTCCTCTGAACAAGGCCTGCTCGTTGTCCCTCGTTCTAGGCGTCGTACTCGCGGGGACCGGGCTTTCTCAGTCCTAGCACCGTTACTCTGGAACCAGTTGCCACCCTCAGTTAGGCTGTCCCCATCTCTGCCAGCCTTTAAGAGTCGCCTAAAAACACACCTCCTCCGCTTGGCGTTTCCTGAACATGTTTGATTTTGGCCCTCTTTTATGTTGAATTTATTTCACAGTTTTCATTGGTTCAATTTTTCCCTTGTGTTACACATTTGTCCTGTACCAGAATGTTTCACCTATTTTGTAATTTGAATTGCTTTTATTTTTGATTTATTCAGTATAATTACTTACAACTGTACCCTGTTTTTCGCCTTGGGCTTCCTGACAGGGTTGCGGAAGGCGCTTTATAAATAAAGCTTTGATTGATTGATTGATTGTTTATTTTTCCTTTTTTCCTCCTTTTCCCCCGTCCCCTCCCTCTCTCTTCTCGTTTCTTCCCTTCGCCTTTACATCCCCCATTTTCATAATAGCAAAAATTCATATTGACATCAGAGTAACAACCTAATACATCACATTACTAAGTATTGCTTGACACACTCCCATCTATCCCGGAACAGATCCACCTTCATTTGCAGTATAGACGTAATCCGTTCCATTACATATGTTTGTTTAATTCTCTCTTTCCATTCTTTTATAGTTGGGGGTTCACCTCCTTCCATTTTACCGCTATAATTTTCTTTGCTGCCAATAATAAAATATGGGCAATGTATCGTTGGTCTAAGTTTAATATTTTGCTTGATGCAGCCCCCAACAGATAGAACAGAGGGTGTGAAGGTAACTCCTTTCCCAGAATTTTTTCCAACTCTTCCTTTATGTCTCTCCAATATTTAAGAATAACTGGACAATTCCAGAATATATGGGAGTGGTCCCCCACCTCCCCATAGTTCCTCCAGCAAAGGGGAGACAGGACATCTTTTGCAAACCCCGATACAACTAGGGGGGTAAAAAAGTACCTAGTTTTTATCTGCCAATCAATCAATCAATCAATCAATCAATCAATCAATCAATCAATCAATCAATGCTTTATTTATAAAGCGCCTTCCGCAACCCTGTCAGGAAGCCCAAGGCGCTGTATGACAATCAAATTCCTTCCACATTTGGCTGTTGATCCCCCTATGAATTTGTCTACATATATCTTCCCACTGTTCATCTTCAATTAGTATATTTAATTCTAATTCCCATTTCTCCTTTATATATTTCGTATTATGTGTAAAGCCAAGAAAGAAGCTTCTATATAGATTAGTAACGTAGCCTTTTGCTTTTTTCCCTAAGCGTGAAATCAAACATTGTTCTATTGCATTTGGCTGTTTATAAAGTCTTTCTTTCTGTCTATGATTCATGATATAATGCTTTATCTGAAAATATTTATACGTCATTCATGGGGAGGTCGAATTGTTCCCTAATCTGCGAGAATGTTTTACGGTCTGTTTCTCCAAACAACTGGTCCAGAATAATAAGACCAGGGGCAGCAGTAGCTCAGGTGGTAGAGCGGGTTGCCTCATGATCGGAGGGTCATGGGTTCGATTCCAGCTCCTGCCAGGGGTATCCTGCTGTTGTGTCCTTGGGCAAGACACTTCACCCAACTTGCCTGTGTTAGTGGTGGTCAGAGGGACCGACGGCACCAAATGGCAGCCTCACCTCTGTCAGACCTCCCCAGGGCGGCTGTGGCCACAAGAAGCTTACCATCACTAGCGGTGTGTGAATGTGAGAGTGTGTGAAAGCATCTTTGGGTGACTAGAAAAGCGCTATATAAGTTCAATGCATTATTATTCGCCCATTTTTTAAAACCCTGAGTCTAATTTGGATGGGGGGAACCCGACATTGAGCTAACCGGCTATGTGCTCCATCGCCTTGATCGGGATAAAAGCTCCGGTAAGACCAGAGGAGGAGGACTCTGCGTTTATGTGCATGAAGACTGGTGCCGAAACAGCAGAGTAATAAATACCTTTTGCTCATCTGACTTGGAGGCTCTGTCTGTCCAGTGCGGACCATTCTATCTGCCACGGGAGCTAACGCTAGTCAGTGCTACTGCTGCTTATATCCCACCTAATGCTAACATTAGCGCTGCACTCATCCAGCTTCATCACTTTGTAACCAAACAGCAGCAGGCTTAACCAGATGGAGTACACATGATAGCTGGGGACTTTAGCAAAGCATGCTTAAAGACTGTTTTCCCCAAACTCCACCAACATGTCAAGTTTGCAACCCGGGGTAAAAATACACTGGACCGTGTATATACCAACATCAAGCATGCTTATAGAGCCACACCCCTTCCCCATCTTGGACAGTCTGACCACCTCTCCATGTTTCTCATCCCAGCTTACACTCCCCTCAGGAAACAAACAAAGCCCACAACACACACCATCACCACGTTACCTGCTGAAGCCCTCCCTCAGCTGCAGGACTGCTTTGTCTGCACAGACTGGAGAGTGTTTGAACAACAGGACCTGCAGGCACACACAGAGACGGTGCTATCCTACATCAGAACCTGTGTAGAAAATGTCACAGTGACCAAACAGATTCGGATCTTCCCAAATAGGAAGCCCTGGGTGACATCAGAGGTCCAGGCTCTAATCAGAGCCCGCAATGTTGCCTTCAAGTCAGGTAACAGCAACTTGTACCGCACAGCCAGAACTAGTCTGAGGAAGGGCATTCACCAGGCAAAGAGAGTCTACAGGAGGAAAGTAGAAGACCTCTTTCACAACAACAGTCCCCAGAAGATGTGGAAGGGGATTCAGACTCTGACCAACTACAGAGGCCACACTCTGTCCAACACTGGCAGCAGCAGAACACAGGCAGAGGAGCTAAACAACTTCTTTGCTCGTTTTGAAACTACTGCCCACCCACTTTTGCAACCCCCCCCCCCCCCCCCCCCACACACAACCTGAGCAACCCCACTCCTCCCTCTCTCATCCTATAGGAACATGAGGTGAGAAGAACCTTGAGAGCAGTAAACCCCAGGAAAGCTGCCGGACCAGAAGGTGAGTATTAGTCTTATTTTTTGCTTTGGACTTTTCAGCACATCCACCTTAAATAAAGGAATTGTTTTTCTTAAGACCTCTCCTGCCTTTGAGTCGTTCTGGGTACTTCTGCATCCTGGGTCCAACCTCCTCTCCTCAACGTGACAAACGATTTAATCAGATCCTTTTCTTGCCTTTTCAACATGGTTTAATGTAAAGTTTCATTCAGTACAAACTTTAGTTACACCAGTCTAACAAGACAGAGCCTGGATTTGTATTCTGAACAGTTTAAACATGTTTAAAACGGAGACATGTGCGACGCATCTAAAGTTCGCACCTGGTCAACTATTATGGAAATTAAACTAACAAGATGAATAACATGAAATTATTTTAGGCACAGACAACATCCCCCACACTTTTGAAAAGCTTGCAACACGCCTGTCCTGAAGGCCCTCAACACCGCCTTTAGGTCAGGAGATGCACACGCCTACGGTACAGCCAGGGCTAATCTAAAGAAGGGTATCAAAAAAGCCAAACTCCATTACAAAAGAAGGTAGAAGAACACTTCTCCAACTCCAACCCCAGATGCATGTGGCAAGGACTCCAGAACCATTACAGACTACAGGACCACCAAATCCCCCCTGACAGACATATTCAACCTGTCCTTGGCCCACGATGTGGTACCGGCCTGCTTCAAATCCATCTCCATCGTCTCGATACCCAAAAACTCCAACCCAACTAGCCTCAATGACTACCGCCCAGTAGCACTCACCCCCATCATCACTAAGTGCATAGAGCAGCTGGTCCTGGCACACTTCAAATCCTGTCCCCCCCCCCACCCTGGACCCCCAACAATTTGCATCCCACCAGGACAGAAAAGCACAGAGGACGTAGTCTCCATCGCACTGCACTCTGTCCTCTCACACCTGGACAACAGTAACACCTATGCCAGAATGCTGTTTATAGACTTAGGTTCAGCTTTCAATACAATCCACCGCTCACAACTTATCAGGAAATGGATAGACCTGGGCATCAGTTCCCTCATGTTCAAATGATTATTGGACTTCCTGACCAACTGCCCCCAACATGTCCGGCTGG